GGTAAAAATCACGTGATTTTACATGATTTTTTTTCAAGGGGGGGCCCGGGCCCCCCGGGCCCCCCCCCCCCTGGATCCGCCACTGCGTAGGCCTATCATGAATAACTTTTATTAGAGTTGGGAAAATTGTTATCACCTAAAAAAAAATATCAATTTTCCTGTGACTTTGTATAGAACATTTTGTATTATTGGATTGCCAAATAAATGAGTGTATTTGAAAAGTAAGCGTAGTTCATGTTTTTGTTAACAAAAAATTGAAAAGGGCGAAATCCTTTGGCACAGATATAGAGTTAAAAGAGGGTTAATTGTTAGCCTTAATTGTTTAAATATGACGAGGAATGCAGCAGAAAAGTCAGTAAAGGCCGCATGTTCAAGGACATCGATTTCCTGACCGTAAGGGTGGATATGTCCCAAACGCCCCATGACTCTTTGTATACGAGCATCAATTTTTAATTTTAATGGAACTTTAAAAGCTCAAAAAGATTGGGGCATACATTGTTTGCACCATAGGGACGGGAAATAGATGAGATGGGGGAGATTCAAGAGAGCAGAGTGGCCTAAGATTTTATTTCTTTTCCCCTTTTTTGTTTGGGGGGGGGGGTCTTTTTTTTCCCTTCCATCTTATGACCCATCACTATTCGAAGCGAGGAATGGGGCAATTTCACTTGCCATTTAAATAAAGGGCTTATAATAGTGGGACACATCAAAAAATGGGAGGGGTGTGCCCCCAATCTATTGGCAGTAATAGATTAGTCCCCCCCCCCCCCCCCCCCCCCCCCCCCCCCCCCAACTCAGCCAGCTTCGAAAAATAATCATTCGACCTCTACGACTAAAGTCTTGTAGCCTGCCAGCGAAATAACACATTTTAGACGAAATTGAATGCTATTGTAAGTATTGAATGTGGATTATACTCTATGTATTTCAATAAGATATTTCAATTATTTCAAAGGAGAAATCATATATTTTAAGTAATAACCTGTAGATAGAAGTTAAATGAACTAAACATGATGAACTCGACGAGCAAAAAGTCCTCTGAATGACTGTGTAGTCCTACCTGTGTAAATTCACGTATGGTGGTACCGGTGTGACTATTGTCATACTCATAGACATTGCATTGATAGATCGCGATCCACGCACACGACTTTAATTCGCGGACAGTTCCATTTCCATATCCTTTTTTCAAAATCTGATATTATCAATGGAAAGATAGACATAAAATTAAGAAGTTATACAATTTTCTTTGGGTCTTGGGGGGTTTGTTGTGAAATTATTTAAATTAAAGATTAAGATTGGCAAAGTTTAACTTTAAATTTATTTTAATGTCTTTTTAGTTTTTTAATTTTAGTCTAGATCTACTCTCTTTACTTTTGTGCTTTAAAATAAATATGAACTTGATGATGATGATTCACAGCATTTGCATGGCGCCATATATCTGTTTCAAAAGACATTCAAAGGTGCGAGCTCCTCCAATAAAGTTGGCATTTAAAATATGTCTGAAGGAAGATGTGAGTCTGGAGCGAAGCTTTGTGGTCCAGATCCAGGGCTGCGTCTCACGAAACGGTCAAGTTAAACTTAACACGCATTTCAATGGGATGTCGCTCAACTTGTACTTATGACGGTTTCGTGAGACGCAGCCCAGGTTGTCAATTTCCTGAAGAAATGATGGGAGGAAGTTCCACAGGCGAGGAGCAAAAGAGAAAAATGCCGGTCTCCATATCCCTTGGGATGAGTAACTAATTGCCACAGAGTCTAAGCAAAGAGTCTGAAAAATCTTCATTTTGAGAGAATATGTCATCAAAATTTTCAGTAAAAAGAAATTTATACCAACTGATGAACTGTAAGATATTGGACTTACAATTAATGCAATTAACTTTGATGGTGCACTCTTGTGCGCAGATTAAGCACTTTTTTGTTTTTTCATAAACTTTGGCTTTTTTCAATTGTTACTGCATTCCGATATGACTTCAAATTTTGTGATTGAGATATCACCTAAATCAATTCTTTTTTACTTGAAATTCATTTGGTATTAATTGATCTAAAATGAAATTGTATAAAATATGAGAAATCGTGGATCAAATATTATTACATTGCTAATATTTTTGTTAATCTCTGCAAACTTCGGATAAATTTTAAATTATATTTTTAATCAATTCTAGCCAGGACCGGGTAGAGCTGAGGAAGAGTATGTCGCTACTAAGTATGTGATTTGAATTTTGATGCAGAAAGGATATTAACAAATATTTGATGACATGACTTGCTCTATTTGCATCTCTACAGGTCAAAGCCATCCTATCACCATGATCATTCCTGTGAGGTGTTTCACCTGTGGCAAGGTTGTGGGCAATAAATGGGAGGCCTACCTTGGACTACTCCAGGCAGAATACTCAGAAGGGTAAGTTGTCAAAATGAGGAGAGTAGATGGGGTGGGTAAATGTGAAAGCAGAGATTTAGCAGAGGTGTATATATATATATATATATATATGCAAACCTTCAAAAGAGTTCCCACTGGTCAATTGTCCCTCGGAGGAGAATTGGAGCCGTCGGTCCTCGGGTTGCTTACTTGCAAGCATACACATGCTTTCTTAGCAGTCCGGTAAAAAACAAAAACAAAAAAACTAATGGGTCACACTCCCGCTAGCTGTGTGGGGCTACAGCTCACTATCACTGCTGGTTTTTCAGTAAATTAAAGTATTACTAAAATCAATGTCAATGTGATTGAAGTTACTTAAATGTGTTACTTTACTTTACTTGGTACTCAGTAGGAAGAATTTCCTTGAAAGCTATAGAGAGGTGAAGTGTGACGTCATCAAAAATCTATTTTTAGAATTTCTCAATTTTTTTTCTTCATATCCGAAAGAACATCAAAAATAATGTCCAAATGTCGAAAACCAATTGAATATGTTAAGTTTTGGCTGAGATATGACCATCTGAATGAATATATGTCCTATGGGAACTCAGTGTTATATGCTCTGGCTCCTAACCATTAGGAGCCAGAGCATATAACACTGAGTTCATATGGGGAGTATATTTATTCAGATGGTCATATCTCAGCCAATACTTAACATATTCAATTGGTTTTCAACATTTGGACATTATTTTTGATGTTCTTTCGGAATATGAAGAAAAAATTGAGAAATTCTAAAAATTGATTTTTATGACGTCACAGCTTCGGTACTCTATAGTGCCTTATTATGGTGGCTCAGCTACAGCTGGGGTAATAATATGATACCTTTTATTAAGCGCAGTAGAGTATATCCATATAGTAGTTGTGCCACAGAAATGGACCTATTACTACATGTATTATAATTATTATTCAGAAAGAAGACTTTCTTTTACTATCTTACTATTGTTAAAAAAATATTGTTTTCTTTTTATTTGACAGAGATGCTCTGGATGCCCTTGGACTGAAGAGGTATTGCTGCAGGAGAATGTTATTAGCCCATGTGGATCTCATTGAGAAACTCCTCAACTACGCCCCGCTGGAGAAATGATCTTCATCTCTACTTGTTGCACTGACATTCATACCTGTAAATAGTAAACAATGACAAAGCTTGGTGACCCAAGTTTCCATGTGGCATCGAGATGCGGCACTTCAGACAGTTGCTATTTGGAAAGTCACACTCCAGCAGAAGAGTTGATTTGAGGACATCTCACAGTGGCATTATAATGTATAGAACTTTGTGAGGAAATAAGTTCTACTCTTCAGTGTGATATTGCACGTCTTCTTTTTCACCCATTGACCACTGAATTCTTTTTATTCTCATAGGCTCTATTACAGGAGACCAACAATTCCCTTTAATAGGCAATCAATCATTTTCCCTCTTTTTTAAAAATATTTATGAATAAAACAAATCTGCACAATTGCAGTATTTCTGTAACGTTGTTTGCCAGAATTAATTACTTTTCATTCATCATATAATATATATGTGTCTACCTTTTTAAACTAGGCACACTTGTTTACGTTAGTATCACATGTTTCTCAAGCAGTACTGCACAATAATATCTCTCAAATCAAAGATGTGTTAATTGTTTTCCGGCAAGGGGGGGGGGGGGGGGGGGGTCTTTTTGAAAGTTTAAAGGAAGAGGAGCGTTCAGGAACTATTGTGATGCGCCTAAGGAAATGTGTGCCCAAGCTGCATTACTTTAATTTGGATTGTAGAAATAATGTCTTTTTTCCTTTCCTTTTTACATTAAATAACGAAAGTTTGAAGCTACAATTTGATTACTCTGTGACATTCAAGTTTATGTACTTATCTGATAATCAGACATCCTATAACTCAACTGAATTATTTTCATGTTTCACTAAAATGTGAAGAGTTTTCTATTGTTTTAAGAGTGGGCTTTAAATAGGATATCAAAAGAAGTCAGAAAAAGATACATTTCGAGTTCCAATGCATTCATATTGTCCACAAGACTCCACACTCTAATGCTCAACCTCACGTTGTATTTTATATGTATAGCTTCCCAAGAGTAAATATTGGCTTTATCCCGACCCGACTGCTTAAAGCTTGTCTGCCATAGTTTACAGGAGGGATTAGAGCGCCCTGCAAGGTCACTGGACAGGTGGTTATCTCATCAACTCAGCTCTCAGTTAACATTAAAAAAAAGAGGATCATAGGGGACCAATGGTCACCGATTAGGCATTGTTTGTTGTAAGAGGGCGCAAGTAGCTACAAGTAGTGCAGTGGGCCTTTAAATAACAGTCATGGAGCTACATCAAAGTCTATGGTATAGGTGTATTCATTCCATAAAGTTATTTCTGGTCGAAGATGATGATTATGTCTTGAAAAGCCCTGTGATGTGTCTTGTAAAATGTAATGTTTTTTTTAAGAATAAAATAAAATTACTTGTAAATTATAGACGTTAAACGTTCCACATTTCTTTTACTATGCAATTGCATGACCAGAACTGGTCTTTACCTTTAAATCACTCATTGGTTAAATATATGAATTATAATCTTTACTTTACACCAGTAATAGAAATACTCAAGAAGGCAATTATATGTAATTAAAAGTAGTTTTTTAATCAATTACAAAACATAGTAGGACTCCGCAGTCAAGGTTTTTGGTGACAAACTGGAAATATTATACAACCAGGCGAAGAACTATTGCAATGATTAAACACAAAACACATGATGGAAAAATTGGAACTGGATGAAATCTTCATCCGAAACGGTGCTTACAATTATATTTACAAAGGTTGCGAAGATAAGTAGATTTACAAACTTCAAAGTTAATTACATTAATGTAGTTTAGGTCAAATGTGGACCACTGTTAGATGTCGAAGGTATACTGTTCAAGTTTTGTCTGATACACAAGTGAAGTGATGGAATATAGAGTATCTTATCATATTTGAGCAGACATTGTAATAGGTCCACCAACTCAAGACAATTATTAATGGATACATGACATCTTTTGATGTCAACCTCTGTCGGCCAATGCAATACCAAGTCATACAAGATACCCTGGACTTTCTCTTGCACATGGACAATCATATCAGAACTACCTCCTGTACACACCCCCCTCCCCATTATTCTCTTTGGAAAACTATCCCAGCTACGCCTAGGTAATAAGTAGAGGTCCGGGGTGGGGGTGACTGATTGTGCTGGAGTTTGCATTTAGGGATAGTTGTCGAGGGGAGGGGGGGGGGGGGGGGAGGGTAGGGTTAGGTCAAATACACATGAAGGCATATAGGTATACCTATGATACAGGGTTAGATTATTTATGAACACACACACACATAAATGATATCATGTTTTCTAATTGCTTCTGACTGTGAATGAAAGGGAAGGCAAATATACAACCTGGATTTATTTTTAACATCCTCAAGAAAATTAAAGTTACTGACCTTTGGTTTCAATCAGTGTTCATTGCTTGGCATTACAACTTACTTGCGTCAAATAACAGAACTGTTTTGAACTGGGTTTTTTAAAAGATTTTGCATAAAGAGGACTGTAATATATACATGTGTACAAATTCAACAGCACCAAACTTGTCCTCTTTATATATGTTACATGCCGAAATCCAATAACCACTTGGGGGTAAAAAAAAAACTACTTACAATAAGAGACTTACTTTGACTAGATTCGAAACAAACATACATTACATGATGGTATTGAAAATAACGACCTGCAGTGATTTCAAAGATGTTAATTCATAATGCAAACTTTAAAAAAAAGTCATAATACTGGATTGCTGTCGCATATTCCTGACAAACTAACAAATATAAAAGACAAAATATAATCAAAACCATTCCTGATTTAATGAAAAAAGGGTATAAAGCATACATTACCATATGACAAAGGAGAATAAAATAAGCCAAAAGCATGTATGTAACACTAGCAAGAGTAGGCTATGAAATTGTGAAGAGTTTTGTAAATTGGTCTCATTAATGAAAAACTGATTAGATGCATTATCATTGGTGACTCGTGGTAAAAAAGTTTTGTGGGCTCTTCACTTAGGGGGGAAGAAGGGGAAGAGTGTCCCTCCGTAGAAGGAAGGGAGTGGGGCTGCTACCCAACGATGAAAACTACATTTCTAAAACCATCATCATTATTTAACGAATATTAACAATCTAGAACATTATTTCAGGAAAAAAAATGTACATTATATGCTATTATTCATTAAAAATAAGTATTAAAAAAAAAAAATCATCAATCGCATAAACTCAAATGTCAGACATTCTGATGAAAATTCTTTGCATCGAAGTGGCAAATATAATTCCTATAATTTGAGAACATTTTTTTCTAATCATAATATTTGTGTTTCATGAAAATATCTCTTCAAGGAAACTTCCATGTTGGTTTCAACAAGGACAATTAATACTTTCATTTCAAATGTTTAATCTTAATAACATAACATGCCACATGAAAGACCCTATAAAAAAATTACTCTACATACTCTAAAAAATTCAAACACGAGTGTTGAACATTTTTCCTTTCTTTTTTTACAGATCTAGAGCTATCATCAGTTAAAATCATTTAGAATATAAATAATTGCTAATTTTCTAATTTGTTTCTAAATTGTTTCATACCCCAAAGTGTCATCTGATAAAGAAAAAAATCTCAACATTCACCACATAATAGAACAGAAAATATGATCCATGAATTTAAATCACGGCACAAAACACATTGCTCATTTACAAGTGGAATCAATAATTTACAATTTGACTACATGAAAACTATCTAAAATCATGACTTTCAACACGTCTTTCTTTTTTTCAAAAGATTTGTACAGGAAAACTTGAAAGATAATTCCTAGCGTATCTTTAAATCGTAATAGATAAAAACACAAGCTTTCAAAGAAGATAGAATGTATTCTATTTACAGGTTGAGTTAAAATTTGCGACTGAGAGAAGAATGTTGCTTGTGTTACCGTCTTCTACCGCTCTTTCGGCTTATCTGTAAATTAAGAAAATATAAAGCAAGAATAAGTCACATTAAATGAAACAAAAGGTACATGTACCAGGAGCTACCGAAGTTCTACAAACATTTCAAGAACTAATCAAACTAAATTTACAATCGGCAAGGAATTTGTTTGTGATAGACTCTGAAACTGTAGTAGGATCCTTTGAAAAAATATATAAACTACTGTTAAAAGTACAATGACAATTCTGTATGTAAACTATTTTTGTTCTTCTTTCAAATCAAAGAAACCAATAGAAAAATACATAATTTCAGAGGAGAGAATGAGAGAGATAGAGAGAGACTGACAGAGAGATACAAACAGACAGAAAGATAGAGAGAGACTGACAGAGAGAGATACAAACAGACAGAAAGATAGAGAGAGACTGACAGAGAGAGACTGACAGAGAGAGATACAAACAGACAGAAAGATAGAGAGAGAGACAGACAGACAAAAAGAGAGGGACAGAAAGAGAGAATAGAATAGAATAATTATGAGGCTAGGCAAGGGCATAAAGAGAGACGAAGAAGGACAAAACTGGATAAACAAGATGGGAAATAAACAAGAGCCTACAGGAACATCTATCAACATGAAAGTATCAACCATTAGACACTCGGGAGAAGATGCATCAATGTGACATTGGGAGAGTTTGAGTAATACTTACATTAAGCTTTGCCTTGACTGGTGATTTCTTGGTGGCTTTCACAGGGCTAGCCTTCTTAGGAGAAGTGTGCCTCACGTTCTTCTTCCTGTTGAAGAAATGTAGGAAGTGTGACTTACATGTAAACGTTACATATCTTGACTAATGCACTTGTCATTTGTAAGACGCACCTCTTGACCCCCGGGAATGGTGCGTCATTGTACCGATGTGAGTCGTACATTTTGATACCATGACGCACCTTCCGTCACAGAAAGTGACACACCATTACATTCCATCGACGCACATTTGAGTCAAACATATGACACACCATTTCATGAAAATGACTAGCCAATGACGCACATTTGAGAAACACTTCTGCTTGGAGAAAGTGACGGTCCCATTGACACACCAAATGACGCAACGTGGTAAAGTGACTTACTATGACGCACATATGGGTCAGTATTGTGACGGACATTTTGCGGCCATGACGGTACTGTGCGTCGCGATTTTGGGGAACATGACGCAACCATGACGCACCATCCCCGGGGGTCAAAAGGTGCGTCTTACAAATGACACCTGCATAAACTTGCAAGGTGCTTAAGATGTATCATTGGAAACATTTTCTTACAAGCTCTCCTCTTTAAATAGATGATTTCCTTCCTCCACAATCAAGGAGGAGATTCCTTGCAATCTTTTACACAAAGCGAATGAATGGAGAGGTGCTTCGGTGGCCCATCAATCAAGTACAATCAAATTGGCAACAATGTGCGCTTGACTTGACTGGTTGAAAACAACTTTAAAACAACTTAAAAAATAACTTTTGAATTTTGAAACTTCATCAAAACAACCTCGACACTAGGATGGACTTCCCATTTTAATAATTTGAATGAAGGGGAAAAAAAACTAGGTGAAATGACTCACATTGCAGCCTTGAGTGTTGTCTGAATCATCTTCCTCCCTGGTGATTTCATAGGTGATGCTTTCCCGTTGACGAGCTTACGTGGTGATGGAGAAGCTGCCAGCTTTCTTGTGACACTCGCTTTCGTGGGAGATGCTGTCTTTCCCTTGAGACTATAAGAGGGACATATATTGATGAGGAAGAGAAAGGGAAAATAAGGAGTTTTTCATCTCAGAGTTGACTATGAGGAGGTGATGGGGGTCTGATGAATAAGCCAATAGAATGTAAATGGAAGGGATTGCAGTCTAGTCGCTGCGATGAACCTTTGCAAGAGAGTAGGTTTTTTTTATTGTCACATCGTCATAGTGAACTGATAAATAGAGAAAACTATATTTGTTTAGATTTCTTATGTAATACAATTGCCATTTCGTCGAAAATCAGATTGCAGGACGACCGTGTAGTGTGCGCTAGACTTTCCAAAAACATTTGTTTTTAATTAGCAGGCTATAGGGTCTGTCAGAAAGATACAGCAGCCAAAATATATTTGAACGTCAAAAGAGCATGTCTAAATAGTTCACATCTTGTCACTTTTGTCACTTGAAAGAGAAATTTCTGCAAAACCTTGCATGGCCTCTGAGTAATTGGAGGCTTATGAAAGTCTAGACTACATCTCTATGATGATACTAAATAAAACAAGAACACTAATCACAAAAACCAACTTACATCGCAGGGGACTTCGTTTTCAAGCCTCCCTTGGTAGCAAACTTCTTAATTGGGGATACTTTGGTGGTGGCAATTTGCTTCTTGGCACTCGCTGCCTTACTTGCTGCAACTTTCTTCACCGGGGATATCGACTTGGTCGAAGATGATGATGACGTTGACGAGGACGATGACCTCGCTGGCGACACCATGGGAGGGCGCCCTCTACCTTTGACGACTGGAGATGAAAGACGTGGAGTGGATTTGGCGGATGGTGGAGCAGGCTTCTTGGGTGATTTTGCTTTCGCGACAGCAGCTGCTGGCACTCTTCGCACGTTGGTCTTTTTGGCAGCTGGCTTGCTCTGTTGCGTGGCCTTGGACAGGGTGGACTTGGTGTGGGACTTTGCAGGAGATGGTGCTGGGGATTTTGTTGGAGGTGGCACTTGCTTTGATGGTCGTCCCCTGGTGGTGGTAGTTGGTGTGGCGGATTTGGGCGTGGCCGATTTGGACTTGGTCAAGTTGATCTTTGGCGTTCCTGAGGAGGCTTTGTTGGAGGGTCCTGGCTTGGGGGATTTCATGGGGGAGGGTGGGGAGGAAAGCTTACGGCGACCACGCGGCCTTTTCTGTTCATTGTCCGAGAATTGAGGTAATCTGTGGTGCAAATACAAAGAATAAATACCATTAATTAAATAAAATTTCTTGATGACTGAATGGTCATTAAAATTAGAAATATGAATCCAAACTCTTCCGTCAAACAGCGTCAACCATACTCTGCTAGTGGACTGCATGCCATAAATTATGGGTGGAGTTGTAGGGCAAAGCCCACTGGGGGAGGTCCAGGGAAGAACAGGAGATTTTAAGGAAATCGTCATAAAACACAAGATATTCAACCCAAAATCTGCATTAAGAAATGTCGAACAGGAGAACCTTAAGCAAAATCATCTCTGCATCCCCAATTGCAAACACAGGATTTAATTTTGTGTAGCCTGACTTATGACTTACTTTGTAGCATGCTTGACCCGCTCTGATCTCTCCGAGGCATCCTCTGCTGCGGCCTTTGCCTTCGGACTCATGGTGATAATCCTCCTAGACTTCTTGAGAGCCGGACTCTGTGAGTCCTCACTGCTACTCCGCGCAACCGCCGCCGCCCCTCCTCTCTTTGTTGCTGTGCGCTTCAGTGGTGCCTTCACAGGCGAGCTCTTAGGGGTAGATTGTGAGTCAGAAGACGATGACTGGCTGGAAGACTTGCTGGGTCGACCTCGCTTGACCTGTTGTGAAACGGGTTTGACCTGGTTGGTCTTTGACCTTGATGCTCTCCCTGAGGTCGGCTTATTGCCTTCATTGATCTTCTCTGTGAGTGGATGTTCCTTTTTGTCTTCTGCCGCTTTTCTGCATGATGAAGAGAATAATGGAAGTAACGTGACGTACCTGTATGCAACTTGAAAGTCTGAAATCAACAATCACGATGCTCTACTAACTGTCCACAAACTTGATTTGTTTATTCATTTCCGGTTCCTATTATTTGACAATGCAATTTCGCTCTAGATTTTGATTGGTTTAGTAAGAGTAAGGACTACAAATGACATTTTTTCCTGAAAAAGAAACTAATGCATTTACATGCATTATAAAGGTTTATTCTCATGATATATACCTTTAACCTAACAAAAAACAAGGATATTATAACAAAATTAATAAACAGTTAATTATGAAAATATTCATAATCCTTGATTTGACATTTGCTTCCGTGACAATTGCTCCGAGCTTTAGTTTGTCAAAGATAGAGGGATTCTGATTAGTGTGTTGCAATTGAGGTGAGGTTAATATTAGAATTAGGTTTAGGCCCGCCTATAGTGTTTAGTCTGGGACTTAAGTCCGAGCTTTGGCTATTTTACAAAATTGACTGTGGAGCAATTGTTGCTTAAAATAAGCATGTGTCTTATCACAAAACTTTCTGTATCACTAAAAGGGTACCTTGTTCTCTTTGATTTCTTCTTCGGTGAGACTACTTCATTTTGCTCTGTGGATGCTTCTGCCTTTGCTGCTCCTCGTTTCCTCTTGCCCTTCCCCATAGGACTGCTGTTCTCGTCTCCGTTGCCATTGGTAACGATGCTGGCATCACCGCTCTCATTCACTACAGCCTCTTTCTTGACAGCACCTTTCCTGCCTCGGCCTCCCTTGGGTTGTGGGGACGACTCGGCCGCTTGCTCCTCATCCTTCTGTTAATCGATAAGGGGGAAACATCATAATTATTCATCAACAATTTACAAAAACCGTCATTCTTGTTAAATACAGTAAAAGCTGCTTTAGCAACCACTTGTATAGAAAGACCACCTGTCTATAAAGATCACATATTTTGTTTCCCTAGAAAATGGTTTTTCTTATTGAAACATGCAATAAAAGAACCTGTACATACATGTAGAGACCATTTGCCTATAAAGACCAATTTTCTTGTCTCCTTTGAGTGGTCTTCATATACGGGTTTCACTGTATTAATCTAGCAACTGCAAGTTTTGAGGAGCTGCAAATCTATAGCCCATTGGTGAAAACAAACAAGAAAAGTAAGTACATGGATTAAATGTAATATTTGACATTTTACAATGAAAATGTGTAGTTGAATGTGCACAAATCTTGAGTAATAATACTTGGAGAAGCATACTTAAAGTTCGTAACATCGTGCTTATGATAATAAGGGCTTCTTTTGATTAGCCCTGACGTCTTGAGATCATTAATGAAATGGGGATTATCCCACCGACAAAGTGGTCATCATGAAAATTGTTCTACCTCTACTCGAGCTAACCCCTACTGAAGGTCAATTCCCCTGTGAGCGAGACCCCAGGAATTGTTTCAAGAACTAACAAGAAAGAGAGGCATACCTTGTCATCTTGACTGAACTGCTCCTGGAAGCGTTTGGGCAGGAAGTTGTCTTTGTTGTGGAGCAGCTTCCTGGGCTTGTAGAAGAGTTTCCTGGGTAGTAGGATGTCTCCAGGATGATCCTTGATGCTGAGGAATGGAGCCTTGTTCTGGAGCAACCCCAGGGTCAGGTCACACAGGGCATACATTTTCTGAAAACATAAATAATAATAATAATATTGGATATTTATATAGCGCACATATCCACCATGCATGGTACTCAAGGTGCTCAACTATTACCCCGGCTCTGCTAGGCAGCCGATTTCGGCACTCACAGCATTCAAGGAATTCCTTCCTACCGGTACCCATTTAACACCTGGGTGGAGAGTGGCAAATGTAGATTAATATCTTACCAAAGGACATTAGTGCCGTGATGGAACTCAAACCTCGGACCCTGTGATCCACAGTCCAGCGACTTATCCACTAGACCACAACACCTCTTTCAATTATGTACGTTGCATTGTAGCTTTTCAGTCATATTTCTTTACAGTTACGTATTAAGTCCTATGTTCATTCAGATTATTATAAACATCGTATACAATAGGCATAATGTCTGCAGAGAGGGAGTGGGGCATCAACCTGTCCCATTTTAATGTCTTGCCAGCTTTCAGCAGACAATACATACAAGAAACTTACTCTGTTTCTGCTCCTGTCATCGATACACTGAGCATCCTTCATTTGTTTGATGGTTTCCAGGAGTTTGCGCATGAAGCTGCAGTTCTCTGCCTTATCTATCAGGGGTTTCAACATGAACCACATACATCTGATGGAAATAATAGAGAGAGGGAAAAAGAGCAATAAGAATTATTGATAACCCCTGAAAAATAAGTTATTGATCATTTGAGATATCAAGTAAAAGCATTCTTGTCATGAAAACTATCGTCTTTAATAGTATAAAAGGGCTAAATATGTTTCTTTAAAGTTTTCATATCATGCAGCATTATCATCATTGTCCTCATCATATTCATCATCAGCATAATCATCATCACCACCATCATCAACACCACCACCACCACCATCATCATCATCATCATCATCATCACCATCACCACCATCACCATCATCATCATCATCATCATCACCATCACCACCATCACCATCATCATCATCATCATCATCATCACCACCACCACCACCACCACCACCACAACCACCACAATCATTATCATCACCGCCACCATCATCACCACGACCATCACAATCATCATCATCATCATCATCATCATCATCATCAGCATAAACATTATCACCACCATCATCATCATCATCATCACCATCATCACCACCCTTCATGCATACATTATCACCTGTACAAGCAAATCTAATAATAACTTACTCCTTGATGTCCGAGAGAGCTTCAGAGTCCTTGAGGGTCATAAAGTCAGGGTCATGGGTCAACAGGTGAATGGTGTATGGAATCACATACTCTGGTAGCACAGAAATCATTTGAGCTGCAAAGACAAATCAAAGAGTTGAGCAACCACATTTTACACAATTTTTTATGACAAAGACTATCGGATACAGAGTACGAGTAACATAACATCTAATGATTTGGGAGGGCTAACAATTTTTAATTAAAGTTGACAAATATAATTTTACAAGCTTGCTACTGATTGACTTTGATATAATTGACAGAGAGCTCTCCCAGAAGCATATATTCACAAAAAAGTAAAAGTACTCAAACTTTTTAACCCTAAAAAGACCAGGAAAAGGGGAAAGGGGGGGGGGGGGGGTCGGTGCCTGTAAGAGTACCTAAACAACCAAAAGGAAGCCTTTTGAGGTTTTAATGGAAGCTAGTTGCTTACTCCTTGTCAAGAACTAGTCAATTGAATCATGTGAAAGCAGATATATGTTGATACTGTGTTATGAAACAGAATGATAGAATGATCCCTCCAACTCCAGAGTTCCCTCAAAGCCTGTCTGCACTAGTTTGGCCAGGAGGGATTAGACCTCCCTGCAAAGTCATTGGCAGGCGGCATCTCATCAAATCAATTAACATAAGAAAAAGAGGATCATGGGGGACCAATGGTCACCGATTAGTCATTGTTTGCTATATAGAGGGAGCAAGTAGCTAGAAGTTGTACAGTGGGGCATTAAGTTCCAAACTTACTGGCAGTGAGCGTATGGTTCTTGAGGTACTCCCTGCGTGTGGCGATGTTCCTGGCGATGTACTGGGAGGCCCTGGACTTGCTGTCTTGGACGGGGTCCTTGGCACACAGGGAGAAGATGCTGAGGTACATGAGGGGTAGTCTTAGGTTGATCAGACCTCGGTTCAGCTTCATGCCAAACTGCTCCCTCACTTGGTAGCATTCATCCTGTAATGCATAATAAAATAAATACTTGTCTCTGAGGGCTACACTAAAACCAAACTACACTTCACTATCATGTTCCCAGATCTTATGGATCCTACCACTATAACTGATTTCAAAAAAGCTTTTTTTTGACCGATGGTTGGTCTTTCCAAAAACAAAAACAAACAAAAATCTTTAAAGGGCTACACTGACTGTTCAAAGATTTTAGCATTACATCCAAGAACCTATTTTGAAAGAAGTTCAGGTGAACTGAGTAATTTTTTGGGGGGGTCATTCTGGTATATTCTCCTCAGTGACCTGCTGAATATTTCTACAGGGGTCTTTCTGGAGTTAATAAAGCAAATTGCTCTAAGCCCCTGTTTTTTTTTTCTCCATTGGTACTGGCATGGTAAGAAGTCAAAACAACTCTTCTAATTAATCCATACACCTCTATCAATTCATCATTTGTAAAGCAATGATGGAACCGTGAAAATAATACAATAAATGCACAAGGATGGGTACAAAACGGCAAAGCCTGCAAGCAATCAATACATTATTCAACTCATTCGCCCGTAATGTAACAAGTACGTCCTAGCATTGCTACAGCCCATTGTCATTGATTAGCGGCTTTAGGTCTACTTTCCGGCAGCCAATCACACCCAGTAATGTTTTTGAGTACTTCTTTAGCTCCCGCATATACATTGTCTGATTTTGGCTTTTGGTTCATTCTTGCGATTTACTCCAATGAGTGCAACACAAAAAGTTTACGTATCAGGAGTGATAGTGAGGAAAAACAAATCTGCAAAAAAATTGGGAAACCAATGAAAAACTGGTAATTATCAGGCCTGTAGTATGTCTTTTTTCGTTGCTATTCTTAAAAAAAGTCAATAGAAAGATAGAATGAATGACTCACATTGATAAGTAGGGCTAATGTTTGGAATTGTTCCAAGGTGACGAGCTCCACGTAGCAGTTGATCCGAGCGAGCTTGAGGATAGCACAACCAGCTGCAAGGCGTAGGCGAGACATGCTGGATTTGCTGTGAGCACGGATAAGAGTAGGGATTGATTTGTAAAATTTGTGTAGTCATCCTTCATTGGGAAGGCAATGTATGTGGATTTATAAGTATCTTCATGAACATTAGCATAAACATTATCATCAATATAAACATCATCATCACTACCATCATTAATTTTTCATCCTCCTCCCTCTCCTCCTCCTCCTCATCACCACCACCATTATCATCGTCATTATCACCAACATAGTGATTATCATCACTATCTTCATCATCATCACCACCACTATTATCACCACCACCACCACCACCACCACCACCAACATCACCACCATTACCTTGTTTTCTTTTTCTCCATAAGATCTCCTTCATTCTTGATCATAGTTGTGAGGAGTCTGATGGTGGATGTAGCCGATCCGTTCTGATTGCTCTTCAGACCCTCCAACCAATGCACTAGAAGCTTGATGCACCGAATCTGGATGGAAGTCACATCATAACAAAAGTAATTTTCAATTCTGTCCATAGTTTTATTTCATCTGTTCATGCTCCTGATTTCATATCTTTATCATATGATGTTTCTCATACAAAATCTTCCAACTCTTATCTTTCTTTCTAATGTGTCTTCTATAATTTGGAGAAGAGGGGTTGGAACGACAATTATTTGGCAACTTCATTATCATGTAAGTATAAAGAATGAACAGATGAATGAAAATGGGCATAAACAATTCAGCTGTGGTATCATGAGGGGGAATGTTAATTAACCTCAAATGTATGAATCTATTGAAAACATAAAATGTCATGGCTATATTTGTTCGGTAGAATTTGAATATTTCTCTTTTTTCACTCGGATTAATGAAATTACACATCTTGAACATCTGACTTTTGAAAAATACTCAATGTGGTCCTGTCAATCAACAGAAAATTCTGATGCACAGGACCACATAGACCCATAAGAAAAGGAGACTTTAGCTTCAAACAGCTCATGCAGTGTCAACTCTTACCTTGGCCTGCGTTTCCTCGGTAACCATGTTGTCATGGCACCAGATACCCTTGGTGGGCGTGCCCTCTGTCTGGTCCTGCATGAGGAACCCCTTGACCACCGTGTTGGCGACTAGAACCTTCATGGGCTGGCTGAACACGTCCGGTGCGAGTCTGGCCAACTGACCGACGGTCATCAGGGCAGTCAGGTGACTCTCGTGGTCCAAATTGATGTTCTTACACACACTCTACATTTTTTTTGGGGGGGGGGAGGGGGTGGGGGGTAAGAAAATGAATAGCATCATTAGCGAGCGAAATCTGTGTTGATTTGATTCAATTTGCTAGAGACACCATAAAAAAAATGTCTTGGGATGGCAACAACAAAAAAGAGGCTTAAACATAAACAAAATAGTAAAAGTTTGTTTCCCTGATACATGAAGTACAGATACTACATATAATTGTTTTTATTTTTTTTAAACAGTGTATACATCACCAAATTGTTTGTTTTGTACACACATCTATCTGAATACCACTACTGCAAATAACACATCATTAATCAGAAACCAAAATTATATGATAAGGTAAAAAGCCAGAATTCTAGAAGAAAAAGTGATTTAATGTTTCTCTGTATTCTGTCTCTCAAAAACTTTCTCATTTGGACAACAACAATTTTTTTTTAAAGTCACCTAATTACCTAATGAGTACTAACCTGTAGACTATTAAGCTCAAACCTTACCTACAGGATTCAATACTCTATTCTCAACCACTCAAGCTACTCATATGAGTGTGCTTACCTGAAAGAGCTCCACAAAGATGGCCTTCTTGTTATTAACAGCCACATCCAGACATTTGATAGCTCGCTTGGCCTGAACTGGTGTTCCATTCTTGGCTAAGTGGACAAGGATTTTGATCAAACCCCTGTGGAAACAAAAAAATTGAAACAGATTGTATAAAATTGTAGGTTCCATGGTTAAAATTGATTGAAGAGAATAAATGAAACTTTTTTAATAAAATAATAAAATGGTATACTCCATCACCACTACTACACAATCTCCGTCATCATCGTCATCATTATCATTATCGTCGTCATCATTATCATCACCATCATTATCATCACCATCTTCATCATCACCACAACCACCACTACCATCAAAACCATCATCATTTCGACTTACTCTGCAATGTCAGGGAAGTCTGCCTGCATGTCGTAACCTGCCTGGGTGAGTACACATCACCAGCATCAGCATCTAAAATGTTGTCATCGTCATTATTATCACTATTCATCATCACCACCACCACCATCACCACCACCACCACCACCACCACCATCACCACCCCCACCACCACCACCACCACCATCATCATCACCACAACCACTACCACCATCAGAACCATCATCATTTTGACTTACTCTGCAATGTCAGGGAAGTCTGCCTGCATGCCATGGCCTATTTCGGTGAGTACAGATCACCACCATCACCATCTAAAATGTTGTCATCGTCATCATTATCACTATTCATCATCATCATCACCACCACCACCACCACCATCATCACAACCACCACCACCACCACCACCACCACCATCATATTGGCTTACTCTGCTATGTCGGGGAAGTCTGCCTGCATGCCGTGGCCCGTCTGGGTGAGTACCTGGAGGGCCACATCTGCTACCTCGTCCTCACCCATCTGCAGCATGGAGATCAGCTTCTCGTAAGACTCCTTGGTGCTGAAGCCTCGAGGATACACCAGGGACAGAATCTGTGGGCGAGGGAGGGGGAGAGCAGGGCAAAGGAGGAGGAAGATGAGAAGGAGTAGGAGAAGGAAGAGGAGGAGAAGGAAGAGGAGGAGAAGGAGGAGGAGGAGAAGGAGAAGGAGAAGGAGGAGGAGAAGGAGAAGGAGAAGGAGGAGGAGGAGAAGGAGGAGGAGAAGGAGAAGGAGAAGGAGAAAGAGGAGGAGGAGAAGGAGAAGGAGGAGAAGGAGGAGAAGAAGGAGGAGAAGGAGAAGGAGAAGGGAGAGAAGGAGGAGAGGAAGGAAGAGGGAGAAGAGAAGGAGGAGAAGAAGGAGATGACCATTATTTAGATAATTCCACTTAAATATTAACACCGGGCCATTACAAGCAAGTTCTTCATATCTTGGTTGCTCCCTTCTGATATGAAGATATTTGTGAAAGAGTGAAGAGAAAAAGGGTAGATAGATATCATATTTGGCTACACATATACAGTAAATCCTTAAACTTTCGTAACAAAATTCTTTCACAAACTGTTAGCAACAGCAATTTTCACAAGGAATATTTTTTAATTACGCTATCCAACTGGGATTCGATTACTTTGCAGCATTGAACTGTTTTTAATCTAGACCTCTTGCAAAATTTACAACAATTTCCTGTATTAAAAAATCTGTGTTTCTTAGTGATATGCTCCAGGTTAATCTAACCTGGAGAAGTTTGAGTCCTCTCTCCTCCAAGATCCTGAATGACACGCCTTCCACTTCATCTCCGGTGCCGTTAGCCTGGGCTGCGACCAGCTTCACCACCTCCTCGATGGCTGCCGAGTCGATGAGCAGAGGGGCGATGCGTTCCATCAGTGTCTTCATGGTCTCGTACAGCGGGGAAGGGTTCTGGGGGTTGCCAAATTTCTTCATAACTTCTCCCTGGAAGGATACAATTAGAGAAGAATGAGAAGAGAGGGAGCGAGAGATAGAAAGATATAACAACAGAACAAGGGGACATAGAGAAAAGGTATCAGCACCAGTGAGAAATAGAAGAGAAGGGGTAACAAATCAACAAAGATGTATGAAAACATATATCAAATCTTCTAGGATATCACAGAAGAGTGAGAAATGATTATTATGAATAGATCTTTACTGTAATATAAAAATAATTAAAATACCAATAATCAAATAATATTCACAAATACAGTACATGCCTCACAACTACAGACACATATCATCTTTTGAGAGCCGGAAGGTGATTAATGTGTGAATGAATGTCTTTCTGGCTCTTAGCAAACGGTCTATTGAATATGCCACCAGACTGTGAACCACATGATTCGCGGTTCAAGTCCTGCTGCAGCACTAATATCAGAGATGCCAACCTTCTTCAACAAAAAAAAGTATTCTTAAGAGCAAAAAACAGTATTTTTGAAAAAATCTCTCAACTGAACATATCGCCCAATCGAGCAGCTTAAAAAACCAGGCAGTACCACGTATACGTACCCGGATCGGAGTGTGACGTGCATACATTACACATGGGTTGTTCACAATGTGCGCAGTTTAGGGCCCGTATCACCATCCTGCGTGCATCGTTTTAAGATGTAGGTGCATAATACACTTACGACACAAAGCCCATGATCAGAAATTAAGAAAAACATCACTAAAAAAAAAAAAAAAAAAAAATTTAAATTTAAAAAAAGTAACAAAACATACAAAAAACGTACTGCCGTATTCATAGCGAAAAAACGGAACAAATACGGCAAAAACGGAACAGTTGGCATCTCTGCAATATCCTTGGGCAAGCCATTGATCTACATTTGCCAGATAGGAAGAAATTGCTTAAATGCTTTAGCACCTCACCTTCAGCCGGGGTAATAATATAATACTTTGTACAGTCAAACCTGTCTATAGCGACTGCCAAAGGGAAACAGAAAAAGTGGTCTTTGAAGACAGGTGGTCTTTCTAGACAGGTTCCTTTAGTACATGTTTCAATGAGAAACCATTTTCAAGGGAAACAAAAAATGTGGTATTTGTGGACAGGTGGTCACTAAAGCAGGTTTTTACTGTATTTAGTGCGCTCTATAAATGGACCTATTATTTTTCATTTATTCAATGATTCAGTCAAATCCTATCATAACTTTACAAAATGTCTAAACTTACCACTCCCTGAATGGCTTTTTTGCAGAGAGTTTTGGGATTTATGACCTGTAGCATGAACGTCCTTGTTCTCTTGTCCATTGCAAAGTCTTCAATCATCCGTCTGACATGATCTTGTGCCTTGCCCGGCTCTGGCAGCATTTCTATCACAAAAAAATATATCAGCGTTTTCATTACCTTCAGTTTACTTCATGACTCTGTTTTGTACATTAAGATCACTTAGTATCTTTACCTTTTTACTGAACTATATTCATGAATTGATGCAGATATCTGCAAACTAATCATGGTCATAATGAATAACTTTGATGCTTTAAAGTTTAAATCATTCATCTCTTCGATGATATGATTTTTTTTTAGCTCATATGATTTTTTTTTAGCTCATCATGTCCTTGTATAGAGCCCTAAATCAAATGATTCTATTGATTGAAAACAAGAATCAATATGCTTTTCATATACACTAATTAAATGAATTTCAATTGTTTAATAATACAATACATTTTTTTTAAATTCACATGGCTAGTAAGTCACAGAAAAAGTAATACAACAGTACAATATCCATTAATTTACATCTAATTTTCCTGGCTATCTGCACATCAAGTTCCCTTGAATAATACCTCCAAGTTACATTTACAGAATTTTAAACAATATTTGTTCTGCTTACTTGCAATTGCAGCAACTTTGGGTACAGCTGCTTTCTTCCTCTCTTCTTCGTCTTCTAGGTCAAAGGTTTCCATGAGATCTCTTACATGCTGACGTACGTAGTGCTGACATTTCATCATCTCTATGATAGCCCTGTATAAGATAAGATAATTTACATTTTACACATGGGGAAAATCATCCAACAAAGATGGAATCGCCATAAAACCCCAACAAAGACATTGTTATATTTAATCTATCTGTTTCCATATTATTTCTTCAGCATTTTAAAAAGTTTGTTTTTCTGATTAAATAACTGATAAAGTTTACATGACATTGTTTATAGTTAGTTTACATGGTTATATTCACTCTATCTGTTTCCAGATTCTTTCTTCAGCATTTTAAATAGTTTATTTTCCTGATTAAGTAACTGATAAAGTTTACATGAAATTGTCCTGATTTGGTAGGAAAGAGGGGAAGGTCTAAAAATAAAACTCAGACAAGCAAACAATTGTTTTGATTTTTTTTGTTAATGACAATTATACTAAATCAGTGATTTGAATATGAAAAAAAGTTATTCATTATATGTTCTTTATAGGTTTGCATAGCGAGCTAGATGAGTCAGGTAAAAACTTAAACGACTACACCCTGTGTGTAGTCCTTACAGGGACTGGGTTTTTTGGGGGGAGAGATGTGTTAGTTTTTAAATGTACTGTTGTATAATTCTGTTGTGGTATAGTTCTGAAAAGAACTTGTAGATCTTTTGATTCACAGAATCAAGGGACTTATAGAGATAAAACAAATTAAGAACATCAATACTGGGGAATAAATAGAATACTCTTGAGAGATTGAAAAAGAGTTACACAACTTGCAGGATACATATATCAACAAAAGCTAAGAGTGGATACAGATGATAACAGGAGTGAAAATGATGAGAACAATGAATACATACTTGCACGAATTCTCATCCACAGAAGCAAAGAGTTTGTAGAGGCGCAGCATTCTATCTTTGACCTCCATGGTATAAGGTACAAGGGTCATGGTGAATATCCTCTCCACGAGTAACCTTGAGGTGAAAGGTCAAATCAGATATGTTAGATCAGAGTCAACATGACTAGTTTACTGAGAGGTGGATTTGTTTATTCAGTCACAAGGACAATGATGTGATGGCATGATTTTAAAACATTCTAAATAATTTGACAATGGTATAAGGGAAATACCATTGTCAATACCAAGGGAGAAGATAATTAACTATGTCTGTGTCATTTTTTGGAAAAAGTGGCGAATACTTTACTTAAAAATCAACTGAATACTATTTAAAATGCTATTCAGAACTAAAGATAAGAAAGAAAGACAAAATATTATGACTTTCGAGAAACAAGTTATTATTACAATCATTTACTTTACTTATTCATCTATTTATATTTTATTGTTCAATTTTGTCGGTAGGGATGGAGCTTACCACTACTGAATACGAGCTTATAAGGACATTTTTACTTTATGAAAAATATTTCATATATATCTTATGAGTGCATATTGTTATTCGAGTAGCATACATCTTAGCTTCATAATCCCTTCTCTCCTTATTGAGAAAATTATATATATATATATTAAATATATTTTATGAGTGCATATTTTCCTTCGATAAGCATACATCGTAGCTTCATAATTCCCTCTCTATTGGGAAAATTAGTTGAGCAATTCTAACAGTTAGTTGGAGATGTGGATATTTACCTGTCTTCAATATTGGGCTGATAGTACATGTGGAGCACTTTGTCCCTTATCCATAGCAACTGCTGTTTCTCTGCAGAGGAAGTGTCTGTAGAATGGTACCATTTCTTGAAGATATGACCCAGACCTAGGACAGCTTCCTTGCGAATACGCCACTGTACATACAAAAAAGATCATTATCAAACACGAGTCTAATGTTGCTTGATATTTGTAATATAGCTCTCTATAGAAAACAAATGTTACTTTGTATTATCAGACCTTTAGTCAATACAAAAACATATATCCATAGCTACTGATTTGTTACCCTGGAGGATACACTTTTATTGTGAAAACTGATTATACAAACATCCATTGCTATACACTTGTTATCACCAGACTATTTAACCCTTACTGTACTGGGCTATTTTTAGCACCTCGTGACTGGGGGGGGGGGGGGGGGGGGGCCTGGGAGGCTCCCCCCCCTATGATCTCGACCGTCGAAAGTCCGATGAACGCGAAAATTTGCAGGTTTGTAGATATTTACGTAAGGGACAAGATGGTATAATTAGTTTTTTCCTAATATGCAAATTATGCAAAATGCTAATTTTATGCAATTTACAGAAAACTTATATTTGTCTGTAGACTTGTGAAGAATGTTGAAAATGTATTGAATATATGTTTCCTTCATCTCAAATTCATGAGGTTCCATTATTTCTATGATATTTGAAAATACATAGGTTAATTTGCATAAATTTGCATAAATTATAGCATATTTTTGATGACATGCGCATACTAATTGTTATGTAACACCTTACAGGTATATCCTATTTCGACGAAAATGGTATCAAAATGTGCGTAAGACTTGAGGGGAATAAGTCATGAAACGACAATTCAAAATGGTTGCGGCGCAATCTCCGAAAATGTCGAGGGGGGGGGGGCCTCCCAGGCCCCCCCCAGTACGGTAAGGGTTAACAAATAATGATATCAGGTATTAAGGGGTGCTAAAAGCCGAAAGTACCTTTGGACCATAGCACAGAATTAAGGAAAACAAAATAGAACTGTACATCAAATGAATTAAATCACATTAAATCACTGTGAATATAATTATATTTCAAGGCCTCTTTTAAAGGGACTATGTCCCATTTGCAGGCCAAAAAAATGAAAAAGTTAAATTCCAACAGCATTTGAAAGATAATACTAATTTAGAACTTCCCTAAAAAAGGTGGGGCTTGAAAATGTCTTCAAGTGGGAAAATAACGACTATTAGTTGTCAAATCGACTTTAGGGCTATAGAGCCCAAAAGTAATAGTCTTGATTTTCAGACAATTGTACCGAATGGTCATACGTTTTATGCTGCGCAAAGATTCAATCAGTTTAATCTTGGCCATCACAAGAAGTGGGTTATTGATGTAGACAAATGCTCATGTACCCTTTACAACTCTTTTCATGTATGTTATTACCAAAGAAGAAAAAAGCCAGTCAGTCACTCAATAGTGTCTGACAGTGAAATCTAGCAAGTAAACGGGTTTCCTTGCATAATTTGAATATGAGGACACTGCTAACGTTTAAATTTCACAGATAGGACATACATGACATATTCATAATTCCTGCAAAGTTCTAAAGCATTTGAGGTTGGCTGCAAAAGGGACATAGTACCTTTAAAGGTGGTACAGTTATTGCAAAAAAAAATTTACAATACATGTCATTTTTATCAAATAAGCAATTACATCCCAGTTAACATGTGTCTCACCTTTTTGTCCAGTGTTCTTTCTTTGACCAAGGTTAGAAGATCTTCCTTCAAGTTGCTGATATCTCGTTTGGCAGTGGCAACGATGGCTGTTACGACTTCTTGCCTTACCCCCTCATCTGTGTCATGGGCCCTTTCCCGTAGTCGATCTGGATATTATAAAAGGGAGATGTGAGATGAATCTCTTTGTTAAAGAAACCAAAAACTCATTGAATGATAATCTCAAAAGTAATCAATATCATAAAATCTGTTATCTCTGTCTCAATATTTTATTTCAACTCTTTCTTATTATGTGTGTGGTGACATCCTGATATTGTTGCTTGTATTACCAATAGACAGCAACTCAGTATGAGGTTAAAATACAACCCCAACTGTGTCGTCATCTCACTTTTAGTTTGTGGATTGACTTAAAGTATACAATGTAATAACTTTTGACAGTTTGTTTGGAGCTAGCAGTACCAAAGTTTGTAATAGATACGATGTATGATCTGATATACTGAAGAATATTGTCAGTGTATCAAATTAAAATACACTGCCCTTTACAGAACATAATTGCACTTGCCAATAATGCTAGCATTGCAGTAACCCAGTAATGACTAGGTCACACTAATGCCTTGAGCCCATGAATTTCCTTTTCGATATGAAAACTGGAGAAATGAGCTGACATCAATCTGGGAATGCATGAATTTGAAGCGACATCAATATAGCTGCGTTTCCCATGCGTTAGGGGAAACGGATTGACAACACAAAAGGCCAGAAACAAATTTGGACATGCTCAAAATTCTAAATTTTCTGCTGTTTTTCCACTTTGTTTCTCCACATCGAACCAGCGTAGGGATGGTGTCGAAGTAGCCTTGAAATAAAATTGCATAGTTTAAACCTAGAATGCCATGTAGGATAGATGCACATGGGAAGTGCGTGCATTTAAAAACCCCAAGATATGAACTGACTTCGAAATGGAAAAGATTTGGTTGGGCCTAGGCATGATGAAAAATCATTCGTACCTGAGAGATCTGTGACCAGGTAGGGGTGATGGATGACGAACTGGGGTACAAACTTCACACACTCCATCCGGATGGGTATACTGATGTCGCTGAACCTGGCAGTGCAAACAAGAGAATCACAGTGAGTTAAAGGTAATTCATACTGAGCATGGCTTGAGAATTTAATTCACAGTGGCCCCCAAATTAAATCAATCATTTCATTAAAAGATATATAGCAAGGGCCCCTCTCCACCACCTCTCTTTCTCTTTTTTAATATCAAATTTTCTTTAAATGATGTGGAGAATCCATACACTTATCCAAAATATAAGTCATATTTTGAAAAAATTATAAACTGCTACATACAGCAATTACGAGGTACAATAAAAGGAAGGAATGGTGAGGAAAGATGGAAGGAGAGATATACAGGTAGGAAAAAGAAAGGAAAGAGATTGAAAGAAAGAGTAAAATGAGTGAGGAAAAGGTATAGAAAGAGTAAAGAAGAATAAAGGAGAGACAGAGAGTGAAAATGAGAAAAAATGCACTTTGATTAGGCAACTAGATATTGGCGCTTTATAAATACCTGGATTGGATTGGACAATCTATTAAATCAAGAAGTTGGAGATGGAATGATGGAAAGAGACCTTGAAAACAGAATTGGGGAAGAGGAAGATAGAAAGATGGATAGTAAGTGAGTTATACCTTCCTAAGAAGCAGCTCCATAGTGGTTTATTCTGAGTAGCTAGATCTGAATCTCTGTCTGAAAACATCCGTCCTAGTAGCTTGGTCACTGCCAATCTCTCTCGCTCATCATTGCTCTGTAAGTAGGCAATTAACAGATACATAGATTAGATACAGGCATACACCATTTTGAAGAAAGATAGAAAGTGTGTTATATTTAAATCTGGGCATTACTTGTATCAAAGGTAATAATCCCCCCCCCCCCCCCACAAAAAAGAAGGTTTACTAGTACTTATGATACAATCATTAATTGATTTTATATGCAAATTAACCCATCTACATGTAGCTAAACAAAGTTGACAAGACTTTGTGTGTATCTTGTCCCATTTTGTCTACCACATTGCAACTGTATATTCAACTTTTCATAAATATCAAACATTTAAAGTGACACACACTAAAAAGAGCAACTCAGACCACTCTAAACATGCCAAAGGTATTTGTAAAGCTATAGAAAAGAAACATTTCTTTCCAGATTAATTTATTTACTATATGCAGGAAGTAGTGAGGAAGGATACCAAAATGAAGAATTCTAAAGGGTCATTTTAGTTTCAAACATTCTTTAAAAAAATAGTATTGACTTTGATGCTTGGCTCATTCATATACCATAGTTCAACCATGACATACCTGGAATCACATTGTGGTCTTCCAAATTTTTCAATTTTGAAATGATTTGTCAACTATTTGTTTTTTAAAAGGTAAAATTATTTATTTGATTTATACTACGATATGATTGTATGTATTTTGATGACTTTGTTAATAATATATATGCACCTAGTTTTATATACTACTTTTTATCATGTTGACAAATGCAGAAATAAAATCAAACAAGCAATACCTTGAGTTTGAATTCTAGCTGTGGAAGGACTGCCAAGAGGAGGTTACTGGATATGGTGTGGAGCTGGTAGACAAGCTCATAGGAGTGACTGGCTAGGTCACTGGTTGAACTTCTACCAAGGATCATCACATTATTGAAGAACTGAGAAAAAAATAAAGAAGGACAGAGAGAGAGAGAGAGAGAGAGAATAAGTTATGCCATTATGATTGGTCATTCAATTCATGAATTTGGCAGGCATTAAAGATGAACAGTCACAAAACAATGCTAAATCTTACACTGCTTTGCATAACGAGCTGAACCAACACGATGCCACAATTCCTGAATGGGTTATACAAACTTGTAAGCCTATTGACAGTTTGAAAGAGACAACTAAGGTGTCTAAATCTATGATAAAGAATTCAGTTTATCCTTTGATAAACCATTTATACTTCGTAATACCCCACCCTAAAAAAAAATTTAAAAAAAAATAAAAAAAAAACCTTTCTATTTTTTAAAGTAAAATTGTAGTAACTTTAACCCTCATATGCTAGGAGAAAGATGCAACGATATACATGTGGACACGACATTTTTAATGTCATGGTGGTTTTGTTATCACCCCCCCCCCCCCTCCATGAGTCACAATGTAAACTATTTCTTTTCCTCAAGTTTTTTTTCCTCAGGATTCGACTACAACACTGCTTAGGGATACACATAAATACATCATTCTGTATCTCAAACACATAGAGAACTTACTGCTTGGATGGAAGGTTCAATGCTAGTGGAGGTCCTCTTGACCAGATCCTTGGCCAGTTCATGAGCCTGAGGATGCTGCAGCAGCTTGGAGTCCAGGAGATTGGATAGGATCACCTCCAGGAGCTCTTGAGGAACCACGTCGTTCTCACTGATCAACGGACAAATCACATCTAGCATGAACGTGCGCACCTTGGGCGTGTGTTTCTCACTGCAAGAGATACATGAAAGATAGTAACAGTACTTACAGCAAAAAGATAAATGGAATGAATACTATATGGAATGGATTATTCAAAAGCAACTCATATGGTTCTACTTGCATTAAAAGATACTGTTAAAGATATTCCAACTAAGATTTCTGATGAATGTCGGTGTAAATATCTGAACGGAATACCAGACATCTATGAAGGACCTAACTTACGATCCTTTTTGTTGTGCCGCCAATTCTCAGCACAGCAATCTGAAAAGTTTTGCAGAGATTGCTGACACAGGGTTTTTAGCTCTCACAAATTTCCTACCTTCAGTTTTAACCTAAAATTACACCAAACTTAGACCCAAATCCTAACCTAAAGTACAATTGTAACCCTGACTCTAACGCTATACCTTTGAAGAAGAAAAAAACCTGGGCCCCACGTCACAAAACTTGCCAACAGTGACCAATGACAGTTTTTTTTTATTAGCTACTGAAATCCTTGCTTATGATTGGTTATCAGCAGATTTGTCACTGATTTTTGTCATTTGTCATTGAAAAAAGGCTTTGTGAAATGGGTTCCTGGATTAATTGTTGCCATGGGTACACCTACTTGATGATGCTGAAGAAGATGGTGAAGAGCTCTACAAAGATCTCTGCAGAGTCTTCCAGCTCCATGCAGATGTTGAAGGACTTCACCATGGCCAGGTTCTCCAGCAGGTAGAAATACCTCTTCCACGAGGGACCATCCACATTCTCTAAACCCCACAGCTGCTTGTTCAGGAATTGGAATATCAACTGGATGAGGAGACAACAGAAATACATACTTAGAAATGAAGATTCCATGTGGGCAAAGGAATGGAGCACAGTAAAGGTGTTTGTGCAGAAATCATGCAACTCTAAGTATCAAGCTTTACACTACTACAGTGTCAGGTACCAGTCAAAAATATTTCAGGCATGACTTTCCTATAAATTGCAACTACCATTTCACTGATAATTATGCATGGTTCATTGAAGCTCAGGATAAAGAAGATAAAGGATATATGAGATAAATTGTATACAAGGACCACATTATTCTCCTTAGGGACTTTTTTTACACGTGGTGCTAAAAACCACTGTAAAAACCGCCGCAGCATAATAAAATTATATAAAAAGTGTGCATCAAAGATAGGTATCTTCTTACATAAAAACACAGAGGCCTTTGTTGCACAAAGATTGTATGTTTTCTACAGTATAAAGCCATTCATTTGCATGTTGAGTGGTTTCTATTTGACCGTGTTTGTTTTTGATGCCTTTGTACATGCCACGTGCCAAGAAGGCTTTAACCATCATATTACCTATCTAAGGCATTCAAGGCATCGGGGCTTGCCCCTAAAGATCTGGAATATATCAATACCTTGAGCTGCTCGCCAGTCCTATACGGTGCCTCAGGAGCGAATATCCTGAAGACATCAGCCAGACAGCAACCCACAAGAAGCCGGACATCCTTGCTGGAATGCTTGAAGAGGAAGGGTTCCAGGAGGTGGAGGGCAAGGGGCTCGTACGCGGTGGTGTCTTCTTCCTGTTCCATGTCTTGGAACACCCTGGCCAGCATCTAGACATTCAAGGACAGATGGTATACTATTGAATCATGCAGACTGCTCTGAGATTAATTTTATATCATATTTCACAGCGAACAAGATTTGGCCACTGTTTCTTCTTCTTCTGATTAAGCCTGCCTCCTTCAATTGACTGAAGATTCTTGCAAACTATGTGCGTGTGTTAACCGCAATTTACGTCCATTAGAGTGCTATTTACATTATAATACAGTTTATTTACAAATATTTACAAGCCCATGTATAGGATAGAGGAAGACTAGCCATTGTCACCAACCCTCCGCAGTCGATTATGGAAGGCTCTGCTATGTCAAGCATTTAGTCCACCTTTTTTGTGTGTCTGAAGACCTCTATCTACATTTACTATCAATTGCACTAAACATTCGTCTACAATTTCACAGACAGTCCTAGCCAGCAGGAATATTTGTATTCACACTTCACCACCACAACAATTACATGGAATTACATCATCCAATCAGCCTGAGCTTGCACATACTTTTTGTGGATTACCAATGAAAAATATTCTCCAATAAGTTGTCATGCATAAAATAATTATACAAGACAGCCAAGCTATTTAATTAACATGTGAACACACAAATGGGAAACCTCAGCAATGTCTACTCACTTTGAGTCGTCTAACCATCTCATCCTTGGAAAGGTCAGGGGTCAACTCCTTGGCTCCAGGAGGGTAGGTCACAGGAATGACCCTGCTGACCTTTGACCTAGTCATCTTGTATGACTTGGATGGGCTTGTCCAACAAACAGATAGCTAGTGGCACCTTTAGCTCACTTCTTGATTTATCTCATCCTAAAAGCAAAAGTAGGTGAGAGAAAGGATGAGAAGAAGAAATTGAGTGAGGGAGGGAGAGAGAGAAAAAGAGGTAACAAAAATTAGAATCACATAAATGACATACATGTATTGAAGGCTTAAGCATATCAAATACCCTTAAAAAATGATCACAAATTTAAACATCATTGTATGAATATAACACAAATAAGTGATGAAATACAGGAATTTTGATTATGTATTAAATGTTCTCCAGCTATAAATGGAAGGAAATCTCTGAAATGTACAGTGATTTTAAGACAAGAAATATAGTAATAAACTACTTTCAGGTTATGATTTTGGATCCTACTTAAAATGTCTCAAAATTCAACTGTGACCACATGTAAATGATCACCTCGAATCCCTCCTAAAACTCTTTGTAACTGCAACATTTCATGCAACATGCAATCTAATTATTCTCCTACATGTTCGTGTGGAGCCTGAACACTTCCTATGTTATTGTATTCAAACTGCCAATTCATTTCTGCTTGGCTTTTCACCAGTGTTTGAATATAGTCAGTGTATCTGTACAATGTCATGATTATTGTTGAGACTTTGGTAATTAAAAAAAAATATTATAAAAAAAAATAAAAACATTTTTTGAAGGGCTGTATGAGGCATGATATTAACATGGGTTTGCATGCAATGGATATCTCAGCTCCAGAATTACACCAAACTAACAATCAATTTCATGAAAGGGCAGATCTACAGTTACACTGTGTGTAGGACCATCTCAATTTAGACAATATTAAAATGACTTTATTGGACACATATTATGAAACCAAGAAGTCCTGCTTAATGACTTCTTCCTGTTTGGAATGGCTGTTACTGTGAGATGGTGTAAATCACATGTCCTTGTAGACATACTGTTGCGTAAGTACATGACAGTTAGGAACATCCAGAAGTTTGTGCAGATTTTTTTTGTTTGTACAATAAAGTTGAATAAACAAATTAAAACAAGCTCCAATCTCTGAGTACAACTCTCTCAAGTTTTAAAAAACAATGTGAATCCCAAATCTGGCAGAAATAATTAAGGTCTCTTTTTTTAACCTTGTAAATTCAATCATTTTAGCGATGTGTCCACAAACAAGGATATTTTGATGACTACTAAATCATCCAGATCCAGACAATTTGGTAATCAGGCGCCCTAGTAGGCATACAGACATTTTAATTCATTTCTAGCAAAAGCCAATTAATTTGTTTTTTTGTTAAAAATAAACACTAGATCTAGAGGGTCTATAAAAGTATAAGTACTATGACGGATAATGACGTGACATAGACCCTGACTATGACTGATTTCAGTAGAATTGGCAGAAACTCCAGAAAGTTAATATTGCTCTTTCTTAAATTTGAACCAGAGTCTTTTTCATTTAACCTTACTCTTCTTAGTCATTGACTTTTACAAGATTAGATGAGTACAAGCCTTAATTCAATATTTTTGCAAAGTAAAAGGTGTTTGCATTTGCTGAACCTGCTGAATAAATTTGTTTTTTAAATTTCAAGAGACATTTAATTTTTAAACAAGCTAGAGCTAAGTTAGAGTCTAGTTTTTCACTTTTGGGTGCATCTTAATTAACTTTATGATCTTAACTTTATTATCATTGTCATTAATTGGTGATGGAAATCAAAAATAATATGTATGATAGGCATCTAGAAAGCAACCAAGAGCTTAACTAAACAGCTCATAAGGCCCAAAGCCAAAACAACAGGGCAGTTTTGCATCTCTCAGTCTCTCAGTCTCACTCACTCACTCTCACTCACTGTCTGAATAATTGAACACTCAAACATTTTAGGTCAAATGACTCAATCAAAACAAAAAAGATAAGAATTAATTACACATGAAATCATGCTACATTTCATTCTAAAAACATCAAACCTATCTCTCAATTCACACATCACGATGCAAACACAGAAGTTCACATTAAAAATGATTAAACATGATTCGACTTTCTACCAAAGAGACACCCGCATATCACAGTGACTGGGACTACAAATTGACAATTCCCTGCAACTTGATCGGGATCTTGTCGTCCCCATATGAAGTAAATTAAATGCAACTATCCCATAATCGCAGAGATACAAAATGTAAAATCAAATGAAAAAATAAACTCCTGAATACGAGAGCACTATATCTTTTTCAGAGCAACAAGAAAAAAGCTTGAATTTTAGGGTTTATTTCACTTACCGGAGCGATGTATCTGGCGCCAAGCGTCCCTGGACTCGGTGTTTAGCGTATGATCAAGTTAGTTGGTGAACAAATACGAAACGGCAAGGCTATTGGTCAATTTAACAAATAAGGCAAGTTCCTAACCAATCACATCTGGCGTTTGTTCGCCGAAGCGTTTCTTTATTGGCATAAAGGAAATGAGATTTCAATGTTTTGCTCACTGTACTGTTTTCTTTTGAGAAGGGGCGGGGGAGGGGGATATTCTCTTTAATTTTATTTAAATAGTTGCTTAAGTAAGATATGAGAAAAGAATTCAAGACCATAAACTACAAAGCTGAGCAATTTGTACTAAAAATGAATATGAATAAAATAGATAAAGAGATAAAAAGTAAAGCATACCCCTGTACAAATTCATCATGATTTGTTGTTTATCTGGGTCCGACTCCCCCCCCCCCCTCTCTTTCTCTGTTTCGTTTTTTCCATATCAAACTGGCATTAGCATGATTAGGTATGCCCTTACAAAAAAAACCCATGGAAGTACCACCCTTGCGGTACCATGGTTACCATGGTTCTCATGGTGGATGGTAATTTGGACAAAGAACCATGGTAACCATGGTACTGAAAACCATGCTAACACCGAAGTATGATAACCATGGTTCAGTGTTAACATGGTGTTTGGTACCATGGTTACCATGGTTTTCAGTACCATGGTAACCATGGTTCTCAGTACCATGGTTTTCGGTACCATGGTTCTTGGTACTATGACCATGGTTTTCGGTACCATGGTTTTCGGTACCATGGTTCTCGGTACTATGGTTACCATGGTTCTTGGTACTATGACCATGGTTTTCGGTACCATGGTTCTCGGTACTATGACCATGGTTTTTGGTACATGGTTTTCGGTAACATGGTTACCATGGTTCTCCCACACCTTTCGTTACCATTGTTCTCCTGTACCTAGGTTGCCATGGTACTTGTACTATAATGTTACTGCACGTACCCAGTCGCCTTTCCATTCTGCATGTAGCTTAATAAAAAAGAAAGCATTGATTACATTGCATGATTGATTTTTTTGTTATCATTTACAAATCTACTACCTAAATTAAGCACTTTCAACACAGTTTTCCTCATAATATCTGCCAGCCCTTGATCATTTAACTTTGAAAGAACATGCTGGTCTGCAAAGTAGACACAAAATGACAGGAGCTGGCATGAAGTCCACTTTCAGCACAATTATCCATATTCGCAAGGTTCAGCCACTACTCTTTCATCTGTTAACAAAAGACATCACAATAATGTTGATCATTATTGTCAAATGATCATATGACGTATCAAACATCAAACACTGGAAACAATATGTTTACTTTTTTAAAGGCGTTTATTCAAACGAGCTAAAATCTATCTCGCGTAAAATATATAAAACAATTTACAGTCGAAAACTGAAGTCTATTTCTATAGCGAAAGACTGCCGCTTGTTACATTGCATATGACACTAAACACTTTCAGCACACAGCAATATTATAAGTAAAGTGGTTAGTCTATTTCTATAGCGAAAGACTGCCGCTCATATTCAATAGTACAATTTACAAACTGTCCTTCCAGCGGAGATGGAGATTCGTCGACGATGTCGTACTCGAATTTGGTTTGAAGAAACAATTGGTAGCTAGGCCTACTTCCTATGGTAGATCATAGATGACGTCGGGTAATCATCAGCCAAGAGTCTGCAATGTCGATCGGATGCGAAGTCCATGTTTGGCGATGGTGAAATTTGGTATAGAGTTCGACGGCGACGGTGATCGAAGACAGATCGAAAGTCGATAAATTCATCATAAGCCGGAGTCAGGATCAGACTTGGAAACGACGAAAAGCAAATCGAAGACGAAGAAGGTAAAGAGGTTCTATATTACCTTCAATCAAAGTTCGACGTCGCTGGTGTTCAAAGACAGAACAAAAGTCGATAATGCCAATGTCCTAATTCATTATTAGAGTTCGCAACAAACTTCAAGTTTAAACGCCAAAACGGAGGTCAACGACGAAGAAATGGTGATGGTGGAGTTGATGTTTTGGTCAAGATGATAATAAAGAGCGACGTCGATATGGAAACTACTCATTTGTCATGTTGCGTATATATCTGTAATTTAAAAAAGACAATTTTGAATTAAATAAAAAAAACAAATATGAATATCAACAACTGTCAACATGAAATCACACATGCAGTCACAGAGCAGAGGCAGACATGACATCGATTAGCTTAATTCGTTAATTTGCTGGATTTTTATGCAGTATTCTATTTATTTTCTAAAAAGAATAAAACATTCAATCCTTCGAACAATGACACTATATACTAACAGTAGAGTTAATGACAACGTGTATGTAAATGGACAAACTTTGCTTTGAAAGTTTGAATGATATGCCCCATAAACCCATCAAGATACTACAACAAATAACGTACATGGGATCATACATGTTCAGTCTTAACTGTTATCCTGTCGAATGTATTTTAAGTCCCAGTTGACATCATAAATAACTATCTAGACATCGACTAGATCTATGTACATATTGTAAATAAAGTAGATGATTCTTAAACTTACCCATGCTGTTGTAGATTAGCCGGGAAAAACAGAATTCAGCATGATTTTGCAGATCTAAAACACCAAGATGAACACGAGGCATGAAGCTGGACTGTGAACAGTGCACGTACTATAGCTATATTGCTGCATGTACACAGCATACACGTACACTGCACTAGCACTGCATGTACAGCGATCCTCGGCACACACAATGGCTGCTCCTTGGTTGTGTAGCTGTAGCTGCATGCGCTGGTTGTGTGGGGTTGGGGCTTGTAGGTAATAGTCTTGACTTGTGCAGTCCTTCTTTATGATATTTCAAGCTGTTGCACAATTTCTACATTTACACACTATTGATAAATGGCCAAATGAAAATATATATTTTTTATAATCATAATTTTTTCTATCTTGTTCTTAATGATTCTTAATTTTTGTTTTAATGGTTCTTATATGTTTTGTTATTTGATTTCATGCGTCCGGTAAAATGATTTCATGCGTTCGGTAATTTGTTGTTGTTATTGTTTTAAAAAAATGCAAACGATTCCTACCGAACGACTGATACCTGCACATTAATTGTATAATTAAATCAATCAGACAAACAAAACAAACACAACATATGGTACTGAACCATGGTTAGAACCATACAACTGCCAATTAAGTACCACAATGTACCATGTACAAATTCGGAAGTACCATGGTATACCATGGTACTTGTCATATAACCGTGGTAATACCATGGTTCTTGCATGGTAGTACCATGGTTAGAGACTAGTACCACAGGTACCATAGAGTACCATGGTACAAATTTGGAAGTACCATGGTATACGATGGTACTTGTCATATAACCATGGTAATACCATGGTTCTTTGATGGTAGTACCATGGTTAGAGACGAGTACCACAGGTACCACGGTGGTACCATGGTTTTACCATGGTTTTACCATGGTTACCATGGTACTTTTTTATAAGGGTGTGTTTTTCCCCATTTAGAAACCGACTTGATGCGGTCTTGTTGCTGAATCAACTTGAAGCAAAGAAATTGAGTTTATTTTCTCAATTTTCCTCCTATACACCCTATTTTGCTTTCAGCTCCCCTATTTTTCCCATGTTTTTTTTTCCTCTCTGTGTTTATGATCAATCTTGAAGTACTATATTTGGAATATTTCATGTCCAGTTCTTATTTTAAAGTCTTGTTCTTTTTCAATTTGAATCATAAATTTGTTTATATGTAATAATAAAACAATTGTTACTATATATAAACTTTCAATGTAAGAGTCTTTGGACTGTTTTAACACAGATATTTTATCAACAACCTAAATGCCCAATTACTGGGATAGTGGTAAACAAAACTACAACAAAAAACAATACAAGACGAGACAAAAGCAAAAACAAAAGTGTGGTATACTTTCATAATACAATCAATTAAATCAAACATATATATTCATTTTTTATATAAACAGTTTTCAGACACACACACAAATGACACCATACTCCAATATTCCATTTACATATTTCTTCATTTTAATAATGAAATTTGAACATATACTTGTATTTTACATACTGTACACATAACTTCTGACATGTCATGTTGCTGCATTACACTCATTGTAGTACACCACTTTTTGTTTATTTAGGATACAAAATTGCAAAAATTGTATCTACTGTTGGTACATGTATACATACACACATATTTACTCATTCAGATGAGTATGCAAGCTATACCTTAGGCAAATGTCACAGAGAGCTTCTCTATAAGGGTTTTTCCCCATGTAAAACAACATATATATCACTACATATCAAAGTAAAATCAAATCTAGACCTTCTGCTATAAAGGACTATAAAATGTTTTCTTTTTTGTTGCGTAGCCTCCTCTTGCGAAAACAAAAGATATGAGTCAAGCATTGTGACAAAGATAAGCTTGATCAGATACTGACCCCGCACAGTGACCCTCCTTACAATACAATGGACAAAAATAGATGCATGTATAGAATTAAAATGAATTTTTTTTTTCTTTCTTGTAAAGCATGTAAGATCATATTATTGACTACACTGACTAAAAGGAAAAAAATAGAAAAAGAAAAAAGGGCATATCAATTTTTTGATAAGATCTACTACCATTTAGACGGACTTCAGTTGAAGGTTTGCTACGAGGGATTTTTACTTGCAGTCAAACCTGTAGTAATGACCACCTCTTTACAAAGGCCACCTGTTATAACAGTCACTTATACTGTCTCAGTATTCAGTCTAAAAGACACTTTGAAATGCCACCTGTCCGAGCTACAATTGTAATTGTCATTTTTCTCTTTCCCTATGTGGCATGCAGGCAGGTTTCACAATGCATTTATGTGCAATGTAATAGATTGCATGTTATGTATACATACAAATAATTATAATACTAAAGTAGTCAGAAATAATTGAACCTGTCACCATTGTTAACAGAAGTAAAGTTACAGAATACTGGAAGAGATTAATGACAGTGTTGTTCTGTATTGTTCTTCTCTCAATGAGATAGCATGTTAAAATCAGCAAAACAAAAATTTGGGAAGGGGGAGGAAATTGGTAAGATATAAGAGACGAAAAAGGAGAAGAAAGAAACAAAGAACAGAAAATAGAAAAGAAAAGGTAAGGAAAGAAAAGAAAAGAAAAGAAAGAAAGAAGCAGAAGGAAAAAAAACATGGTCACCAGTCATCTATTGCTTTAAAGTCAGAAAAATGTAACATATTGCTGGATCGTGGCAGTGACACGCCTTTCACAACATGCATATATTCACTCTTGTGGACTACTCACAAAGGGTTCTAGGGAAATTTATGAATTTGACACAGTTCCATTTGATGCACACATTGCAATCAACACAATAGGGCCGAAATGATGTGTACGCCACGTTTCAGATTATGATATAAGCATACACCGGTACTTGGTAGAAGGGCATTAGCAAAAATTACATTGTCTCTTTGGAGCCAAAAGGGCGTTGAATTTGTGTAAGATTAAATGAGTTAACACCCTTCTGGGTCCAAACAGTAACTCACTAAGCAGAGTATACATGTGCTACAGTGCTGATGCCCTTCTCTTGTGTACAGACTGTGTTGATGAAAACAGTGATCTCAAATTTTTTTTTTTTTAAAGTTACTAATTTCTTGTTCCTTCTTTAACAAGATGAAGAGTGATTGTACCTTAAACATAAAAGATGAATGTTTATGCTTTTATGTACATTTCCAACAGTAACAACATTACTTTTTTTTTTCTTCTAAAAAGGCGTTGATGAAAATGCTTTTTTTTCCTTCGAAAAATGTGGAGTTTCTTCTCAAAGAAACAATCCAGACTTAGAAAACCATATGTGTAAACTATCATTTTACCACTAATTGTTTAGGAAATATGGCAAAGTATAAAAATTAAGCTTGTTCTGTCTAACCTTCCATAATAAACGACTTGCCAAGAAAATATTGTGGCATTTAACATAACATTGAAACACATTAAAAACATATTTGACAGATTTACAAAATAAGTTTGTTCATATATTTACCTGCAACAGAGAAAAGATTCAATCAAAGAATACTGAATATTTGATAACTGATACTTATGTACACATACCTTGATTACTGAGTTCCGGCTTTGTATCTTATTTCAGACTTTCCATAAATGCACATAGATAAATATATCACAATGAACTGTGTGACCCAAATATTAGTTTTCTGTAGTGCTTTCATGTGGCTGTAAATCTATAAAATGCAAGCATTATCATAAAAAAAGATATATTGAAACAAAAACAAACCTTATTAGTACCTCTGCAAACCTGTATAAAATATGTCCAATTAATAAGGTATGCATTTAAATGGAAAACATACATTTCTTTTAATCCAATACATGAAATAGCATCAAGAAGCTCAATAAGGACAAATCTTCATATCATAAACTTATTTAAAAACAATACCGGTAATCCACGCAGCCTATATAAATCCCACTTCTTGAATAACGATTTAAGATGTGTTAACACAGATTCACTTAAATGGGAAAAAAAGTTAATTTCATCAAGAAAAATTGAGATGGTTGATATTCATGCACTTTCTGCAAAATGAAGATGAACAAACAATGTAAATTGCAGTTATTTATCCTTGCTGAGTTAAGTTCTTTTATGAGAATGGATCAATAGAAAATAGGACACAAGAATATCAAATATCAACTTCAGGTCTGAACACCAACATCAACTTATAATTACACCATATATTTTTGGATTAGATCTTATAAACAAGGAAGAACACTAACAAAATAACTAGCATATGTTTACTTTATTTGTTTATTTATCGGTACTGATTGTAAATGTCACATCTTGAAGCAATATAGATCAGCAAATACTCCTGAATTATAGGCATTTAAATTAAACAAAAGTTAAGTGATGGCAGACATGTCCAGTGACTCCAGTTGAACCTGTCTAAGTGGCCACCTGTTTATGAAGGTCACCTGTCTATAGTGGTCATCTATATTATTTCTCGCTAGGAAGAAAATGTATGTTGTAGGACCTGTCTAGAAAGGCCATCTGTCTACAGTAACCAGTTTTCCTGTTTCCCTTGGGTGGCCTTTACAGACAGGTTTTACTGTATCAGAAAACTTATGTTAAAAGAGACTAAATGACACAAAATCTTGACACTCGAGTAAGCATTTCCATTTTGGCTTAAGATGCTAAAGGCAATATCAAACATCATCAAAGAGATGAAAATGATGGTGGAATGACCAACAGCTATACATCAACAAATTGAAAATAATCCACAAAAGTGCACCCAAACCCAATTTTTCTGATGCAAGCAATATTCTGAGGGAAAGGGCAGACATGCAACATATACAGTACAGGGTATATCTTTTCTAATTTTGTTTACAAAAAGTCCACATATTCCTTTTTATATTCTTATTAATTAGCTTTAGAAAATATAATTCATTTAAATTGCCCATCCTGACGAAATGATGTGGACTGACAACAAACTACGACAACCATCACAAAAGTAATCTTTTTAATGAAACAATACTTTTGAAAATATAAATCTTAACTTTCATTTGGATCAACATGCAACATGAATATTAAGCATTGATTTAAAACATGCAGGGATATGCAGGAAGACATTTCCTAAAACTAAGGACATACATTAACATCTAGAATAAACCAGAAGAAAAAAAAATCTTTTAAAAAATGTGCTTTCTTGCAACAACTAAAAAAAAAGGGAAAAGGTTTATTTCACTTGATTCCATTTTGCTGAAGGTACAGTAGTGGCACATACGTGAAGCAAAACAATCTAAGCAGCACTGTCAAAAGATTCTGCTGTTATCAATTCAAAATTAGCACTTGTCATGAAGTTTGCAAAATGTTGATTTAAAGTGCTACAAAGAGTCTTTATCAAATTATCCTTAACATGCAAATAGTGGAAGTACATATTCATGTATGTCCCATGGTAATATTATTTCAGTTCCATTAAAATTTTTAGAATTGTATTATTTATTAATTAAAAAAGAATAACGTTGTGATTCTGGTCACCTCCTTGTAAAATATCATTTTATGGCTTAATTGCATGAACTACATGTATTTATTTTGACTTCTGTCAATAATATAATCCTTAATTCATATCAATTATTCTGCTCATGCTTAAAATTCAAGTAGTTATAATTACTAAATGATCTGTTGTCATAAATAACTATTAACTAAAAAAATTGCTTCGACTACTTTCTTATCTGCTAAACATGCAACTCTTGGTGCAAGACTGAAGAACCTGCTTAAATCAAGCCCCATTTTCTACTTGTTTTTATTTTTCACAAAGGCCATTGGGCAATAGTGCCTTTTATATACATACATGCACACCAGTACATTTCTTCAACACACTCATACATTGATCTAATATACACAAAATGCAGGTAATGAGTTCTTGCAAAGCTATGCAATGCAATGAGGTATATAATCACAATAGCAATATAGTAATACGATTATCAGTGGAGACAAAATAACACTCAGAAAATGACATCGGGTGGTCCTAAATTTGGTGATGGCAAATCCGTTGACGTCTTTAAATGGTTTTGACCTCCGGCCATTTCTTATGCAATATCATGAGGTAATTATTCATTGGCTTATCAGAAGAGGACAAGAGTCTAACCAATTCCGTAGTTGACAGTCGATTGCAAATACGTAGAATTTATCCCCAAATACAGCTCCCACATCGAGTTAACATGTGCGGGTCAAAGGTCAATTCATAAAGCTCAAAATAGTTCCCTCCAACATACAATCTCTATGGAAGGGAACAATTTTTGTGCTCCATGAATATGAACATTGACACTAACTTAGAACATTACCATGTTTACTTTGTTGACTATGGTCTTGAGTTTGAAGTTTCTGAAGTTAGCCTAGCTGGCAACCCAAGTTAAAAACAATGTGAGAACCATGAATATCAATTTATCTGCTCTCAGCTACACTGAAAAAGAAAAAGAAACTTCAACTAAAAGTTTTGCAACATTCATAATCACACAAGAGCACTTCCAAGGTCCCTAATATCCTTTGGCATAGATAAACAAGCAAGTACCCTTTAGGTGAACATATCTTTCACAACCAGTCTAGTGGCCCACACACAAATTATCAAAGAGGTTTCACATTTGTTAATCCCATAATGCCCTATCATCATCCATAATAGGATTTTTAAAAATCATCACATATAAAAACAAAACAATACAAATAAACAAAGTTATGCAGTTTGAATATCAATATTCAACAATTTTGCAAAACCACTTCTACGAACAGTGAAGGTAAAATGGCTGGAAGGGATCAAGTATTTATAAAAAAGCTCATTACATACACATTCTGACGTGGCGTATAAACATACAAGACAATTCAAATGAGAGTGCGCATATTCTGCAATCAGAAAATAAAATAAAACCGACTGATTATTTTCTTTGCTCTGTGCAAAGACTTCCACCTAGTGTCCGTAATATATGCTCAAAATTTCATATTTTTTTCATAAGCTGGAATAGATAACCATCCTATGACACCACAATGGTGAAGACCTGATGCAAATCTTTCTCCAGGAAGCAATTGTTCTCTTAATGGAAAAGATGAAGTTATGTCCTTCTTGCACCAGATAGAAGCATCTATTTAACGCTTCGTATTTCTATTTCGTTTAACTGGAATAGATAACCACCCTCTGGCGAAAACGGAAAACAGACCCGATGCAAATCTTTCACAAGGAAGCCAATGTTCTCTTAATATTAAAGATAGAGCTGTGTCCTTCTTGCACTTAAGGTCAAAGATGAAGCTACGTCTTTCTTGCACTCCAGGTATCTATCTACTGTGGCAGAGTATAGACAGTCCTTATCCATTGCATCCATAGCCTGATTAATGATGGCCTGGTACTTGCTTTATTTACAATGGAAATAATCTGCAGGTGAATGATCCGTTCCCGTGTTATATACACATGTGCATCGCAGCAGGATGTGGTGGACAGACAGACAAGAACAAGTGCTACATCACATGGAATAGTCACGACTGGAGGAGCGGCAGCACACAGTCACCCTTTTACTGTTTTATTTTCATTTGTATCAAAGCCGTCCTAGCATGGAAGCATGTGCCTTTGCAGTTTGGCAGTTAGGCATGTTGGAAATCAGGTGAGAAGCTTTTGTCGCAGCTTCTTTGTCATGTTCAGTGTCTTGTATTAAAAGTTGTCCATGTTTTTGAGTTGTAGTCATCAAGTTGTTTGACTGGCTGTCGTTACGTGAACGCTGACGAGGAGGCACCCCCTGTCTGGTGTAATCGGAACCACTCCACAAATTCATCAAGCATCACAGGCCCTGCAGGCAAAGCAAAGAAGTTAAGAGTTAGACTTTGTTAGATGTTTGTACATGTTACTTGTTACAGCTGAATGTAAAGAATCAGGGCCCTGTTTCACAAAACTTGTTATCAATAAAAAGTTGCAATTACTGTTATAAGCTACTGAAATCATGGCATTTGATTGGCTGAGAGCAAATTTGTCATAGAAATTAAACATTTGTTATTGATAACAAGTTTTATGAAACAGGGCCCAGGTTGGGTTCAGATTTGGATCATTTATCTTTTATAAAAATATACTTTGATCAAAATTCAGAGGATTTAAACCTACTAGACATGCCCTGAATCTCTAAGTTCATGAGAAGCTGAAATACCATGAAATTTGAAAAAGGAAAATTTTCAAGAATAAATATGGAAAATCCAGGGCTTGATACAAACGTGGTTCTGAAGACAAATAAACTTTTTAACCCTGATTTTTTACAAGTTGACCACTTGCAAGGTAGGACCGAGTCACAGACACAGAACCCTATAAACTAAACGTTGTCTAGATTTGTATCAGGTTGACTAGACCCTCCATAACTACAGCTCCCTTTAAAACTGCTCCTGAAGACTTCCCTCTCCAACCATTACCTCCCCAGACAACTACCTCTTATAACAATTATCTCCAAGACAATTCCCCTCTAGAGTAGGGCAATAGTTGTTTGGGGGTAGTAGTCCTGGGGAATGTTTCACAAAGACTAAGATCGACTTTGAGTTGGACTTAACTATGACAGGCCGTTCATGCCACTAGTTCCTCTAACCATTCCTGGCATTGGTTTCTCAGGGGATGTACAAATCATGGTCACATATCTACCGAATTTACATTTTTTATAGTTCAATATTGAAGGAAAAACATCTAAAGATTGTAATTGAGAGACCAATGATGAGAGCAACCATTGCCATGAATGGCCTGCCATAGTTAAATCCAACTGAAATTCGATCTTAGTCATTGTGAAACACTCCCCAGGGGAGGCAGTCCAGGGGCGAGGTGTCGTAAAATTATCTTGATCCGACATTAATCTACAAAGGATATATCGTAGTTTATACAAAAGTGTTCATGACTTACAAGCACCATCTTCATCATAGTTACTAAGGTCAGGTCGGATGGCCCTGCTGAACTCCAGGATATTGCACCACTGGTCCTTGTTGATCACCTTGTACTTGGTCTTCTCAAGGAATTGGTGAAACTGACTAAAGAGAGGCCATTGACGACCCAGTAGCAACGTCAGCATGGCCTGGGCAGTATCAAGGTCCATGCTACGCTGATCTTTATTCACCTGTCCACAGTATCAAATATGAACAAAAATAAATCATAAGATCTATTAATGGTCTATGAATGTACAGTCTAATGGTCTATTGCAATATAGGCGGACATAAACAAGCATGGAGTGCATTTGGGCCCCTTTGGACCCCTAAGTTTAATGCGAACTAGTGCAGCCAAATGTCCAAGTGAAAATAGTTTTCAACACATGCAACCCTACATATTTTCCCTGGGGATTCTTTTTAAGTTTTTCTCCCGGAGTAAGGAAATGCATAACCTGAATAAGACACAAAATAAACACTAGGAGGAATACAAAAGTTTTTTCAGCTTCTCAAGGAAGCGATATTGAGGATCTGACATTGTTTTGGCGAAAGCAGCTCAGGGCTTTATTTTGCCAATGATATAAGGTTAAGGTTGCAATTTTTAGTCCAGCTTAGGATAGGGGGTAAGGTATAGCGTTGGTCTCAGGTTCAGGTTGGGAGTTCTGTTAGTGTAGAAAATTTGATCTTGGAGAAATTGTCGCAGGAGCGTTTGTTGAACAACCAACAAAGTCACCGAGTCCAATGCATTTATTTTGAGAGCTGAGCATTTAAAATCTATAAGTAAATTTCTCAAGACATAAAACTTTCTCCTTTTAATTTTAAACTTAAAATGACAAAATTTGATTTGACTTACCCTAGCAAAATCATAAGCATATCTGTAGATCTTCTTGAACGTTGCAGGTTCATCTAAAAGGGCTCGTAATGTCTCTAACTTTCCCCTAATTTTTTCTGTGCCGTCCACCCTGAATAAACAAAATAATCAGTCAATAATTGTTTTTAAACTATACAATTCATTGAAATCGCTAGTGTAAAAAGTGTTTGATCTCACGACTATGAACACTTAACATTAATACATAAATATGAATTGTATATTGTTACAAAGTAACTTACCATAAAAAAAAAACAAAGGCTGGCTCCTGTGTGCATGCATACATGTGTTTATTTAGTATCAGTCTACTCTGCAGTCAAATTTTCCTTTATTGAAATTTGCAAAACATCTCTTTAAAGAAGTAATATTTGAAGCTGGTATTTAAAAAAAATAGTAAACTGGTATATATATATATATATATATATATATATATATATATATATATTAACCCCAAACATAAAGAGAAAAATGTTTATAGATGACTGATTCACTTTAAGTTTGCTGTTCCTTGGCTGAATGAGTACTTGTGATATCAAGATAGAAATCATAGCTGATGTGTTCTCAAAGCTGAAATAAACTGAACTGCTCTGAAATTGTTTTACCGCCTATGAGGATAAAGCCTATATTTCAGTTATTATTATTATTTTATTATAATTACTTGTACCGTGCTTTTCCCATAAGGCCAAAACCACTTACAGTGAATGAAAATTAGATTGACATAAATACATGTCATAAGAAAAACAATTTTACAACTACAAAATGCCCCAAAAATGTGTTTTTGAGGCCTCTCTGAAGGTAATAACTGATGGAGAATGTCTAATTCATGAAAAGGGTATTGTGCTTACTGTAATTTGGTCATGCCATTCATCCACTCTGTTTGTGTGAAGAAGCCCATCTGTTTAGCATCTAACATCCAGGCCAGGACCAGCATGACCAGGTTCTCTGGTTCTACACCAATGTCTTCACAAAACTTCTCCATACCTTCAGGGCCTGAAAGACAGCAATGGAAGACAGATTGTAATTGTGATGGCATTTGGTGTTGTTGCTGATGTTTATTTTCTTTCATGACATGTTGCTATAAAGCGTTTCTTACATGAACAATGTGTCGACATAAGTCAAAACTTATACTTTTGGCAAAAAAAAACTCATCTGTCAAAACCATTATAATGAGTCATAAATGTCTGCTTAAAATCAACATAACTTTGCTTCATAAGATTATTGGCAGTGCAAGCCAAAAGTTTTTTTTTAAAACTCTCTCCTCTTCGTTAAAATAGTTTGTCAGATGAATCTGCAGAAAACAAAGTTAAGAACCGATGTGGCAACAAAGAAAAGGTGCCTAAATTACTTGAACTCCTCTGATTATACAAACTGTGTAAAGTAAATGAACATAAAGAATTCTTCTGCCAACAATGGACACGGATGCACTCTTTTCATCTCTTCTTCTTTCAGTCAACATAAATGATGACAAAAGGCCTATCATTGATCGCACTGAAGGGTAAACCAGCAGAAGCCATCAAGAAGTCAATAAGAATATATAAAGAATAGATTTAAATGGAACATATTAAATGACTTGCATGACTTATTTCTATCTCCATTTTGTAAATATGAATGTATCAACAAAATATTCAAGTATGAATTGCTTACTGTTTAGTAAACCCGCCCCCACCCCTGAAAATTGTTCAAGAGGATCAATCAGATTCCTAAATTTACAAATATTTTATCATAATTTATTTTAAAAATACAATTCACAAATGCTTTTGTTTTTAAAGTGAAGGAGAATACTAACCTAATGAATCTGTATCCGGGTCCATGTATTCTCTAAACCAGTTCTGACATTTCTTGACTGAAAAGGGTGCCCTACTAACGTGGTGATGATGGCTGGTCAACGAGCTGCTATGAAGATAATTTCTAATGCTGCTGTAAAGAGGTGAGATAGATAATCAAACAATGTGTATGTGATGAACAAGTACAAAATTAGGTTAGTTGAAAAGTATATGAAATATGTCATAGAATTTTAGAGGATGTATGATGAGAAGGGAAAATTAACAACAATACAATGCAAACACATATAAAGAGAAATAAATGGAGGAAAGAGAGAAGGTGAAACAAAGAGTCATGAAAGATTGAGAGGAGAGAGGGGTGCATCGAGGGGTGACACAACAGACTCATTGTGGGAGGTTTCATCTTTTCTGGAAAATTTTGAATATATAAAATCAGAGTTCAACTGATTTTGAAAATCATGTAAATAATATCAAGACAAACTCACCCTTCCTTGGATTTCTTATTCTTGACAATATCTTCCGCCGAAGAAGTTCCTCGTTTTCTCTTGGGTGCCATGTCTGGGTGAGGGAAAGCAGGGTGTGGTGTGGACTTAAAATCTCCACCGCCGCCCAGGGTCTGAAAGAAATAATTTACTTATTTATTCAGCACTTCCAAAAAATATAACAATAAAGCAATATAAATCATGATGATTACAAAATTAGAATGACAAAAATTATACAAATTTTTGTAGCAATATTCTGAGTGCCAAAGATGGCAGCTGGGGAAGAAGAGAGCAAACTTAATCACTGTAACCGTAACAGTCCCTCCATTCAACCAACTGATGCACTCAGTAGACAAATAAAGAGAGTAACAAATCAATGATAAAAAATAAGAAAATTTAAAAATATATACTGCTGAACCACAGGCTTATTCAATATTGATCAGTCAAACGACTCGTTGAATCATCCTTTCGATGTCTATGACATAAGTCGTTCTGATCTTGAGACAATGGCTTTACTTATCTGCTACCTACTAATTCACATTTTCCCCATGATATAATTTTTAAAATCTTTTACGATGTCTGTCTTATGATTACAACAACTACATAAGGATATATAACAGCTGAGTGTAAGGGCAGTGGTGTTGTAACTGGGAGGGTCAGTGTTTGAAAGTTGAAAGTTGAAAGTTTGAAACCAAGTCGATGTATTTTCTTCGGCTACAGAGGCATTAATAATCAATTACAAAGTCCTAAACATGGACTTAGTCGTTGGTCACCTGAATTTATTTTACATAGAAGAACATCCTCGGTTTCATAGTGGTCACATAAGATAAATAGAATAACCATCGTCATAAAATGTATATCAGGGAGTCATGCATAAATATGCACTTACATGCAAACCCTTTCTTCAATAATCTAGGAAAGACGATTTAAAGGGAAAGTCCACCCCAAAATAAGTTTGTTTCGATAGAGGCAGAATAATAAGAAAATCAGGTGAGTGAAAGTTTGAGCAAATTCTGAATGAAAATAAGAAAGTTATGAATTATTGAAGTTGTGATCAATCAAATACAAATTGGCAACTCTGTGACTTATTATACGAGCTCTCCTTCATTTGCTTTGTGCATAATATTTCATAAAATCATGTTTTCTTCGTTATTGATGACGGAATATATATTTGTTCCTTGCAGGGGGAGTATAGAAACATATTTGCAATTATTATATTTAGGGTGCATGTATGGTTGAAATTTTTCTTGAGGGAAAATGAAAATTTTAGATTTTTTTTAGTACTGAGCAAATGGAAGTTGAGCTCGCATGATACGTCATAGAGTTGCCAATTTGTGTTTGATTGATCACAACTTCAAAAATCCTAACTTCCTTATTTTTAATCGGGATTTGCTCAAACTTTCACTGACTTGTTTCTCTCATTTTTCTACTCCTATTAAAACTAACTTAATTTCAGGGTGGACTTCCCCTTTAAGTCAATTCTGATTGTAATCACACCCAATAATTACCAATAACCATTGTAATGAACATTAAAGAAAAGAAACAATTATAATCATTAAATAACAAATTTTGGCGGAAAGTGGCTTACACAAATAATTTGTGAAATTGTTGAAATTGAAATAGATTATCACTTGACAACCCAAGATCACAAAATCTGTTTCTCTTAAATTTGAAACAAATAGAGCTGCAGTAAAGACCCCAAAAAGTTGGTATTTTGGTAAAGCTCAGAAAATGAAGTTTAACAAAGTTTTACCAAGTTTAAAGTTCAAAACTTCTTACTTTCATCTATTTAATGCTTGGAGAAAAATATCCTACAGATATTTCCACATTCAAAAAGACTTGTTTCTTACCAAGCGAGTGAATCGCTGGTGAAGGTTGGGGTGTGAAGCTGAAGAGTTTGGGTGATCCAGGGCGGACAGGAATGTGTGTGAGGTGATGGAATACGAGTAGCTTACAGCATCGTTGGCAAGTTACTATGGCATTAACCTGACAGACAGAGTAAAGAACAAGAATTTTATTTAAAAAATGCATTTGACAAAATTTGAAGTTTAGGTGAATATACAGTAGTGTCTTGGTGCTCTTGAATATATCTGAGCCTACATTACTTAAAGGTCATCTCAAAATGATGATGTACACCAATGTCTTGGGTGGTATTCTGAGCAGTGTTATAGCTAGAGACTTTTAAATGGTGGGCGCGACTTCACTGATGCCATTTAAATCCCAAATCCTAACCTCTGTGCCTACATTACTTACAGCATATTTGGCAAGTACTATGGCATTAACCTGGCAGACAAAGTAAAGTACAAGAATTTTAAAAAAAAATGTATTTTACAAAATTTTAAGTTTACATGTAGGTGAATGTACAATAGTGTCTTGATGCTCCTGAATATATCTGAGCCTACATTACTTAAAGGTCATCTCGAAATGATGATGTACAGTTGTACACCAATGTCTTGGGTGGTATTCTGAGCAGTGTTATAGCTAGAGACTTTTACATGGTGGGCGCGACTTCACTGATGCCATTTAAATCCCAAATCCTGACCTCTGCAACGTCGCGATCGCAAGCTATAAACAAGAATACATGTGCGTACTAGGCGCTGATAGAATAGAATTAGAATAGAATAGAATTTTAATGACTCTTTGACCCCCTCTTTGGGTATGAGAGTACAAACAAACATAAAAGTATAACAGCAATGCATGACTTATGAATACAATTCTAATACATTATACATATATTATGACACAAAGATACAAACGATAATACGTGTATAGTGTAAGAAAGTACAAACAAGAACAATGAACTAACTAGTAAACACAATATATACATGTACAATGTAGATAGTGACAATAATAACATGTATAAGTATAATGCAGTCTATTTACAAGCTAAATAGTAAACAAAGCAGGCTATTTCACACTATCCTACCGCTACGAGTATGCGTAGGTTCAGCTCAAATTGTACTTCCTGAAATGCTTGAACTATCTTCTTTCTCTGTTTTTTAATAAAATATCAACATAATAAGGCGAGAAAATCTTGCTAAATTCTTCAACTGAGAAGCGATTCTAGTATTAAAAAGTTCTGTCATGTGCATAGCACTTGGGAGCTTAGACTTGCAAAACTTTTTTGATAAATATAAACATCTCTCCCTTTGAAAATATGGACAAACAAAAATATAGTGAAATTCATCAAAGCAAGTTCGGCTCAAACCCAATCAATCAAACAATTAACATTTTAATTGTAACAATATTGGACAAATTTTACAATATGAATAATGGAAAAAAATATATATTAAAGTACTTTAATCTATTTATTCAGGAAAATTAGGAACTTTTTAATTTACCCTATCAAAAATAAACATTTGAAAGAACAGAAATCGAATGAGTCTGGGCTGCTATCTCTCTGCATTATAACGTATACATCGGTAAATTCAATATGGCAGCCTTCATGAATCGTAACATTAGACAACAACCGTCTCTGCAAATCTTTAAAAAATATCATTTATTGTCATATTGAAAAAATGATTCTTGTAAAATTGCAAATAAAACATGGTTAAAGACGGCAATATGAATGTAAGTACTACTTTTCTTCACAAAAAGTTGAGTTTAAAGCAGTTTTTTTCATCTGGAGTGGTGGGCAAAAGTCCTCCGTGTTGGTTGGCCCAGTGACGACCACCTTAGCTAAAACTGTGCTTGTTATTATATTATATTACCGAACCGAACCAAGTTCATGTAAAAAATTGCCAAACTCGGCCGAATCCGAACATGACTTACAGCACTACCTTGCACACACTCACACTTGGAAAAACTAACATCAACGGATAGATAAACATGTCAAGAATCCATAAAAATATATCACAATATTTCAAAATTTATACAAAATCAGTAAATATTACTGTTTAAGAATACATTTTGTACACGCTACGGCTGCTAAAACTCGAATTAACAGGTTAGAATTGTCAGGAAAAATGATAGGCTTTCGTAAATGATACTCGAACGATCTTGGTACCAACCTATAGGGAATGAGGTAAATAACACCATGATGTCATTTCTGAACTGCTTTGTGGGACGGGCTTTCAGCGAATTGGGTAGTAAGAACTCGATAACATAACGATATCATACCGATAGCCAATCTTAATCGGCTGCTAAGGTACCATCGGACGGATGTGCGCATGCGTTGCTGAACGAGGCATGACGTCGCGCAATCGGAACCATGGCTAAGCAAACCGTAGTGGGACATAGAGTCTAGCTAGTCTATAGTCATGATACATGTCACATGAAGCTGATTTTTTTACTCGAAATAATTTTTGTATTTGCATGTATTTTGTACCACTATGACAGGCATTCTCTATTTTCAGAAAATAATTATATTTTAAAATAATATGGCGTTAATCTATTATTAACAACAATTATCGGCAAGCGAGAGTCTTGTTTTTTCGTTACAAAGTGCCAGATATTTGTATGTGACCGTCAGACAAAAAATTGTGTCCTCACATGGTTTTGCAAGTCGCTAGCTCAACCCAATCCGAGCAAAGAACATGAGAAGATGTCGGAAGACTCGGATGTCCGTCCGGTCGACAAGGTCAGGCCATTGACAGCGCCAGGCACTGTGCCGGGTAAGAGCGGGGAGGTGGAGAACTCCCATCCTCATCCAAAAACAGCTGCAGTAAGCATCGCACACACATTATCCTCAAAGTGACACTTCGCTGTGACGAACATTGAATGTCAGACTATGTTTACGTTTAGAAATAAGACGAAAAAACATGATTCCCTTGTAATAAAAATAATAATAATGAATTATATTACTGTCAAATATCAACAGCGAACGATTATACTTACAAAATGTAAATAGGTTGGTTGACAAAGCTGGAATCATAACGAGTTTTAGTGGTACGTTTTCGCCCATGTCCCCCTGTGTAGCTCGCCATTACCGCACGGCCTGCGCATGCGTTTTACCGGCGAATTCGCCCTTACCTAACAGCTGATGTGATTGGTCAAAATGGAGCCCCTCAAAGATTCGACCAATCGGAAATCGCGATATTGACGCGGCGATTGGCAGAAGACATTCCTGTATTTCATCGCCGATTGATTTAGTTCCGATGTGGTAAGGCCCCGTAATTTCAGTTTTATATCAAATTTTAGTCAAATTAGAATATAATAACAAAGCTTTACGTATGTATAGACTTATGTAAATGTACGTTATTGTACTTGAAAGGCTGACACGACTGTACAGAATAAATAATATTGCACATAGATACGGAACGCTGATCCCTGGCAACCACTTTTGTTTTTTACATCACGAAAATGCACGTGTGGGACTGCAGAGTGCTCTCGGCTATCTCGAATATTGTTTAGATCGAGGTTTGAGACAGAGAACATCTGTCAAGTGTGATCTCGACTGTTGCACGGTGTTGGGTAAGGCAGATTAAGGAGTCCACATTGTCAAAACCATAACATTTTGGATTTTTCTAGTCTATTTTCAAATGAATTGTTATTGTTAAAAAAATTGCAAGGCCAAGTGCAAGTCTGAAGTCAAGTGTGAACAGGTGAATGTCAATGTGATGTGTCCATGCATGAATCAGGATCATGATTGAATGATTGATGACAATGTCAATGGCCTCTCAGACTCAGTCTATGGTCTGCATGGTTGTTCGGCTAGGACTACGTCTGGCTCCACTGACAGTGACAGCCTCTACAAAGATTGAAGTAGTCTACATCATTTTGGTTAAGTGTCTGATTAGTGAGGGGAGGTTGAGTACAATCTACAACTAGGTACAAAGTAGGTTTGAACTGTGAATGATTGCCGATCTTATCGCCCGCAGAACATAACTAGGGTCTAAATTCTAGGCCAGTAGCTAAGTTCAAGATAACAGACAGATTAGCTGAAAGTGAGTTCTTATATTGATGCTTTAGAGTCTACAATAAATTTTGATGTTATCTTTTATCAAACTGTTATAAATAAAAACCGAGGGCAAACGTTGCTCCGGATTCCTGCAAAATTGGGCTAGTTAATCCCCCCTTGTGCATGCAGCAAGGGTTACTGTCTATGTATGGAGAAGATTGATAAATGTTAGTTTTATTAAAGAATCTCCCATACCAGACGGTTATTTCTGTCTAGCCACAGACATGGTGAATTGTGTGTTGCAAATTGTCATTCTACCGTATTTGCCGGCGTAAAGGCCGCACCCCCGCATAGGCCGCACCCCCAACTTTGACATTTCGTAGAGAAAAAAAAAAAAAAAAAAAAAGGGAAAAAAAAAAAAAAAGGAAAAAAAAAACGGACCAAAGAAAATAATTGTAATTTTCCCGTAGAACTCTATTTCTCCTACAAACTAATACCAAAATTATCAATCATTTTATAAATTTACAGGAAGTTTACCTAAAAAATGATCGTAATTTAACAAATCTTCATCGATTTTTAGGCAGATTAGCACATTCATGGGACACTAGAGGGCGCTTCGCATGCATACAGAAACCAGAATGGCCAACCTATCGCAGGGTGGAAGCATGGTGGAAGGATGTTTTTTTTTTTTATAATGTTATCCGGTCTTACCCCTATCGTACCGTCAAATGGAGAAAATAAACAAGCTTTTGTATTGTTATTAGAGATCTACCGAGGTTAGTTTGTCGCTTTAATTAATTAGATAGTCTCAATTATAATTCAGAATTATCTTACTGAAAAGTTAACAACACCGATGATTGCGCTCTGTGCATCTCCGAAGGTGCGTTGGATTTGTTAGCAACTCCAGCCCCGTAGCTCCCCACCACAGAGTGTGTGAGTAAGGTACCAAAATCATACCTTACTCACACACTCTGTGGTGGGGAGCTACGGGGCTGGAGTTGCTAACAAATCCAACGCACCTTCGGAGATGCACAGCGCGCAATCATCGGTGTTCTTAAGGACATTTTTACAACTTTACAAGTACGAGTTTCTGGTCAGTTTTCTCCTTATTTCTTTGGTTGCACAACGATTAAAAAGATAACTTCTTCAAATTTGCTGCTGACGTGGTTCACAAAAGATCTTGTCCGATGTGTTTTCAAGTCAATTTTGTTAATATATTTTGTTGTATGAAGTTGCCTACAAATAATGGACGTGATATTTTGACCGCTGAATTTTGTTGTTGTTGCGTATACGCCGCACCCCGACTTTTTGATTTTTTCTCACCCGAAAATACTGCGGCCTTTACGCCGGCAAATACGGTAGTCATGTTTTGAACAGGACTAGATTGGTCAATTGGTCAAGTGACTGAGGGCTGAGAAGTGCCAGAGTCAAACCCAAATGAGTGGCCTCCTAACACTTGACTGATGTTGCTTTTTAAATCACTGCTTCACAGTTTGTAAAATAAACATTGTCATGTCGACCTGTAACTCTGTAGATTTCATGATGACTAAGTTTCATCATAGACTGCAATGTATGACATCTTCATGTTGAATGTTCAATGCTATCTAATAATATATTTCTTTCCCTATTGAATGATGAGTATCATGCAGTGTGATTGATTTGTATATAACGACTCACTTTAGGCATGTAAGCTTGATGTAAAAATAATGAAGGAATAGAGTTAAGTAGAAATCGAAATTTTCTGGTGATACAAATTTAACATCAAAACCTAGGATTCAAGCCTTTTGTATTTCCTTGATTCTTAAGAATAGAAGATTACTCTTAATGCCTTTTCTGTTTCTTTACTTAGATCATATTTTTTAAAGATTTTTCCCCCTTATATTTTAACAGATTATAGAAATTTACAATGACAACAATGCTGAATCAGAAGTGAGTTTGTAACCTGCAAACCAAGAACAAGGTTCACCATGCCTGCTGAGGACGTCCGGAAGGAGCATGTGTTGTCCTCTTGTGGGTCACTCCTAGGCCTCCCAGCCAACGACAGCGCAATCACCAGCCTCTATTCGGCCAGGGAGCTCAACACCTTTCTGGATGATGGCAACTGTTCAGTGCTCTCGGCAAAGCTCAACAGCTCGGGAGGAAACAAGAAAGTCTACTTGGCAAATAAGGTGATTGATTAAAAAGCAAATTATTAAATCTGTCAATTAAAAAACACAGGAATGTGCAATAAGTGTATATGTCTACAACTAAGATCTTCTTTCATAGAATTAGATTGAAAATAAAAATTGATGCAATTCTATTTGTATAAATGCAATTAAATGCATTGATATCGGAAGCATTATCTAAATTGTAAGGTATAATTTTTTTTTAGCATTGGTGTATCTGGAGACAAAAAAAATTGTTCACAAGTGCAAAGTTGTTATTTAAATAATAGTACTGTGTAAAGAAAATGATGTACTCCAGGTTTGTTTTGAGTGATATCTTTCCTCACCAAGGCATTATAAGACTATATACTCTTCATCCTCAAAAGGATAAACATATCTACAGAACTTTCTGGGTAATCATATTTACTAAAAAGCTTACCTCAAATTGACATACATGAGACCACACATTTTTGGTTTGATATACTGTGAAACTAATTTATTTTCCTTTGTTACCAGAACTCAAAATGACCTTTAACCCTTTCTTGCTATCCCATCCCAGGTTGATCCCAGTGATACAGGAGAGAAGGTGATTGCTTTCTTCAAGCTACGTCCAGATGTCATCTCAGCCGATAATGTCCAGTCAAGCATTCTGACCGTGTCTATGATGGACTCTCCTGTTGGGGCACTCTTTCATGCAGTAGACAAGGTCAGTGAATCGCCATGATTAAGAATAGCAATAGAACAACAATGGTTTAAGATACATGTTTGTAATGGCAGAGGTAAAGTAGAAAGAAAATGATAATCTGTCTACTGCCAAAATATATTTCTAAGGTTAGAGGGTTGCTGTATCTAATTGAATTGATTTTTGTAATTTTTGAAGATATTTATTCATTAGCATTCATATAGTGAAATTTTACATTGTCTTTAATAGATGGCAAAAGGCCACTGTGGCATTCCTGCTGGATATATGTTATCACCATTGAACAAAAGCGTTTTTGTTTGAGCTAACGTTACTACATGTCTTTAAAGTGTGCCGTAAGTCCTGTTCTCGTGATCGTATAATCTCAAGAACCAATCGATGGATTCCAGCCAAACTTGAGTCGTGTATGTATCTTGCAGAGCCAATGAACTGTTAAGATTTTGGGGTCACGAGATCCAAGTTCAAAGGTCACAGGGGCCGGGCTCATTATGTATGCAAAAATAGCTTGTATAATCATTCAACCATATTTCATATCCCAGGTGTTTGCCCCATTGCTTATTGAGGATGAGAAGTACAACCGTACCTTCAACCCCAAGCTCCAGAGCCTTCTCAGTGAGCTTAGGGCTGGACTCAAGAGCCTGGTCAGGAAGCAGGATCCATCGCAGGGAGGACAGGTCAAGCGAGGGGACGATGACTTTGCTGGTATGACCCTTTGACCTTTTATTTACTTGAAAGCCGTAGCGGATATGAATCATATTGAGGAGGTGTTTTTCAAAATTATGTATATGCATGTCTGCCATTGAATAAATCATGTATGTTGATATCACAAGTTTTACTGTCATTTGATATTAACCCTTTCCTTTATTTTGGTAAATGGTTAAATATATTTTTGAAACTGCTTGTAGCCTTTGCATAGAGAGTTCATATATTTACAATTGCACAATATAGATAAGTTAGCTTACATTGCAAATTAGTAGTTTACAAAATATGATGCAAATAACTGTCTGTTGATAACATTTGCACTTTGATTGGATAATGAGAATCAGTGTGGTAAGCAACTTTGGGGTGACATTTTTATGGAAGACTCTTACAATGAAAGATTTCAAGGTGTCTATATACAGTCAAACCTGTCTATAGTGACCTCCCAAGGGAAACACAAAAAGTGGTCTTTGTAGACAGGTGGTCACTATTAAAAGCAGGTTTGACTGTACAACAACTTACATTTTCTTATCTTCTACAAATTGATTTAAACCCTTCCCTCCTAATCTCTCCCACCCCACAAGGTATCCTGACCCCTTCGGATGAATTCCAGCACTGGTCAGAGGTTGCCATGTCGGGTCGCAACCAGGACGCCAAGGAGCGGGCGGAGCATTTCCTGTCCTTCTTTGAGATCATCTCCAGGGAGTTTGATGTCCTGGACACCCTGTCGCTGGAGGAGGGCAAGGAGCTGGTCGAGACCACCCAGGATGCTGTGGATGATGTCTGGAAGCAGGGCGAGTTCGACCCCTATCCTGAAAAGAGAATGGCCCACTTGCTGGAGGTCATAGGTCAGTGATGAGCAACCCAATGGCCTGAATTCACAAAGGAGGTTTAAATTTAACCCATGGTTTAAACCTTCATTTACATAACCCATGGTTTAAATTAGCGCAAAATAAGCTCAACACAGTCAAGAGGTCCAATATAAGACGCGCGCAAGGCAAGGTACGCTTATTTTGCGCTAATTTTTAAACCATAGGTTATGTAAATGAAGGTTTAAACCATAGTTTAAATGTAAACCTCCTTTGTGAATTCGGGCTAATGAGTGTTGTCGTTTGTCCCTGGTGCACAGTTAGTTATGGAGATTAATTTAAATTATTGAGCAGGGAAGGACTGCAATTCTAATCATTTGTTGATTGCACCATCATTATATTGAAGCCTTTGATTGCAAGACTTAGTTTTAACCCTCCATAGCAAGAATTGTGGGTAAAAATGTATGGGTGTCAATCTCGTAATCAAAGAATTTTTGTTGCTTTATTTTCTAATGTTGAAGTAATTGATAAGTTTTAAATTGCAAATCTGTTAAGATATCAAACATCAATTATTTGTGTTCTTATTTTCAAATCTGTGATCTGTCCTAACCTTAAGAGGTAGATCCTTGATGCAATTTATCTCAGAATAAATTTCTCAAACATGTCCTATGGTCTTCATCTCTGCCAGGAAGTGCATTCGGACGCTTCATCCAACGCAAACTTGGAGCATTTGACCTCTGGCTTGACCCCTTCCACAAAGTCAAGCAGGCCTTGCTGAGTGGCATCGCCATCTGTGACAAGTGGATCTCCAGCTGTGAGAAACTCACCGAACAGTTCTGGAAAAGGGACCCCATGCACCCCTGGAATGGGGCCAAGTTCACCCCGGATGGTCTCTCTCAACTCTCCAAGAGACTTCAAGAAGTAAGTTAGATATGCTCAATCAATCTTCATACTATTGCTAACATTAAAAAATTAAAACATTTGCTGCTGTAATATGAAGAATATATCTATTGTGTAGAGTTTTGCTCTGGTAGCCATGATGTGGTATAACACATGGACTATAAGTTGCAACCAGTTACCCCTGTTATAGGGTTTCTCCTGGCAGTTCTTGGCAAAATGTCTTTTCAACAAGTAAGCACCAGGCTAGGATATAAAGTACCAATTTCAGATTACTGGTCTAGAATACGAACCATTGTACCATGCTGCATGTAAATACCAAGAAATTCTCATTTCAAACTATTTTGGGAGTAACATCATAAAATTGTCTATACAATCATTTTCTTGGCAGAATATTTAATACTTTGATTATTTGATGTGTTGATTAATTCCTGTGCATAGGAGTTCCAAACAGACAGTACCCCATTTGTTAAAAGTTGATATTGATATGGCTTTTTGAAATTACAGATTTCAACGTTGAGGACGATTCATGAACAGCTGGTCCGTCTGCTGTCAAAGGGAGAACAAGAAGAAGTGCGGCTCAAGGATGTCTTCTCAGTTTTCTCTGGCCTGAATCCACTGCAGTACAACCCCTACACAGAACCACAGTGGAGGGCTGCTGTCTCCCAGTACGAAAGGGGTAAGGAGCAGTATGAAAGGATAGAATCAAGATACATACTTGGAAATTAACTAATTATGGAATTAAATTTGATTTGATACAATTCATGCTGATACAGAGCTTGATGTTCACACTGCATTCAACACTGGAACAGCTGTGACTGAGAGTTAGCTAAAATTCCTAGGCCTATATGTTTTGTGGAATAAGAGATTTTTTTTTAGTGCTAGCACTCATGAGCTTTTAGAAGTTTGGACTATAAACCAATTTTCAAAATAATTACCCAGTGAAAGTCTTCAAATTTGTGATAAGTAAACAAAAAATGTGATGATTAAAGATACCATACCAAATGGGGGACTGTCAAGGTCAACAAAGGCTATGTATAGTCCTGTGTATTTGCAGTGTTTGTGTACACACTGGTCATCTGAATCACTACATCATTCTATCACAAAACCCTGCACTCTATTAATTCTAAGAGGTAATTTGTTCAATGCTGTTTGACCCGTGCGTGAACTGAAAATTCATGTTTTCTCGACAAAATGTATTTCTTCTCTATGTAGCAATCAATCCAGCTGAGAGGAGGATTGCCATCAAGCTCCGGACTCAGTTCAGAAACGTGGAAGGCAACCCCAACCAGCTGCTTAGGGAGTTCCAGAAGTTCAAGGAACTGGTCGGCAGAGAGAGTGTCCGCAAGGAGGTGGTGTCAGAGAGGTGAGAGCTAGGGATCAACAATGGTTTACCCAGAGTCAAAATGATTTTTAATGTATTGAATTTGTAGTTCACTTTGATTTTAATCCAGAGATATGCAAGTATGCTTGACATTAGCATCAAGAGGGATATGACAGCTTTGAATCCAACCTGAGGCTGAGGGACATGTTAATGAGGGAATGATAACTTCCCCACACACTCTAGGTCACTGATGTGATCTTATATCATATAGTCTGCCATATAGCCATGATATATTACAGAATTTCTAATCATTTAAGTGCTGGCTAATCTGTGTTTCAGTTTCATGCCTTATCAATTATTTTGCTGCTATAATTATCTATGAAATTATTTAGAAATTTTAATTTTATCTCATGAAACTACTCAGACTTAGAAGGTATTTCATCGAGGTCACAATTTAATTTCGTCCCTTCCCTAATGTAGTAATTTTTAGTGAATATAGTATTACCCTTTGACCTTGCAGAGAGACCCTTCTAGGTCAACTCCAGGTCTATCTCAAGAGCATCCGGGATGACTTCAACGTGAGGACCAGCGAGAGCAGTCCTCCAACGGGAAAGAACCTCCCAGAGGTTGTCAACAACATCGTGTGGGTCAGGCAAATTGAAGCCAAGGTAACAAGCAAATAGTGAACACAAGCAGTAGATATGGGGAGTGTTTCACTTAAGTTGGACTTAACTATGGCAGGCCATTCATGCCACTAGTTGCTTTCACCATTGGTCTCTCAATTATGATCTTTAGATAATATTTTTTCCTTCAATAATGAACCATACAAAAATGTAAATTCTGTAGATTTGTGACCATGATTTGTACGTCCCTTGAGAAGCCAATGCCAGGAATGGTTAGAGAAAGTAGTGGCATGAACAGCCTGCCATAGTTAATTCCAAGTTTAAAGTTGATCTTAGTCTTTGTGAAACACCTCTCTGGTCAGGTACAAGCAATCATGTCTCAAGATCTCTGTATATGAAGGTCATTGTGCTGGTATACCACCCCGCATCAATTGGTTAATGTTGGTGAACTGATGCTGGTAGTCTTGTCTTTGTTGGATTGATGTTAGGGATGTATGAATTTGAACAAATTTATATACACAATAATTATGTATCTGTTTTGTATATGTGAATTGGCAAATGAATAATAACAGAGCTATGCACTGTAATCATATATGTCAACATAGATTGGTATACTAGCCATGAATCAAAATTGTAGTGTTCATGATCAGATAGCACAATCATAATTCTTCATTTTCCTAAGGACTGATTTCTGTGACAATATCATTCAAGTATCTATTTGTTTGTTAGATAGGTGGAGCAGATCTCCCAATTTGCAAATACCATCCTCACAACGACCTGTTTCTGTTTCATCTAATAAGACTGTTAGATTGGACTTTAACATTCATGTATCTGATGGTGGTTGTTATCGTAGGTGGAACAGACCTCCCAGGTTGCAGACACCCTGCTGAATGACCTGTCTGGGTTTGGACGCTTCAGACGAGAGGCTGGGGACCTCCTGGATGAGCTGAGGAACTGGAGGCAAGACCAGTTTGATTCCTGGTCCAGTGAGATGCAGGCTGCCATCGGTGACCACAATAAACCCTTGAGGTACTGATGATAAAGATGAAGGTGGTGGTAGTGGTTATGATGATGATGATGATGATGGTGGTGGTGGAGGTAGTGGTGATGATAGGAAATCATAATGCTGGTGGTATGATGACGGAAAGCTCATTGATAGTGATGGTTATGATAATGATGAAATGATAAAAACCAAAATATCACGACAGAAAAGTGGATTTTGATAATGATAAATGCAATGATGGTGAGAGTATTGGTAAAAGATGACTATCAAGCTGATGGTGATGATTTTAATAACAATGGAAAAGTGTAGATTTTATCTTGTTAAAGCTCGTCAGCACTAGTTTGGCCAGGGGGGATTAGACCTCCCTGCAAGGTCACTGACAGGTGGTTATCTCATCAAATCAGCTCTCAATTAACATAAGAAAAAGGGGATCATGGGGTACCAACTGGCACCAATTAGGCATTGTTTGCTATACAGGGGGTGCAAGTGTAGTGCAGTGGGGCTTTAAGAGTTAGTTTATTTACATCAAGTCAGAATGGAAACCTGACATTCTTTACGTCAAACCTTGTCTTCCGATAACAGCTTGCAGATGACTGGAAGGCTCATGGAGTTTGAGACCAAGAACAACGAGCTGATCGTCTCCTACAGCGAGCGACTGGTCACCCTCATGAGGGAAGTGAGACAGCTGCAGGCCCTAGGCTACCCTGTAGCTGCCAAGATTCAACACACTGCGGCTATTGCTCAGAAGTTCTACAAGCATGGTGTGATTCTCAAACAGGTATGGATCAATGAAAATGTCTGAAAGTAATAGTTATTTGCATTATCTATTGATGTATGATAAATATTTGAGCCTATCCTCAAGGATATCAAGAAAGCAAGCCAAGTTTTATCTTTTACGGCCATTACACTCTCAAAATATATAACTTTGCTATACAAACAATCCCAAACATTCAAATATATATGGATCCTAACAATAATAATAGTGACTGAGGAACTCTTAATCTCACTCTGTTTGACCAGGTTGCACACTTCCACAACAGCATCGCAGAGCAGATGATCCCCAGCCAGCGCAACATGATGCTGCAGTCGGCTCTGGCCTTTGAGCGCATCATCAAGAACCCTCGGACAGGGTCAAAGGACGCAGGTCAGGGCAAGGTCCAGGTCACCTGGGAGAACCCCAAGGAGCTGGAGGAGTACATCACCAAGCTGCAGGCGGCCGCCGAGAAGCTTACCACAGAAAACAGGCGGCTCAGGAAGTGGCATTACTCAGTCTCAGATAAGGTGAGTGCCATCAGCAACCGAAGCATCTATCAATATCATATCTTGTAAACGATCAAGGATAATTCTTGAATGATCAGTTATTTCATGAGGATCGATACCAATTAATTTGAATTTTACCTGTTTATATGCTTGTGTATTTATCTATTGTATCTTTGCTGCTGTTATTTGTTTTATTCTCATGGAATACCACCAAATTGGTGATATATGCCACCCTGTATAAATATCAGAGATAAATAAATAAAAAAACAAAAAAAAGGAAAAGCAACCTATATATGCCTATTTGTAATTTGAGTGCTGCTTAAATGCTACTCCTTGCTCATGTGCCTGTTTCCTGTACTTTTGCCCCACTAGCCATATCGTGATACCCTCTTCTCTTCTAAGTTCTATATATTTCCTCTCCAGTATCCTTATCACTTCAGTGAGGGGCTTCTGAATCTTCAGATAGGATAACTTGTGTATAAAGACTGCTCATCGGAGTGTTGGCTCAGTCAGTAGAGCGTCCGCCTCACAACCGGGAGGTCATGGGTCCGGCCGCGTCATACCAAAAGACGTTAAAAGATGGGAGTTGTTGCTACCTTGTTTGGCGTTTAACAATAAGGGATAGAGCAACGTCAATCTGGCGCTGCTCAGTGGCTGCCGGGCTCACGATCAATTGGGCAAAAAGAATTTCCGTTTTGGTTTAATAAAATTTGGAGGGGACTATTAGGCTATTATTATTATTATTATTAAATGAAAACAGAATTTCCAGACATGTGTGTGTTTTTGTTTTTTGTATTAGTTTCCTTTTAGAATAAAAATTTAACAAAAAAATATGCGGTTATAAGTACTCTAAGAGATCAACGACCAAATGAGGCCTTCTTATGGAGGTGGTCGGCTAAGCAGATTTGACTGTACATGTTACATTTACTTTTTATTTATATTTCCTAGGTGGTTTCTCTGATGTCTATTGATCTATTACGCCAGCAGCCTCGCTGGAAGGAAGGACTTCAAGAAATCAGAGGCATTATGGCCTCTCTAGAATCACAGGTAAAGACCGACGATGAGTGATGTGTAGACCCCTATATTTAATGCAGTTAATTGTTTTTGTTTCATTGACCAAAATTAACCTGCTGAAAAAACACCTTTGTTACCACGTTATTAGTACTTTTAGTAGCGATTTCAACTCCTAAGGCATAAGAATATATGTTGGAAAAAAAGTGAAACTTAACATGACTTTAAACCATTGAGAATCACATATTTAGGCTCTTTGTTGATTTGTGCATAAAGTAAAAGGAACCTCAGAACCTGGGAGAACTAAATGTCTATAGGAAAAAAATATTTGATTATAACAGCTCTTGCCATTTTCAAATATTATTAATCTCAGGCATTTGTATTAGCAAACAAAAATATTTATAATGGTATTGTCAGATGTTTAATTCATAGAAATTCAGATATGGGTTTTGTTGCCAATATTTGGTGTAATATTTTAAATGTTTTAATAATGATAATATCTTATAATATTGAACTTTGTATAATTTTAGCCGACGTCTCACCTACCTTGTTATTTGTTGTGCTTAATTCTCTCACCTTCCCACAGGGTTACAAAGCTCAAGACATGAAGTCCTGGAAGATGCATTGGGATAGACAGCTGTACAAGGCCCTGGAGCATCAGTATCAGATGGGATTGGAAGCTCTCAATGAGAACCTGCCCGAGATCAAAGTAGAGCTCACTTTCAGGTGAGCAAGAGATGATAGATGATGATGATGATGATGATGATGATGACGATGATGATGACGATGACGACGAAGATGATAATGATGATGATGATGTTTGTTACAGGGCTTAAGGCTTTCAATAAGAACCCTCATACCTTAAAAGGACCTAATAGGATTATTACTGATGGTGGTGGCAGTGGTGTTGATAAAAATGATGATTATCTAGATGATGATAGTGATGATGATGATATTGCTGTGATCATGATGTTGCTGGGGCTGATGAAGTATCTGTTGAGAATGTACTGAATGCTCTTAATGGGAACCCACTAGAAATGTTTGAGAAAAAAAACATATTGCTCTGTATTATGAAAGTTTTCCTAAAATATGAACAAATCTTTTAACACCATCTTACAGACAACAGACCCTCCAGTTCCGGCCACCCATCGAGGAGATCCGAGCCAAGTACTACCGTGAGATGAAAAAATTCATCAGTCTCCCGTATCACTTCAGGGGCATCGGAGACACTGGCGAGCCCCTCATCTACCCTGCCATCATAGAGAGGAATGCTTCAGGTTTCCTCAACGTCTACAAGATGGCCGAGGTGCTCTTCAGCAAGCTGGAGAAGGCTAAAGACATATTCAAGGTGAGGAACCTAGGGCTCTTGATTAATTTTCATTTGGTATGAGAGCGGATTAAACTACACAAATTTGTAGATTGCTACTCTCAATGTCTATATGCTCATTTATAACAAAATATGCAAAGCATTCATATGAAAAATTGATGAATGTATGCGCTATGTATCATAAGAGATGTTTAGTTGGCATCCAGGCTAAAAGGCAGGACTTATAGGTTGCCTGAACAGATTTTAGCTGGTCAATAGTCCCCAGGCATATGTTGTATACTCATATACTTGATGAGTATTTGCTGGAAGGGGTGGTAAGTTGTTAAGAAATGTTGCTGTTTCTTTGTGAAGTATTTATATTGAAGAATTGCAATAGGTATTATCCATTCTGAAGTTTTCTGTCTCTGGCACTCGTATATATTCTGATCCAGAGCTATTCTTTTTCTACTGTAATGGTGTCATCCTGCTTAACTGAAATGTTAACTTCTTCAGTAAATGTTACCATGAAAGAAAAAAAAACAATCAACCTGTTTAGAGTTGGTTTACCTTCGTTGCTCAGAATGGTTCTTGAAAGGGTCTTCACTTGTGGACTTGTGGACGCAAGTAAATAGTCTGAACAAAGGCACAAAATAGTTTCATATCTATCTTTTTTGTGGTCAGAACTGGGTGGTGCTAGGATCCGTTGATCTAGACAAGCTTCTTGAGACCCACCTTCACACCGTGGCTGACTGGGAGAGGAACTTCAAGGCTCTCAAGGCAAGAGGCAGGGACTCAGAGAAACTGCCAAGGTAGGTCTCTATTAACAAACAACTATGAGTTAGAGTTTACTAATAAAATATGCTATGTGATCAGTTTTGAGAAAGTTAGCAGATATTTGATATAAATTGGAATTTCTCATGTTGTCAAGATTCATCATTGAGTTTAAGGTGACCTTAGGTCCTATGACCAAGAATGAAAGCAAGACTGAGCCCAGGGCCCCATCTTGTGAAGAGTTACGATTGATCTGAATCAATTGCTACTCTGTTCATTAGCAGTTACCGTGTAGGCTGTTTATAAGATAAACCTTTGATAAGATAGGGACCCCAAGAATTGTTTTGGTTCACATAAATTGAAGGTCAAGATTTACATTTACAAGTTTTCATAGAGTGTAATGTTACTCCTGCATGTTGTCTGTGTGCCAATTTATCTTTGGGTCATTTTCTGTCTGATGATTGCTCTGAAATTGAATAAGAAACTCCCTTCTCTTGCTCTTAGCACTGCAATCAAAGTTTTAACTTACTCCTCCTTTTTGCCATTGCAGTCAAGTCAAGGTGTTCTGCGTGACGGTATCCACCGCCCCGGTGAAAGGAACCATCGATGACCACATACAGAGGCTCTTCGATGCCCTCCTCTCGTCGCTACGGCGATCCATCACCGAGAGCGTGTCGGAGATTGACAAGTTCCTGAAGGATGGGATGGAGTCTCTGTCCACCATGCCGCAGACGGTGGAGGAAATTGGCAATGCCAACGCCAAGCATGCTGAACTGGAGGCTAAGAAACCAGAGGTAAGGGGCTGGGTTATAGGTGTTAATTGAAAAGCAAGGATAACTTGGGGGTGCTGTACTCACCTAAAATGATAGACGTAAAAGAAATGGTTTCGCTGAAGTGTCTATTCATGTCAACACCTGAGATTTGTGGCATTACAATCCTTCCCTTCTCTTCTCTCTTCTCTTTTCTTCCCCCCCCCCTTGTATTATCCATATACTGATGCATCCAGGATAATGTATTACATCTGGACCTTTGTTACCTCTATCAGCCTAGTCATCAGAGCTTCCTTTTATCTAAAGGAGCTGCATATTTTTTTCATCAAACTTTTAAAGTACTTCAGTATTAAACCTAGAATATTACACAAATGTGCAATATATACTCAGCTGAGGATAAATGTATGTCAAATATCTTACAAATATCTTTCAGTTAGAAAGAGCTAGGTAACCCAGGATAAGAGTGTATCTCAAAGTTAAAAAATAACTTTTTCATCAGTCTGTACTTTTTTATACCATTCTTTAATTTCCGATGAAATTCTCTTCTTTCTCAGATGCGTCCCATGTTTGACAGGGCTGAAGCCAAGAACAAGCTGCTCCGCACTGTGGCAGGAGGCGGGGTCGATCAGTTCACACAGCTTCACGCTCACTGGGAGAAGTTTGAGCTCATGATGGAGAGTCATCAACTTATGATTAAGGAACAGGTCAGTTTAAGTAATAGTATAAAAATATATACTGAGGGGAATAGTATAGTATTAATGACTGCTTTGAGAGACATAAAGCCTCAGGTAATAGCTTGATTGTAACCTCCCCTTGAGCGTATAAAAACAACTATGTCTCGAAAATTAAAACAGTCATTAATACTTTATATACCGAAAAGTGTCATAGAATACATGTGCGACTTACCAATCATGGTAATCAAGTTTGTTTACGCTATCGCGACCTAGTCTAGGGTGCGTCTGCCTGCGGGGCCGGGGGACTTCGATCCACGTCCATAGACTTAGCACGCAAATGTGTGTGTACACTATGAATGAGAGGGGACTTTGATTCGCACACACATATCCGCGCTCTCGCTTAAACCACTTTTTAACACGTAAACCAATGGGTATTTCAGCAAGACTGAACTATTTTCACGGTAACTGGAATTTTGCCAAAATTTTACCGATTTACTCTAGAAATATTACATGGGTTTGGCATTTTTCGTTTATTTATGGGAATGGTTAAAACCACGACTGCGATTTCGACCAATCAGATGGCTGGATTCTTAAGTGAGGTATATAATAAAAATTATTGATTTAATATGTCCTGCCTCCGAGACCTTACCCCATGAGTGGATCCTCAAAGGTATAAAGCTCATAAGTTAAGCCGGGACTAAGTCCAGACTAAACAAGAATTTTAGTTCACACTTCTGTGGAATGCTATGTTTAATCTTCCTCCTTCAATATTCATGACAAGGATAATCTACCAAAGACTTTGTTGAAATTCAGTTCATACTCATATTATCTTTTTCTTCCCATTTCATTGCAAAATTAATTTTTTGGACGCTTTTCATTGAAGGATTAAAATAATCTGTTCAGGGTAAATTAGTACACAACAGGCACTCCATAAAAGTGTGAACTAACTAAGCACGCGCTAACTTAGTACGCGCTACCGGAATACCACCCAATGATTTGCAAACCCTAAATTGAGCAGTGAACCAGAATGAGTCTAAAGTGGTATCAGAATCAATAATAGCAATAGGGTTTGAACTACTGGTATGAACAAGCTGCTTCGCACTGTGGCAGGAGGCAGGGTAGATCAGTTTACACAGCTTCATGCTCACTAGGAGAGTCATCAACTTATGATCAAGGAACAGGTTAGACAAAGTAGCTTAATAGTCACATAATTATCTTCACATCTGTACCTTTTGGTACAAGGAGAAGAATTAGAAATCAGATTAAACTCGCTTCTTCTCTGTTATTATCACTAAACACTCTCTTTCAATGGAAAGAAGTTACCACCAAACAGAATTCTTTAATTGCCCTGCATTTACCAGAACTTTGGTTATGCACCGTTGAACAAAACTTTGTAACTTTTAATTATATTTTTCTAACTAAAATAATTAAATCTAAGCTGATGAAAGTTGAAAATTTAAGGATTGTATAAAAGTATTTATCAACATGATCTTGTCAATATGAAAACTTGTGTCATTTCCTATTGCATATAGGTCAATGTAATGAAGAGCAACGTGGAATCTCGAGTGGATAAGTTCCGCTCTGAGCTGGAGAAGTTTTCCGCTCGTTGGAATCATGCCAAGCCGACGCCCGACGTCATAGAGGCTGGAGACAAGGAGGCGTGTCTCAAAGCCGTTGAGCTGGTCAAGGAGAAGAAAGTGGAGTTTGATGAGGTGCAGAAGACCAAGAACAGCCTGATGTAAGAGAATTAAATTTAAATTTTGGGGGGTAATAATACTACATCATTTATTATGCGCCATCGATCTAGTAAACTATTCTGAGGCGCAGAGGGAGATTATTACCCTGGCTTTAGCACGGCTGCCATTACGGTGTTCTAGCATTTCAAGGAATTAATTCCTGCCAGGTACTCATTAACATCACCAGGGTTGAGTGTGGCAAATTATGTAAATCAATGTCTTGCCAAAGGACATTAGTGTCAGTTTCAACACTAAATCTTTTTTCTCTTGGGGCACCAGACTGACATTGTAGAGACCACGTTCAGGTCCCTGTTTACATTTAGAAAGTTCATGGGTCCATTTGTACCAGAACCCTATAGCTGTTAGTGTTTTACTTGTATGTATCGGTATGTGTATTCTGGTGTTAAGGAACTTTAGTATTATCAGTATTTAATGGATGGGGGGCAACCCAAATTGAGTAGGTATGGTAGGGTCCTTATTGCCAGCAGAATGTTAAATGTGCCTCTAAGTATCGAAAGTATAATTAAAAAAGCTATTAAATGAACAGATAGTTAATGACAGTTTAAAACGATAACCTGTATCGGACAATTTGCATGAAAATTTATTATTAAATGTTGGCTACAAACAATGGCAACTGACCAAGATGACAGAGTTTTCAAGTAACACTATCTTGAGTTTGTGCTAGTTGTAATCAAGACATGACATATGCTCATTGCCCAAGCATGCCTCTGATAATGGTAACGCATCAGATATTTGAGATATTGGTATTCTAATTGATTTCAGGATTTGCCATCTTTAAATATAACCGATTGACTTACTTTACCTCTATGTATATAGGAAGTTCTTACCAAATGAGTCAAATCTTACTTTTCTAAATCTATCCCGTCTTTTCAGATTTGACTGCAAGCACTTTGACCTTGAGGAGCCGTTCTTCTCTATTGCCAATGACCTTGAGGTTGACTTTGACCAGCAGAGTACCATGTGGACACTGTATGAAGAGTTCAGCACTAGCCTATCCGTTCTGGAGACCGAGGATTGGATCGTCTTCAGGTCTGTGTCTTTTTAAAATATCAATTTCTATTTGTACCTAAGTCAAAATACTGTGTATGAGCTCCTCCATGACCACCATGATTTTGATCAATTGTTTTAAATAAACTCTGTAGATTGTGTGATTTTTCGATTTGTGGGTATAAAATAGAATATTTTCTTTTGAAATAAACTTCACAATGAATTCACCTGTTTCAGTTTCAGAAAGAAAATTATTTTCTTTTCTGAGATCTTTATAGTTTATATTTTTCAGTGCTTACATTATGAGGCTGGATTTACTAACCATTCCATGTATGGCCATTAAAGGCAGTGCTTTATATAGAGAATACCTTTATTTTGTATTCTTGATATCACTCAACCAATATTTTGAGTTTTACTTGCTTAAGGAGCTTATTGATTTATATTCACAGGAACAGACATGTATGATCATTAGTAAGCACTTTTTTAATTTCAATTTAATCCAATTTATTGATTTAACAAAATACAAAGATATTTATAATATATAATAAATTGTGCCTGGGAAATGCTTGCAATAGAAAACAAAAATTCTAATGCAATCATAGTAATGACACATACAATGGAACTGCAGTGCATGAAAATTGTGATGGTTACAGAGATAATGTATATGGCTTTCATTTCCCTTCAGATCCAAGACATACCAGTTTGATGATTTCCTGGCCACCTGGACGGAGAAGCTGAAGTCTGGCGGCCCAGATGTGGAGCATACCATCATGACTGTGAGAATCAGCAAAGACATTGACAAGTTCAAGGTAATTAGGATCATCCATCGATCTCAACTGTTTGGAAGCCTCCCGGGGATGATTAGAACTCATTGTACAGTCTAACCTGTCTATAGAGACCGCCCAAGGAAACACAAAAAGTAGTCTTTGTAGATAGGTGGTCTAATGCTTATGACATAGTAAATAATATGAATAATACTCTGTAATCAGGAGAGACATTGACAAGCAGAAGGTTAATAGGATCATCTATCTCTGCTGTTTGGAAGCCTTCCAGGGGGGTATTTCACAAAGATCCTAAGTTGGACTTAAAAATTATGGAAAGCCATTAGCATCTTTGAAAATATTTTGTAAAAGTTATTTTGAAAGGCATAAAATGTTGATTCAAATCATTCATATTTTCTATCATCAAGGAGATTTCATGTTCTTGTTGTGGAATTTATAAAAAGTCTAAAATACTTGAATTTCTGCTTTTGAATATATTTCATTTTAAGGCTCCAATGGCTGTCCATAATTTTTAAGTCCAACTTAGTGTTAAGTTCTACTTAGGATCTTTGTGAAACACCCCCCTGAGATGATTGGAATTCATCATATATGTTCTACTTATACATATATTTATAAGGACAAACTTACTTATGACATAGTGAATAATATGAGTAAAACTCCATAATCAGAAAAATATATTTTGACAGATACTTATTGTGCTCCGGCCTCCAAGACCTGTCCAGGATCCTGCATATGAGGCCCTAGGTTTCTATGTGTCACCCTTAAACATAGTGGACAGGTTCCACAGATAATAAGAGGCACAAAACTCTGCATTAACCTGCAGGTACTCTAAGAAGATAGTCCAGGAGACCATCCAAGCAAACCGATAAGCCCAAAATACAGTGTTGGCCTGACTGTCTGAATGAGACCTGACACTTCAAGCAGTCAGTATATCAGTCTAAGTATCATTTTTCAAGATAACATACTTTTTCACAAGCTTAATGTACTTCTGTTTATGTGCATTTAGTTAAGCATGTCCCTGATCCTAGATTATGTCATCATCCCATTCTCTTCCTCTTTCACAGACTGTGTCTCCATTGCTGAAGTACCTGAGTAGTGATATCTTCACCCAAGAGCACTGGATGGATCTCTATCGCATGCTCAAGATGCCTCGCTCCAAGACCGTTGAGCGTATGACCTTCGGGGATATCCTCGGGACAGCAGATCAGATCGTTGCCAACTCAGATGGACTCAAGGTATTTATTTCTCCTTCTCCTAGGCTCATCGCTGGATATCTACAATGTTTTTTTAAAAATTTGAAAGTGCATTTTTAGTTGGATGCAAAATACCATATTCAGCTACAAGTCAGGATCTTTGCCACCTTTTTTCATCTTTGTTGTTTAATATGAAGTGGATATTTAAATCAGCATTGATGAATGATATGCAGTTATTTTCAGGCTTATTATCAGACATAATCATTACTTTTTATGAATTATGAAAATACCTTTTGAAATGATAAATACATTTCCAAACTGGTTTATGATGTGGCACACATATTTAAGGCTATTTTGTGTATGCTTAACTCTAAAATAGCTAAAGAAGGCTGGGGGTGGGAGGGGGGGAGAGAAGAGGTCCCTCCATAATGAAGATTACATGACTATGTTTATGTCAACATTTTGAGCTTGTTATTCATGTTGAAATATCTGATACAATCACCTTAGATGCCATGCTCTTACCAACATGAAAAAGCTGGCTCTGTTGTTATCAGTTATGTAGCAAGTCTTTCTAAATTTGTGTCTTCTTCTCCTTACAGGATCTGTTCAACAGGGCCAAGGGTGAGGTGTCAATACGTGAAGCGCTGCGGGAGCTGGATGTGTGGGGTGTTGGTGCATGCTTCTCACTCACAGAGTATTTAGACAGCAAGAACAATCAAATCATGTTGATCAAGGATTGGAAGGACCTTGTCACACAGGTATGACATTTGACGGTCAGAATCACAGTGATGATGTCTTTGAAAATTTCTATAATAATGAGAACAACAAAGTGGCATTATGTTGTAGTTTGACAGCAAATACAATCTGATAATTGTGATCAAGAATTACAAACTATGATAATGATAGGGCCAAAGACAAACAAAGATTATCTTATGTTACTCTTTGAGTGTTGATAGGGTAATTTTTTCAAATCTTTTTGAAACATATGAAGTCAAATATGAAACCACAATTAATACTTACTCACTACTTTTCTGTATAGTCTCCTTTATTTCCCAAAAGACTTGCCCCATTGCCTTGACTACCTTGACATGAAATATTTCAATTATTATCATTTTCCAGGTTGGTGATAACCAAAGTCTATTGCAATCCCTGAAGGATTCCCCCTACTACAAGGGCTTTGCGGACAAGGCCACCATCTGGGAGCAGCGACTGGCCGACCTTGACGAGTACCTGCAGAACCTGAACCAGATCCAACGCAAGTGGGTCTACCTGGAGCCTATCTTTGGCAGGGGAGCCCTCCCCAAGGAGCAGGGCCGCTTCAGGAGGGTAGACGATGATTTCAGGTGGGCATTGTATAAATATTACAATTAAAAATGGGGCCATTGATTTATTGTCCAAATGTATGCCTATCGAATACTAGGGCTTATAGAGTGGTGAAGTGTGACGTCATCAAAAATCTATTTTTAGAATTTCTCAATTTTTTTCTTCATTTTCCGAAAGAGCATCAAAAATAATGTCCAAATGTCGAAAACCAATTGAATATGTTAAGTATTGGCTGAGATATGACCATCTGAATGAATATATGTCCTATGGGAACTCAGTGTTATATGCTCTGGCTCCTAATGGTTAGGTACTCTATACCAAAATAACACCATATTTAACAGGTTACCTACCTATGACAAAGTATTTTGAGACGGTACTTTTACGAAATACAGCATCTGATTAAAATAACATATTAATACTAAATTGATTTGTCACTTGAGCCCTTATTCTAGAAAGTTTACCAAATCAAGTTCAAATCTTGACTAACTTCGACATTTTTTGCTTTCTTTACGTACTAGTTTATAGTTCACAGAATAATAAGGTTTTTATCACAGTCCACTTTGGAGAATACAAACAAAAACTGAATTCAAACAAGTGATTGTCAATTTGATGGTCACAGAAACACATGAATATATCAGTAATCCTTCATATGCACTAGCGACCTATGTATTGGTTATCTTTTTGCAGGAGTATCATGATGGATGTAGCCAGAGACAACCGTGTTCTCTCTCTGGTTGGTCGATCTGGTCTACGCAACACCCTGGCTACTCTCCTGGATCAGCTGCAGAGGTGCCAGAAGGCACTCAATGAATTCCTAGAGGTACATAAAGTTCTTCAGCCAATACCTTGCTGCAATGATTATGAAGGGTACTAGTAATAGATGAGTTGTTAGAGTAGTAGTCTTTTGAACCTGGTGGTCCCAGTATTCTAAGGCTAAACAGACTTGTTATTGCCTTCACGGGTAGTGCATGGTCCTACCGTCGACTCTCCATTAAAGTCCCTATGTCTCCTGGCTAATTCATGTCTTCAAGTGTAGGCTTGCTTTCTGAGCATGTCATTTGAATTAAACACCAATCAAGCTATCAATTCTCATGAATGAAACTATTCTAAAGCATGCCACATTCAGGTGTTCCAAGCTGTACAAATCACATCAGAGATTTTAATTGTGTGAGCAAACACTCTGTACCATGCATTAATTACTTAACGGAAGTATATATAGTCACAATCTTTTCAGTAGTGATTTTGCTGTATAAAGGAGTCATAAATAATGTGGAAATTGAATAATTCAGACATTTCCTACTTATTTAACCTAGGACCAACCTCTATTATCTTAGTATCATGTTTAAACCCATTTCAGGAGAAGAGATCAATCCTGCCTCGTTTCTACTTCATCGGTGACGACGATCTCCTGGAGATCCTGGGCCAGTCCCAGAACCCTGCCGTCATCCAGTCCCATCTTAAGAAGCTCTTTGCTGGTATCCACAGCGTGGACTTTGACGAGGGGTGCAAGCATATCACCGCCATGAAGTCCCTGGAGGGTGAGGTTGTACCCCTCCTGAAGGCAGTGGAGATCACACCAGAGGTTGAGGTTAGTGGTAGAGAAATATTTCCTCGTTCCAGGTTCCTCTCAAGCTATATTTTTCTCTGGACACTTCTTTTCATTTCGGATTTATTTGTAACTGTTAGCCTTCATTGCATTGCTCCAGACAGTTTTCAGATAATCCTGATTTAAAAGTTGGAAATCATTTTCTGAAGCCTCTTTTTTCCTTTAGAGGAGGCGCGATAGCTCAGTGGTAGAGCAGTGCATAACAGGAAGGACCCAGGTTTGAAATCAAGTCCATGTGCTTGTACCCTTTGCTAAAGCATCTGTCCTCATTACCAAGTCCCTTGGAGAGGACGTAAAATCGTCGGTCCCCTGCTTACTCAGTTACAAGCATACATTGCTCCCGTAGCAGTCAGGTGAAACAATCATCGATCAATTAACAACTAATTAACTTAGATTCCTTTAAGACAAGTGTATGTCCATACAGCTTTAATTCAGACCAAGAGGCACATGTATATCCAGGGACGTTAATGTGAAAAAACTTTAATGTATTCACTGATTGAGAAAAACATTGCTAAGATTGAGCATTATGAGTTGAAACATGATTTAGTAACCATTGTATGGATCTTTCCTCATCTTTATTGTTGCTGGGGCTGGTGAGGTTGCTGGACGTTTATAGTTGACCAAATAATATTGAACTTCTGCATCGACTGCCATGAAAAAAGCTATGTATGTGAAGACATATTAGACATTACAAGTAATATGGTTGCTTTCTTCTGCTTGTTAGATTTGGCTTGGAGAACTGTCTAAAGAGATGAAGTCCACACTGCGTAAACTGCTTGTTGACTGTCTCAAAGACCAGCAGTCCTCCAGCTCCGGGGTGGGCGTCGACCCTACCAAGTACCCTTCACAGGTAAGCATAGATTCACTAATCTGATTCTCCTTAGATTACTAAACTACACCCATTATGTGAAGGATGCAGGATCTAGTTCAGGGATTGAAACCTTTCCAAATGTAAAAGTCAAGTGTTCCAGCAGATGGAGGATTACCTACAAGACTTCCGTCAACTCTTCTTGATTCACTGTTACATTCATTTAACAGCTTAATTGTGCTGGTGTAACAAATGCAGAAAGATACAGCCTAAACTAGCAGTAAATCAAGGAATAAGTGAAGTGATCATGAACTATTTTACCAACCATGTTGTAAGAAGAGTTTTTTGCGGCATTACCTGCATATGGTGTTGTAAAAGACTGAACATCATGAAAAAAAGGAGAAACAAAACAAAACAAGAATATTAGATGCATATATATATATTTGAAACAAATAAACATCAAGAGAAAAATAATCGTATAATTTATTTTTGTACCAGATCTTGGGTCTGGCAGCTCAGATCCAGTTCACGGAGCAGTGCGAGACAGCGATCCAAGACAACAGTCTCCAGGATCTCCTGATTGAGCTGGAGCAGCAGCTAGAGGGCTATACCTCGGCGGATATCAGTGGAGCGGATGGGGAGAGGAATGCAGCCATCCATGTACTGGAGCTTAAACTCAAGGTAAAAGGCACAAAATGATTTCCATATTCCTGTTGCGTTGGCCTTCAAAACAGTGTTTTTGAACTAGTGTTTTGAAGCCTTACTTCTTTTTCTTGTTTTCTGCAAACATCTGTGTGAGAAGCATTCAAAATAAATGCTAAGCTAAATCATTTAGGTAGAAATAAAAAAGATCAGGGAAATGGGTTTGGGAATTTTGTTTCTATTTTGCTGGTGTAAACCAGTTTACCAGAATTGGGGTAACCTTGAAACTTAAAGGTAAAGACCAGTTATGGTCATGCGATTACATTGTGAAAGAAACGTTGTGGAATCGATCAGAAAAGGTTGATCATCTAGCATCTAGCATCTGCAAGGTTCTGGAATCATCAACATGATAAGAAATTTGGCCCATTCTTCGTAAAGTTACAAGCACTATACACAGAAAGATGTATATGGGACTACCCTATATCTCTCACAGACCATGAGAGAAACAAATTTACCAAATATATGAATTAGTAGGCGGTTTCCCAGCAAATTTTTGATCCTCATGTATTAGTCAAAACATATTCTTTCACATGATTGGTAATGAGAGCTTCCATTTCATTTTTTGAAATTGGGGCGTTTCCAATACTGGTCTTTACCTTTAAGATGAAACCTAGCGGAAAAGAAATCAAACTGAAACCATCTCCCAATGGTCAATGGTAAGAGAAATGTTTTCACAACCTTTTTGCATCCATTCCCCATCCATCACAGGCCCTCATCCTGGACACCATCCACAGCATAGACGTGGTGCAGCTCCTCCAGAAAGAGAACGTGACGAGTCTGGATAACTGGCTCTGGCAGAAGCAGCTCAGGTACTACCTGGATAACACCAAGACGGCCATCATGAGGATGGTGGATGCTGAATTCCAGTACACCTACGAATACCAAGGTAGTTGAGCTGTCTTGTCATTTGATATCGACTTTGGTGGGCTTACACTGTATTTAAAGGGAAAATCTAACTTTTCATAATTTTTTTATTTCCTTCCAATTTATGTCAGACTTTTGCTGTTCTGTTTCTCTTTATTTTCTGCTTTCATTCGAATGAACTTATTACAAAGGTTGGATTGCCATTTAATTGTATTTTTTAAAAGGATGAAAACCTATTGATAAAAAGATAACAGGTATAATTTAAGTTTTCATTTAAAAGGAGTGTAGCATGGCAAATACTGGTTAACGTCATCTACATCTTCTTTTGTACAACTGTAAGTAAACCAGGCCTGACAAAAACCTGATTTAAATCGGTTTCTCCGATTTTTTTGTGATTTTTCCTGATTTTTTCCCGATTTTAAAAAAAAAATCCAGATTTTTTTATTTTTTTTAAAATTTTTTTTAAAAACAATTTTGTTTGTCTTCCCTACTTTATCCTGATTTTCCAGATTCCCTTCTTATTTTCTCTATTCTTCCCTATTTTGCCCTATTTTCCCCCAATTTTCTTACTCAGAAGGGGGGAATGTTGTTAGATGCCATTTTTCCCCGCGAATCCTCTTTCTTTCTTTTTTACTCAAGGGGGGCGTGGTTGAGGGGAAAACAAAACAAAAATTTTTTTTAGTGCTCACGTAAACGTATTATACCCGATTGGTAGGGCCACGCTAAAGAACCATAGTTTCGTCATACACTCCCTTTAAATGAATATAGAAATGGGATCAGTATATGATATGATTGTCACTCATAAATCAATACATTCCTTTTCATTTCAATCCGGCCTTCCACAGGCAATGCAGCTAAGCTGGTACACACACCCCTGACAGACAAGTGTTACCTCACCCTAACTCAAGGCATGCATATGGGTATGGGAGGCAACCCCTATGGACCTGCAGGTACTGGCAAGACAGAGTCTATCAAGGCCCTTGGGGGATTGTTCGGCAGACAGGTCCTTGTATTCAACTGTGATGAGGTAGGTTGATTTGGCGTTCGAAGGTCCGCCATATTGTCGTTTACACTTGAACTATATTTGAACAAAGCATGTATGAATGAGATATTTGTGTACCACTTCCTTTGTGTACATTTTCTGTACACAGCATATGTGAAAAGGAATGTTCTGCATGCACAATGGGAAACATCAAATCGTATCCTTTGGTTTATTAATTCTGTTTCTTCAAAGCAAATTTAATTGATATATTGACTTAGATTCATTCCATACAGCGTGCTGCTACAGACAAACGGGCAAAACCTAATCCTATTTCTCTACAGTTTGACTACTATGGATGTAACAAGATTTTTTGTATCGATGATGGTGCCATTGGTCAAATGGAGATTGGTATTGAATATAACTGTTAAAATTGACACCACCTTCATTGTTTATCCATCTACGGTATCGATGTCAAGTCCATGGGACTTTTTTTTCATCGGTCTGGTGAAGTGTGATGCTTGGGGTTGCTTTGACGAGTTCAATCGTCTCAAGGAGGCTGTGCTGTCAGCCATCTCTATTTATGCAGATCCAAAGTATTACAGTAACATACCTGTTTATTTCTGTTTATCCATCTAGGGTATCGATGTCAAGTCCATGGGACGTATCTTTATTGGTCTGGTGAAGTGTGGTGCTTGGGGTTGCTTTGACGAGTTCAATCGTCTGGAGGAGGCTGTGCTGTCAGCCGTCTCCATGCAGATCCAGACCATCCAGGCTGCACTCAAACAGAAGAAACCAAAGGTGGACCTCCTAGACAGAACAGTAAGTGCATGCATGTAGCCAACAATGTAGCAGAAGTTTTGTTTGCTCATGAAAGCATTAAATTCGTTAGCAAGAAATTGATTATTTAGAAAATTCTAAATTGATGGTCAGAAATAGTTTCATGACTCTACTTGCGGATAGTATGGTCTTTCAAAATTTCATATCCCAAATTGAGAAGGAAGTGAATTACTACTTTATTAGCATTTCATCAGTTTGCCCTTTTCAGATTGAAAGTATCATAACAAAATTCACCATTGCTTTTATTAGAGTTATTACCACTATTCGTATCATTATTGTCGTGATTCAATTTTGTATGTACAAGTTCATTCATAAGTTCACTTATCATCATTAGTATTATCACCACCACCTCCATCATGATTCATCATCATCTTCATGTTCAACATCATCATGTCCATAATTATGTCCATAATAATATTGCCATGATTGCCATCACCCTTATCATCAATTTTATCTTGATCATAACCACTATTACTTCCACCATGATAATCATCATTATTGTCATCATCATCAACATCACTGTAATCATCTCCATCATCATCATCATCTCCATCTTCACCATAATCATTTCCATCACCAATTCCAACATCATCATGTCCAGTATTAGGTCCATAATTATTGCCATGATTGCCATCGATCACCCTTATCATCAATTTGATCTTGATCATAATCACATCATTGTCATCATCAACATCATCGTCATCATCTTCATCACCATCATTACCATTATCATCATGTGCTCTCTTGAAGGTGATTTCGCAAATGATTATAATCATCAATACCATCTCCTCAATCGATCTCCCCAGATTGACATTGATCCCAACTAATCATGATAATCGTCATCATCATCAACATCATCATCGTCATCAACTTCGTCGTCATCATCTTCATCATCATCATCATCATCATTACCATTATCATCATGTGCTCTCTTGAAAGTGATTTTGCAATTGATTATAATCATCATCAATACCATCTCCTCAATCAATCTCCCCAGATTGACATCGATCCCAACTCCGGTATCTTCATCACCCTCAACCCTGCTGGCAAGGGATATGGAGGAAGACAGAAGCTACCTGACAACCTCAAGCAGCTCTTCAGACCGGTGGCCATGGCACGACCAGACAACGAGCAGATCGCCGAGGTCATCCTCTTCTCTGAGGGCTTCAAGGACGGCAAGAGTCTCGGGCGCAAGCTCGTAGCCATCTTCAACCTTGCCAAGTGAGTGGAATTCCTTTCTTGGGGGCATTTCACAGAACTTGTCATCAGTGACAAATGACAGTTTTTGTTATAAGCTACTGAAATCCTTGCTTCTGATTGGTTGTCAGCATATTTGTCACTGAATTTTTTCATTTGTCATTAAAAAAAGACTTTGTGAAACGGGCCCCAGTTCTTTGAAAGGTCTAATGACAAATTTCTTCAAAATGAAACTTATTTTGCTCATGTTTTGTTCAGCTGATAGTTGTGTAAGAATTGCATACCTGCCAACCCTCCCGAATAATGCGGAATATCCTGTTTTTCTGGATTTTTAGGACCCCAAAATGTGGGAGATCCCGGATTTTCAATTTTGTTTGTTGTTTTTTTGTGTTTTTTTTGTGTTGCTTAAGCCAAATTAAGCTTGTTTTATCATATGCCGCGATGTGAGAGTTCACGTATTGGGTGCGTTGAAGGGCTGCATGATTGAGCAGCGAATTTGTATTAGCTTTTTTGCACAGATTTACTGCGTATTGCCAGTTACACTGTCGCTGCATGTGCGAACGCCTGTTAAGGGTACAGATTTCTTATTTTCGAAGACATACCGTGCTAAAAATTCTTAATTCTCATTTTCAAATGTTGGCAGGAATGGAATTGTGTCATATAGATCTACCAATCATTATTCCTATAGACACCAATCAGAATTTGCTAGTCTAGATATTGGAATACATCATTTCATACTTCTTTTTGCTTTAAATATATAAATAATTGATGATTTTCAGATGAATTCTTTGTACTTATATAGGTTCTCTTTCATTGAAAATGGAGTTTTAATAGTGTTAATAACTTCCATTTACTGTATGTGATTGTGTTATGTCACGTTTGATCATCAGGACCACAACAACACTATGATAAGGATCTTAATTGAATATTTGATTTGAATAGTGTGAATGACCCATACACCTTTGAAGCATTTGTGTTAATCTATAATTTACAGGGAGCTGTTGACACCACAGCAGCACTATGACTGGGGACTGAGAGCTCTCAAGACCGTACTGAGAGGGTGTGGCAACCTGCTCCAGATAGCAAGACAACAAGCAGGACAGGACAGGAGTAAGCAAATTTTTAGTTTTACAATTTAGTTGGTTAAATATTATATATATTGATCTAAATATTTTATTTAAAATGGTATTCTGATTTACGGGGTGATCTGATATTTTCTTTGATGATATTTAATCCAGACTACTAGTATATTTTTGTAAGGAATTGGATTTGGTATTTACAAAAATTGACTGTCGAGCAGTTATCACTAGGGTGTATATCATACTGTTAGTTGATTTGTATAATGCTTACTATGTATGTAAATGATGAATATGTTTATAATATCACTTCATGCTAATTTGAATGCAGGTTATATTCCATATTTGTTGATTTTAAATTTAGATAATATTTATCAAAATTTATCAATATTTATGTGAGGAAGAAACAAAGGATAAACAAAAATGATGATGATGATTGACGATGATGATGACGATGATGATGATGATGATGATGATGACGACGACGACGATGATGATGATGATGATGATGATGATGATGATGATGATGAAGATGATGATGGTGCTAATCATTATGATGATGATGATGATGTTGGTGATGATGATGATGCTGATGATGATGATGATGGTGATGTCTACAATGATGATGGTGATGATAATTTACCTATAAATGTTCATGTTAATTTCAGGTAAGGTGCAGGAACCCAAACTCGTCGTCCAAGCCTTAAGGGTCAACACCCTGTCCAAGCTGACCTTCTCTGATGGTATCCGCTTCGACGCTCTGGTCAAGGATGTTTTCCCCGGTGTGGAGCTGAAGGATATCGAGTACCATAGCCTAGCTGATGCCATCCGGCAACACTGCAAGGAACACAACCTGGTTGTCATGGAAACACAGGTATGGATCTGTGTAGAAGGAATATTTGACCTTTATTGTATTAGTGTACATTTCTACAGTATTGGATGTCAGCTTACATGTATGTGAACACTTCAAGGTACACATTCTGGTTGTCATGGCAACACATATATTGATGATGATGGTGGTAATGGTGGTGGTGAGGATGATAATGATGGTGATGGTAAGAATTACGAGGAGGAGGAGAAGCAGGATTTCGAAGATGCTTATTTTATCTGTAAATGATGATGATGATTTTGAGTTGTGAAAGTGATATTGATGGTGAGGAGGAGGGTGGAGAGGATAAAGATTGTAAGTTGAGGTTGATGGTGATAAGACACAGGGCATTGGAGTACCTAACTCCATACATATATTTTGATGAAACATAGATTCAATTTTGTTGATTGTACTGAATTATTCATTAACACAATAAAGCAACCAAAAAGCAATCAAAAATTCAAAAATTCAAATTTTCTATAAAAAGACTGTATCTCACCAATATTAATACGTGCTAAGTAGATGTATTAATCAATTCTAATTTTCTTTTCCTATTTCATGAGCTCTCTCCACTCCTACAATTTACTCTTTCTCTTTGCTTTCACCATGCCTACTCATTCTAATTTTTTCTTCTGCAATACTGACTTCCCCCCCCCCCTCTCTCTCCTTCTCTCTCTCTCTCTCTCTCTCTTTCTCTTTCTCTTTCTCTTTTTCCTTCTCACTATGTATTCCTTCCCTATGATATTTTACTATATCTCATCTATCTTATTGTGTGTGTATGCTAGTGTGTGTATGCTAGGGTGTTTGTATGTCTGTGTGTGGACGTGTACCTGTATCTGTCTATTTATAGTAGCTGTTAAGATGATCACAATTTCCTAATTTATATTTAATTTGCTGTTTTATCATTTTCGCAAATGTTTAGATATTTCTGTAACAAAGTTATAAATCTTATATTGTATACCGGGGCCCTGCTTACAAGCAACCTGCTTATTAAGGGTATCCCTCCATGTTTATGTTTATATTGTTATTTTAATACAATGTGTCAATACTATGTTATATTTGTTCTTTTTTAAAGATGGAAAATAAATTGAAATTGAACAATTGAAATTGAACCAACTTTTGTTACTGATTCATGTTCAGTAAAGCTGATGAAAGAATTCCTGTGGATTTTATTTTTCTGACAAATTCAGGTTAAGAAAGCTCTAGAGCTGTACGAGCAGCTACGTCAGAGGATGGGTGTGGTGGTTGTAGGACCTAGCGGGTCAGGCAAGTCCACCACATGGCAGATCCTGAGGGCAGCCCTGAACAACACCGGTCAAGTGGTCAAGCAATACACCATGAACCCTAAGGCCATGCCCAGGACACAGGTCAGTTCACATATGTTAAGAATTCATCCACTGTTTCTGAAGTACATATACGTAATGGCTTTTGTTGTGCAGATGCAAGATGATATCACCATCTTAAAACTGACTTTAATCTTGGTAGTCAAAATAACACACATGGTTTGGATCCTGTATTTATTGGGTTGCATTAACTGCAGTGTGCTTCATTTTGGTGCAAATATTGATTTTTATCTCATTTTGGTGCAAATATTGATTTTTATCTCATTTTTACAATGTTTAAAAATTCTTCGAAAAATGTAAGAAATAATGTCAGTTTGATTGAAGAAGAAGTCATGATACACATTCACTTCTTTACTGTGATATAGCAAATTGTTCTCAATAATTTGAAAAGTATAGCCAGATTTTGTATTTCTCTCTATTTTTATGCTTTCAAGAAAATTTTAGTTTATGCTATGCTTCCACTAATTCACAACAGATAATATCAGATGAAGCAAAAAGAAAATTATAGGGGCAAAATCTAAGCAGATAAACACTGGGAGATAAACCAATGAAACTATGTACCCTTCAAAAGCATGAGGATGAACTGCCATATTATTGTCTTCCTAGATAATTTTCTAATGTGTATTAATGTGATATTTTTCCTTGCAGCTGCTTGGTCATATTGATATGGACACTCGTGAGTGGAGTGATGGTGTCTTGACATACAGCGCCAGACAAGTAGTCAGGGAACCACAAGGTAAAACTTCTTGATTCCTCGCATTGAATGAAACTTATTGTTTTTATCTCATGGAATTCCTTTGAAATTATTCCTCACCCAATAATGATATATATCGTCGCTGTTTTCACGAAGTGACGGTAGTGAAAAAAATTGCATTCACTTTGCGTGACGATTTTCCTCACTACCGTCACTTCGTGAAAACAAGGACAATATGATGTTAGGTCATTTGTTCCATGGTTGAAAAAGTGTTCTTATCGAAAATGCAAACATCAATTTTTCGCTTCTATTTAAATGCTAAGCATTTTCTTTTATCTTGTTTTATCTAAATCTTGGCCAAAGTAAGACAAATTTAAGTACTTCAATGACTGACCAAGTCAAAATGTTTAAATGATTAAATAGTAAAAGCAAAGTTCAATATGTCAAGAGTTAGGTAGTTGAATAGGAATATAGTTCAATATTGAAATATTTTCATATAGTTACAGCTAGTGTTAAGTAATATATGCTGCATTTTCTCCTGCAGAAATCCATTCTTGGATCATTTGTGATGGTGACATTGACCCTGAATGGATCGAGTCTCTCAACTCTGTCCTGGATGACAATCGACTCCTCACCATGCCTTCGGGAGAGAGGATCCAGTTTGGACCAAACGTCAACTTCCTGTTTGAGACCCATGACCTGAGCTGCGCCTCGCCGGCTACCATCTCTCGTATGGGAATGATCTTCATGAGGTAAAGTCCGCTTGCCTCATCATTTTGCTGATATTTTATTAGCGTATTTTACTTCTTTAAGGATGTTGCAGTTTGCAGGACTCAAAATTTGGCGTTGTCTAGTAACCATTTGCCACAAAAAATCATGTCAGATATCCTCAAAGTCCAGCCCTTATGGCCTACGTGACAATTAAATGATCTCTCAAAATAAATATTGATAGATTCTTTATGTATGTTTCTGTTGATTACCTCCAAAAGCTGAATGTTGCATCCATAGCAGATCTCTCGGTTGTCCTTCTAGCATTATTCCTCCTAAACATTGAGCCAGGGTTAAATAAAATGTATTTTGTTATAGAGAAAGCAATGTTCTTCAGGTGTATTTGGCCCTTACAGAATTAAATGTAAATATGAACAATCTGGGACCCGTTTCACAAAGCCTTTTTTCAATGACAAATGACAAAAATTAGTGAAAAATCTGTTGACAACCAATCAGAAGCAAGGATTTCAGTAGCTTATAACAAAAACTGTCATTTGTCACTGATGACAAGTTTTGTGAAATGCCCCCCCCCCCCCAGAAGGGAGGATATACTTATTAGGAGTCAGATAAATTTTTCAAAATCTTGTTCTCTCTTTAAACCACAGTGATGAAGACACAGAGATCAAGGACCTGGTCCAGTCCTGGCTGAGCCACCAGGCCGAGGATTCCAGGAACCGCCTCGGGGCCTGGATCCAGGACCACTTCTACAAGGCCCTGGAGTGGGTCATGCGACAAGGTGACTTTGTCGTGGACACCAGCCTGGTGGGCGTAGTCATGAACGGGCTGTCCCACCTCAGAGGGGCGGAGTGTACCTCAGACTTCACCATCAAGCTCGTAAGGGGTCTTGGGGCCAACCTCCCGGAGGCCACCCGCATCAACTTTGCTAAGGAGGTGAGAAAGAAGTCCTGATGTTGCATCGTAATATGTTCAACCAAAATTCATCCCAAGGAGTTTGTATGGCTCATTGGAAAGAGTGAAAGATCACTTTGGGATAAAGAATTTAGCTTAGAAAGTCCCTTACCTAGACCCCCAGATAAGACTAATAATGTTCCGTTACAAGCTTATAAATTGTTTAATAGCACTTAGATCAAATGAGTTAACAAACCTCACATGATTTTTGGTTGTTTTTCATTTGCCTAATGGCAAAAGTAATAGACCATATGAATGTTGAGAACCTCTTGGGCACAATGATATCAAGTTTATTAAATGTTATATGGATCAAGATGAAAAATGATCAGGAATATGACCTTTGGTAGGCTGTCCTGTTTGAAATCACAAGTATTAACCCCTTGACTACTGAATTTTCTCATTCCCATAGACCTGACACAGGTACCAGCTAGTTCCCATAGACAAGGGGTTAAGAATAACAAATATTCAAAACTGCATTGATCATAAAAGTTTCATCGTAATTTACTTGACCTGACATCATACTCACAGCTTAATCTGCCACTGGTGTAATCAGCAGTTTGAATGTAAAATGATTTCTAGTTATAGGACTTGAATGCTGAATCTAATTTTTTTCTTTATAGGTATTCCAATGGACCCGTGAGCAACCTCCTGATCCCAGAAGAATCCTGGACACCTACTTTGATGAAAGGACGGGATCTCTAGCCACGTATGCTATGCAGGTATGACATCCTTTCTTGTAACTATTCACTCAAAACTAAGATTGTTGTAGTTCATTCTTCTTTGCACAGTTACTTTGTATTTTCACCCCCCCCCCCCCTCTCTCTCTCTCTTTCTCTCTCCCTCCCTCTCCTTTATTTCAACACGCTTAAATAAATTAGCTGGTTGGTATTGATATTTATTTAGAAATTCCACATGGCAGCCAAAGGGCTGAACTACATGGAGTTTACTAAGTAAAATGATAAAAAAAAACATAATGCTTTACAAATATATACATATATCATGATCATACCATGATACGAAGGAGAGAGGGAGAGAGAGAGAGAGAGAGAGACGAGAGAGACGAGAAAGAGAGGAGAGAAAAAACAATACATATGGAATGTGCTAGTTCATTTTCTTCTTTTTCTTCTTCTTATAGTTCCAATTGCCTATCCAATTCTTTTTATTTCTCCATTCATCGTTCAGTTTATTAAAACAAAAAATCTTGAAAAGAATAAGCAATGGCTTTTTAAAGAATCATCTATGCGAAAAGGGGAATCTTCTCATACCATCTATAATCGTTGTAATTAATGTTGATATTTCGCACCAATCGAGGCAGATTCTAATTCAATCAAGGCTTTATTTAGATTATAAATGAAAAGCTGGAAATCAGATTAAACTGATAAAATTGGAAAGAAAATCAAGAATCTTTGTGCAACCTACTCTTCCACTCTCAGGATAACGATGAGCTTTCTGCATCCGACTTCAACAACCCCAGCTCCCTGCCGGTCATTAGGACACCCGATGTCCAGCGATGTCTGGACTTCTTCAAGCCCTGGCTGGAGGCCGAGAACAGACAACCTTTCATCCTGGTCGGCCCTGATGGATGCGGGAAAGGGTGAGAGGAACAATCTGCTTGTTAGGTTGAGGGTGTTTAAAGAATTGCATTACATCATTTATTCCACTACCTTGACATCATGAATGGCTTTTCATTGCCTTGTAAAATTAGTCTTTGCATAGGAGATGCAAATACTGGTATTTCACAACCATCCATTGGATAGTAAAATAGAGCATATTATACTCATTCTATTAAACCCACCCTGTTTCTAAGATCATGTGTTACAAATGGTAAACGTAGACCTCAGACCGGCTTCCTTTGTTAAACCCGATTTTGTATTAAAGCTTAAATCCGGAGCTGGGTTTAAATTTCAGTGGAATATATGGGCTGATGTGTTTCATGAAAACATTATTTATTCAGGAGGGTAGGATGAAACTCTGTGACAGTGGTTCACCTGCAAAGGTACTATATAGGAATTCTTTCAGTGCAACAACGGGTCTAATATTGTAAGTACAAATGATTCTTTGATTGAATATTCGCACCCAAATCTCATTTCCTTTACCCATTTCCCCCTCCATCTCCCTCCCAGGATGGTCCTACGGCACTGCTTCGCCGGGCTGCGTTCCACCCAGATCGCCACCATCCACTGCAACGCCCAGACCTCTCCGACCCATCTCCTGCAGAAGCTACAGCAGATGTGCATGGTCCTGAGTACCAACACGGGCCGGGTTTACAGGCCCAAGGACTGCGAGAACCTGGTCCTCTACCTCAAGGATCTCAACCTGCCCAAGCCGGACAAGTGGGGCACCTGTCAGCTCCTGGCCTTCCTTCAACAGGTCAGTTCCTGAATTTTTAATGTATTCTGAATGGTAGTGAGAAATTCAGTTCAAACCTGTATACAAATATTTCTCACGGGGAACAAGTTGTATGTATATAAGGCCTCTACATACAGCCTTTGATCGATACAGGGTTCATTTAGAAATGCTCTGCAAGAAGTAGGGTGGCTGTAGACAGACACATTGAAGCAACTTGTTGATTTACTATGTAGGCTGACACATTTTCTGAAGGTAGACATATTAGAGTAGCTACAGCATTTTTAAGGTCAAAATTAAGTTATTTTGTGTTATTATTATCCAAATATTATGAATGGTAATAGACAACAAAAGATATCAATATAGGTATTGCTGTATGAGCTAAAATTCCATGAAGTATAAGATTTTTCAATGCAACTTTGTGTTGAGAATCTATGCTCTATAATACTTCTCTTTGTATTATTTTAATAAATCGTGTATTCTTTGTTTGATAATTTTCATCAATATATTCCCAGGTGTTGACCTACCATGGTTTCTATGACAACAAGTTGGAGTGGGTTGGTTTGGAAGGTGTCCAGATAGTGGCTAGTATGAACGCAGCACACACCGTGGGAAGGCATCCTCTTTCTACCAGGTTCACATCCATTGTCCGTATCTGCTCTATTGGGTAAGTTGTAAATAGGAAGTTGGGAGTAGTCCTCCAAATCATTTTAAATCTGTCGCTCCTTGCTTCTTATAAAATGCAGCTGATGATGATGATGATGATGTCACTGACAATATTCATGGTCATATCATGATGATGATATTGACAACGTTGACGATGATGATAGTGATGATATTGACATTGTCAACGAAGATGATGATAATGAGGATGAAGATGGCAATGCCAATGTTGATGATGATGTTGATGGTTATGATGATGATTATGTTGACGAAGATGATGATGGTGGTGGTGATGATGACGATGATTGAATTCTTTCGAATACATTGTGTTCATATGCAGATGTATCTGTGATAAAGAAGTTGATGTTTTACTAATCCCTTGCTGTAGTAAAATTAAGCATTCTGTCGATTTGAAACTCTTTGTTGGAAAGATCATGAGAATATTATTTGTCTGCGGTACGTTTGTATAGCAGGCAAATGTCTGTATCGTCAATGAATGCATACTTATGTTGGGTCAGACAAAATAATATGTGAAGTTATAGGACAGACTGGTAACCACTCACTTCTTTCTCCAACTGCTCTACATACAGATATGCCGACAGAGAGCAGTTGCAGGGCATCTACAGTGCCTACTTGAGACCAGTCTTACATCGTACTTTAGGCAACCATCCTGTATGGTCATCATCATCTAAAGTCAGTATGCTTGCTGGATCCATGATCAGTGTCTATGAACAGGTATATAAAAAATTCCCATGTTTATAAATTGATCCATACATTTGATAAGTTCAGCTAGAAATATTTTAGTTGATGTGCTCACTGCTTTATCACTCCTTTTAAAGATAAACTTTGTTCTCATGCAGAAATTTCTTTCTAAATTTCTTTGTTTGATTATAGTCAAGTGAAAACGCTCCTCGCAAGGTTGTCTTGAATTCTCTCACAAGGCAGTTTGCAAACACAGAAGGAAAATATTGTGATTTGAAGAATAGGTCATTCCTCTTTGACGAACTCTCAGATACTTAACATAGCACAGAGAATAATAGCAAGACATTTCATGATACCCAAAAGCAAATGCACCGTTTGCATCCTCATTTGTATCCTGTAGGTTCGTTCCAAGTTTACCATCGACGACCACAGCCACTACCTGTTCACCCCTCGCGACCTCACCCAATGGGTTCTGGGATTGCTCCGCTACGACCTCGGTGGTTCCTCGGAGTCCAACAGCGAGCACGTGCTGGAGGTATTGAGCTACGAGGCCCGCAGGCTGTTCTGCGATCGGTTGGTTGGAGAGGAGGCCAGGAACCGCTTTGATAACATCTTGAACGGAACCCTGCAGGCAGACTGGAACGCAGGACAAGTAATGCAGAATCTGAACGGTAAGGGACATTCAAGTGTACAATTGCTGTGTTGTACTGTAAGAAAATTTGATTGATATTGTGAAAGTTGCCCCGTTTCATTTTGTAATAATAATTATAACAATAGGCATTTCTATTGCGCCATCTATCTAGAAATTCTAATTATCACCCCGGCTTTAGCCTAGCTGCCATTACAGCACTCCAGCAATTTGAGGAATTAATTCCTGCCAGGAATGCATCTTAGACAAACTTTATTAAATGCCCAACCAATTACAAAATTGATTTATGACTGAAATTCAACGTTGCATTTCTATCACATGTGCTGCATCTAGGAAAGAAAAAAAGTAGAGCAAACCAACTTAAGTTTGAATTTGAGCAACTAATGAGCAACACAGCATCTTGTGATTGATGCTTCAGGCAACACATTGATTGGGAAAAGACTTTTAAAGAAAAGGCAGCATGAGATATTAAATGTTGTTTTTACTATCATTGTTATTGCCTTAAAATTGTATGAGATAAACATTTTTAAAGTGTATTTTAAAGTCATCTGTTTTTCACATGTTCGATACTAACAGGGCATTACTATGTAACCTGGGGAGCCAGGACAGAGACCAGTAGCGGTGCAGCTCTACCACCGGCTGGTAAGAGCCTTGGACGACTCTCTGCCTCGGATCTTAAAGAAGTCATCAAGAAAGCCAAGAAGACGTTTGGTAAGGGCCTTCTATTGTATCAACATGGTGAAGATAGGAATGTTCTTGGAAAGCATTGATTGGGAAAAAATCCATATAAGTAGAAGAGAAAGTGATTGAATGAAAGAGTAAAAGATGGAGGGATAGAGAGAAAGAGAAAGACAGACAGATAGAGATAGAGTGAAAGTGAGTTATATTTTCACATACTAATTTGAAAATACAAGTTCGATAAAAATACATTTGTGTGCTTGTAACTTTACCTGAGAAGTATTATAATAAATACGCATTACACACAGTTGTATACCAATTCCAATGTTTTGATTCTGTGCAAAATAAGATGATTCATGAGTCATTCTTATCGTCATTTTTTTTTATCATCATTTTTGCTGCTACAGCACGTGAGAACCGGGAGCTGGACATCCAGATCTTCCACGAGGTCCTTGACCACGTGGCCCGAGTTGACCGTGTGCTGACCCAGCCCCGGGGGTCACTCCTGCTTGCTGGACGCAGCGGTGTGGGTCGCAGGACGGCGGCTGCCCTCGTTGCCCACTGTCACCGGACCGAGCTTGTCACGCCCAATATCAACCGTGCCTATGGGCTCAAGCAGTTCAAGAACGACTTGAAAACAGTATGTGACAGTTATAAGATGAGCAGGGGGGTATTTCACAAAGATCCTAAGTCAAACTTAACTCTAAGTTGGACTTAAAAATTATGGAGAGCCATTTGTAGCCTTAAAGTAGATATTCATTGATTTTAAAAACTAACTTTATTTTCATTATTGCAAAGTTAAAATTTTGATTCGACAAGGTTATCAAAATTCTATGCTTGGAAACATTTGAAGTAATGATTATTATAAATTACAAAACGCTTACCGTATTTGCCGGCGTAAAGGCCGCACCCCCGCATAGGCCGCACCCCCGATTTTGACATTTAAATTTTTTTTTTTTTTTTTTTTTTTTTGCTGCCGAAAACCCACGCGTGGAAGGACCTTTATTTAACATCGAGGTGCAGTTAAAGGCGCTGATTTGTGCTTGTAAACTTGTCACAAATAATAGTAACAATGTCGTTTTTAGAAGAATGTGTAAGATCATTAATGTGAATTAAAAACAATAAAGTACCTATGGTACCAGTGGTGTACCTTGTGGTACACCATTTGTTATAGAAAAAAATTTGAGGAACTATTATTATAAACTACATATTGAGATCTATTAGAAAGATTACTTTCAAACCAGATGACAGTCAAATTTTAGTGTTGTTGTAGTTTCCGAGTGGTGAGTCAACACACTGATTACTGAGCTGGGAGACATTGCCAGGCATAGCGCCATAATTCAAAACTAAAAAAAAAAAAAAAAAAAAAAAAATTTTACTCTTTCGCCGCATAGGCCGCACCCCGACTTTTTGATATTTTCTCTTCCAAAAATACTGCGGCCTATACGCCGGTAAATACAGCCCGAGCATAGCACCTGAAGAGCTCTCCGAATGCTGCTGAGATGTGTGAGTTCACAGTATGGACATGATTTGCACAAGCAGATGATGTCTCATGACATCTCACACATTTTCAGTGCCTGTGTTTTCATCTTCGCTTGAGTTCTTTGTCTTACTACACTACCGTCAGGCTAAATGTAAAATCTATTGCCTCACTCTAAACCCTGCGCATGGTTTTATTTTCATGACAAATGCAGCAATACAAAAATACCAACTCGAACCGGGTTGGCCAAACTCTGTGTATAGATGGCTCTGTTTCTCACATATAAATGGCGATCAGTGACAAATTTTATTGTACATTTTCTGCTATTGTTTCTAGGCGATGCAGCAGGCTGGTGTCGAAGGCAACCAGGTGGTCCTTCTGCTGGAGGACCACCACTTCATTCAGCCACAGTTCCTGGAACTGATCAACAGCCTACTGTCCTCAGGAGAGATCCCAGGACTCTATTCCCCAGAGGAGCTGGAACCGCTCCTCTCCCCGATCAGGGACCAGGCCTCGGACGAAGGCTTCAGAGGAACACTGATCAGCTATTATGCTTCACGTGAGTGATTGATTGAATCTGATTTGATTTAACATCAACATTGTCAGATTATGGAACACACGCAAGTACAAATCAGTTGACTCCTATAATTTGATGTATAAATAGCACCAAGATACTAGTTGCAGATATTTTGTTGTACCTTGTGATTAAGATATATTGCTTTTTACAACGACTAGTTGTTCCGATTACACAAATTTTTATAATATCTAATATGAAGAAGAAAAAAAATTGATTGTGTAACTCTAACAATCTGATGAACTTCTTATATGTTATATAAAAAAGATATAGTTTTGGTGTATCTCATTGAAAAATGTTAATGAATTATTTTACAGGAGTAGAGATGTGTTAATAAAAATCGACTTTGTTTGTTGTAAAATGCAAATTCATAGTATTGGACATACCATGTTTACATTTATGTCTCCTCAAATCTTTGCTCAAACCCTCCATTATATATTAACAATTTAATACTCACCATATGTTTTGTGGTCTGTTTTTCTATGCAGGTATCCTGACCAACCTCCATGTTGTACTGATCATGGACAGCAAGAATGCATCCTTTGCTGTGAATTGTCAGAGCAACCCAGCCTTCTACAAGTCTTGCTCTGTTCAGTGGATGGAAGGCTGGAGCAAGGAGAGTATGAAGGAGGTAAGATAGGGATGCGGAGGAGAAGGAGGAGAAGCAGGATGATTATGATGATGGTGGTGGTAACTTCTGTGATATGACCATGATGAAGGTATTAACCATGATACGAGAAGGAGGTAGGGGATTTGGGGATGGTGATGATGTTGTTGATGATGACGATGCTGATGGTGATGATGATAATGATGATGATAGTGGTGAGGGTAACTTCTGTGATATGACCATGATGAGGTATATGATAAAAGAAGGAGGTGGAGGATTCAGTGCTGGTGATAATCGTGATGAAGAGTTGCAAGGATGATGGTGATGATAAAGATGATGAGGCAGAGGCAGAGGATGAAGAGACAACAAGGTGTGTCGATAAGTTCGTTCTGATGAAAAGTATCACATCTCTAGAAATCTAAAATAGGGAAAATAGGGAATAGACATTTATCAGTGAATTTCATAATACTTACACTCCATTTATATTCTTGTCCATTTAATATTGATCTTCATTGCATAACAGTCATCCCTTCATGTTTCATCTGCCATTATAGATCCCAAGACTGCTTCTCCGTACTCCCAAGGGTGATGGTAAGGACGAAGGAAGCAAGGAAGACAGAAAGCGCCATCGCAAGGTGTCTGGTGGAGATGACCTCATTCGCAACTTTCTTGAGATCCACAACTCGTCTTCTGTCCGTCACTCCACGCCTCGTCGTTACATGACGTTCCTCCACACATACCTCGATGTCTACCGACGCAAGAAGCAGGGCGTAGAACTAAAACAAAAACATCTGCAGGTATAAACAAATGATCATTAGTTACCTTATTGATGACAATTTAATTGACATTTCTTTTCTATAGTTGAGTATATGTCTGTGATGAATCCCTCTTTGTATTATTCTATAAATGTAAATCCAATGATTATTCAAATATACATGTTTTCTATTGTGTTTGTAAAACTGGAATAATGTACAGTCAAACCTGCTTTAGTGACCACCTGTCTACAATGCACATGTTTTTTTTGTTTCCCGTGATAATGGTTTCTCCATTGAATGAAACATGTACATGTACTAAAGGCCCCTGTACGTAAAGACCACCTGCCTATAAAGACCACTTTTTTGTCTCCCTTGGGTGGTCTTCAAGCACAGGTTTCACTGTAATAGTAAACAAATCAACAAGATGGTCCTAAAACTTAACCTTAAAATGTGAGTGACATTGTGTGAGTTCTACATGCACTATATGGATTTTGAGGAAACTCTAGTGTGTGTGTAATGGATTTTTACAGACGTATATCAGTCAGATATTATTATATACGTCTGGGGACCGACCATTAACGTCACCATCTGAAAGACGTGACTCAGTTTCGTCCTGCCTCCTCGGCTAAATCAATTCGTAACTTCCATTGTTAGCTGGATTACAGGCGCATGCCACAACACCCCGTTGTTGCCAAAAAGGCTGTCTTATGTTTGAGAAAACTGATATGAGGCGATTATTAAGTACAAATTCACATTTTGTTTTTTTAAAGGCTGGTGTCGCCAAGCTGAATGAAGCCAAAGCCCTCGTAGCAGAGCTGAACAGCAAAGCAGCCAAGCAGAGCGCCCTCTTGGCTGAGAAACAGAAAGAAGCTGATGAAGCACTCAAGAAGATCCAGACCAGTATGGAGGTAAATTTAAAAAAACGTCTTAATGTAATCTTTACATTTCTTGAACAACAACTTCCTAACGTGCCTTTGTTTACTTGTACTATTAAACACACTAGTAGAGAAAAATTGTCAAGGTCTTATCTTGAATGAACCAAAAAACAAAAACAAAACTTTTGTTGAAGCCCATGTATAGTTTGAATAAGACCCTAGTTTGAATAAGACCCTCAAACTATTTGTCAGATTTCTTCATTAGTTCGTAGATTACAAGATGCTATCAATTCTAGGCTACTGTGAACAATTTTCCTCCTTAAAATCGAACATCAACCTAACAAGAAGAGCAAAATTATGATGATGTTGGGGCTATAGCATTGTGGCTCAGAAAAATAGTACCTGCAAGATCACATTGATGAGGATGATCCCAACTCCCTGGAGTCTGTGATAATTTCCTTACTACCACTACCGGATAGGCAGGAGTACTACATATATGGGCGCTCGGTTATGACTAAGGCCATTCTGTTTGAGCACTAAAACTGCCATGGTGTGACAGATACGAGCGCTATAAATCAAGCAACAATTGTTAGCTATATTATTACTATGGATTCATAACATTTAGTTATACAAACACAGGTTTATGTAATTTAAGTTTGTCACTTTTTATTATCCCCCACATTGACATTAATTTATTTGTAGTCTAATGTTATTCTTTATTTCTGCCTCTGGTTTATGTTGATTTTTTTCCTAATGCCTACCATGTCATTTATGTGTTTAATAATTGCTATATGTATATCGTGCTAATTTATTTTAGTTTTTTAATGGAAATGTGGAAATAAATCAATTTAAAGGCCCACTGCACTACTTGTAGCTACTTGCGCCCTCTATATAACAAACAATGCCTAATCGGTGACCATTGGTCCCCCATGATCCTCTTTTTCTTATGTTAACTGAGAGCTGAGTTGATGAGATAACCACCTGTCCAGTGACCTTGCAGGGCAATCTAATCCCTCCTGTAAACTATGGCAGATAAGCTTTAAGTAAATTCAATCTAACCTATAGAAATTGCGGCTGCAAGCAAGTAGCATCCTCTATTGTATAATTAGTCACGGAAAAAATACGATTGCCTGTAATAACTTAACCCAGGTGATGTAAATTGGTACCTGGCAGGAATTAATTCCTTGAAATGCTAGAGCACCGTAATGGCAAAACAGCTAAAGCCGGGTTAATAATCTCCAATTTTGTAAGCACTTAGAGACTTGATTGTAATTCACGCTATATAAAAGCTGAGTATTATCATTAAGTTGTGCAAGTTGATATTTAACCTCATGATCCATTTCTGTGATTTGCAGAAAGCCGGTGAGCAGCGTCGTGAGATAGAGATCCTCAAGCAGCAAGCCGATGAGGAGAATGTGAAGCTTGAGAAGCGTAAGAAGGTCATTGATGTAGAGCTGGCTGAGATCGAACCTCAGGTAAGTAAAATTGTCAATTGACATGGACGAGCTTTTCTGCTTGTAATTGGCAACACTTACACTTTTCTTTCAGTGTTGCATCTAAACTAGTGATATGTATTGAAAATTTATAGAGATCCCAACTCTTAGCCGAAATCAATTGTTTTTTATGTCTTTATGATGCTGATTATTGGAAGTTGATGAAAGCTAGAGCTCAAGCATATCTGACTATCTGTAGGGGTGCTGTTGGATCCACCTTTGATCAAGTTTTGAGAGTGTGAATACTTGACCAGTGGTATTGTCCGAGAACAAGGTCCTTTTTTTTCCTACAGTTGCTTCTTTCAACCCGGTTAGAGTAAGTTGGTACCTAATCAGATGGGAGTTTATGAAATACTGTGAGGACTGTACTTGTAGCCTAGCAAAACCAACTTAATCTAGGGGCTCCTAGAACACCACTGCAAAACAATTACAAATGCCTAACAAGAATCCAATACTTTTACACATAAAAATGCAATGCAATGCAATCCAGGAATTTATAAAGCGCCAATATCTAGTTGCCTAATCAAAAGCGCTGATAGACTGAAAAACTACCAAAAAAAATATCCGTTATGATTCTAACTGGGAAAGACAAAAAAGCAGTGGCTAATTGTAAGCAATCTGATGTAGGTATGTCTTTAGTTGAGTTCTGAAAGTAGATAACTGGGAGGTGTTTCATAAAGCTGTTCGTAAAGTTACGCATGACTTTACGAACGACTTGTATATGGAAAGCCTAATGGGATGCTCAATCGTTATTAAATACATCAACTAAAGTTGAACTGTGCGGATGTAGATTAACATTCTTATGATAGCAAACATTTTTAATGCAAAGCATATTTTAATTGAGGTTATTGAAAATATCAGAAAAAACTTTGGGCATCCTATCTGGCACTTCATATACAAGTCGTTTGTAAAGTCATGCGTAACTTTACGAACAGCTTTATGAAACATCCCCCCCCCCCTCCCGGTGACATAAGAGCATAGAACATCATGGATTTATTCATTTTTATCTCTTAGGTTCAAGCATCTAAAGCTGCGGTAGGAAGCATCAAGTCAGAGAGTCTGAGTGAGATCCGTGCCATGCGTGCTCCTCCAGACGTCATCAGGGACATCCTAGAGGGTGTGCTTCGTCTCATGGGAATCTTCGATACATCTTGGGTCAGCATGAAGAGGTATGGAAACAAGAGCTTATTAAATCTGATCGAATATGAGGGTGCGTTTATCATCTGTCAGAAACGTGATTCTGGCTCATTCTCACATTCAAAACACACTTTTTTTTGGCATTTCAACATGTACCCATATCTAAAGATGTTTACAAAAAGGCTTGCATTTATCACCATTCAAATTTGCCTGAAACATGTTGGGGGAAAAAATGCTGATTCTAGGCCAGAAAAGAGATGATAAACGCACCCTGAGACAATCTAAGACCCCGTTCTCATTCACTTCGTTGGAGCGGTCTAACTAAGACCAGTTCCTCAGGAGCAGTTCTTAGGTGAGTGAGAACGGTCAAAGTGGTCCAGGAAGTGGACTTCTGGACCGCTCCAGAAGACCACCTCGGGAGGTGGTCTTGAGGAACGGGTCTTATTAAGAGCGGTTTGGACCGCTCTAACGTGCAATGTGAACGGAAGCGTACTTTGACCGGAAGTGAGCTAGTGACGTTCCGTGCGAAACATGTAGTATGGTACATACGGTTTGTATTCCGCGCGCGAAAAAATTGACCTGCTGACCTGAGCTGCCATAGCAACAAGACCACTTTGACTCATGGAGCGGTTTGAGCCATAAAAAACTGCTCGGAGTGTGCACGCTCGCAAACCGTTCCTCAAGACCCGTTCCTCTGGAGCGGTCTAACTAAGACCACTTTCAAAGTGAGTGAGAACAGGGTCTAAGCAAATCCATCAGTTTGCCTCAACCATTGTATCCATCAGAGCTGAATTGCCCTCAATAATTGAACTTGAACTTTATAAACAAGACTCATGAATCCTAATCAGATGCTTGGTAGATATAGCCATGCAAGCAATATAAATCTATTGCTCGTACATGAAAGGTAGTGGAATGTTGATGTTGAACTGCAGAAAGTATATGCTGAATGTAGATACCGAGCAAATTATGCAATGAAATATGATTTTTTTTTTTTTTTTTTTTTTTTTTTTTTAATATATTTTTTTTCTTCTTTTTTTCTTCTTTTATTTTTTATTTTCTATTCTGAAAATACATGTACTTGTAGGTTTAAACAACGTGAAAAAATATTAGTTAATTTTTTACCACACTTTCCAAGCAAATCTTTGCAACATTGCCTACAAATTATGTGTTTACCACCAACATACTCGTTGAGTGATGGGCTATGGATTTTCTGTTTCCCTGCAGTATTGGGGTTATACTGGTTATAGTTTGCTGCAGATGAAGTAAATTCTTTCCATCTGCAATTTTGTGAGGTATCCAGTAAATTATATCTCATTTTGTAATTGCCACTTGTCATCATCTCCAGATTGATTTCTGTTCCATTAATTACTAAGATTATATTGTAGATACAAAAGCAACATGAAATTTAAGGACGTTTAATTCATAGTCCCATCCTATTCATTTCTCCCATTTATAGTTTCTTGGCAAAGAGGGGAATAAAAGAAGAGATCACCAATTTTGATGCCAGGAAGATCAACAAGGATTTGAGGGAAGGCACCGAGCAACTACTCAGGAAACATGCGGCCTCCTTTGAGCCTCAGGTTAGTATCATGTTGTACAACCAGCAGTGTGTTTGTTAGTAACCCCTCTTCCAATCTATTTTCCATTCATTTCAGAGAAGGATTTTGAGAATGCTGGAATCCCACGGTCATGGAAAACCTGGAAAGTCATGAAAAATGAAAGAAAAATCTCCCAAAGTATTGGAAATCGATGTGGGTGTGGGAATTAATTAAGTGTGTGGCTATATGGCAGCCTTCCAGTATGAACCGACACTGCATGGGCTTGGATGCTGCAAAACATACCAAAATGGTGCTTATCTGGTCATGGAAAAGGGCTAAAATTGGACATGGAAAGTCACAGAATTAGGTTCTCAAATTTCTGTGAGAATTAACCCTGAGAATGCAAATGCGAGAATAAAAGGAAAAAAGGGAAAAAGGAGGGAGGAGAAAAGATAAGAATACATCAAGTTGGTTAAGGAGGTAGATAGAAGAATTAGATGAAGAGTAAGGAATGGAGGACAGAAGAAAGGAGATAAGATGAAATAATAGATTATTATTATCCTTCGAGTTTTAACTTGTTGAACAGTTTACACATAAAACAGTCAATAATTGTTTTCACAAATAGTGATGATTTACCTTTTAACAATAGACTTGAGTAATATGATATGTAGGTGCTACATTAATCAATATTCAAAGAGATTGAAGCAAGAGTCCAAGCAATATTCATAAATCAAACATATTAACCCTGTGATAATTCTTTACTTCTGACATGCAGAATGCCAAGCGTGCTAGTGTTGCAGCAGCTCCCCTAGCAGCTTGGGTGAAAGCCAATGTCAAGTATTCCTATGCACTGGAGAAGATTGAACCGTTGGAGATGGAACAGAATCAGCTTAAAAAGTGAGTCTAAGATTTGTATTCTGTGTTAATTATTGTTTACAAATAGAAAGTGCTATTTGATATTTACTAAAAAATTCCATTTTGGGAGCGTCATTTTTTTTATAGAATTTCAGATTTAGGCACAAAATTCTGTGAAAGGTAATTCTATGAGAATAAGAGAATGGTAATTAACTTTCTTTCTTTTTTTAAAGTACAGGTAATATACACTTTCGAAAAACGTAGTTGCTGTTGCATAATCTGGAATAAGAATAACGTAATTTATGTTCTCCTTGTTTAATTTCCTTCTTTCCTCTCTCTCTCTCTCGCTCTCTCTCTCTCTCTCTCGCTCTCTCTCTCTCTCTCTCTCTCTCTCTCTCTTTCTCTCTCTCTCTCTCTCTCTCTCACCGTCTCTCTTCCCCTCTCTCTCCTAGGAACCTTGAGAAGGCCGTGGGTCGCATCGAGAAGCTGTCCAAGGGGCTGGCCGACGTGGACCACCGGGTGGACGAGTACAAGCGAAGGTTCCAGAAGCTCAACGAGGAGGCCGCCAAGCTCAAGTACGAGCTGGAGAAGGAGCAGGAGACCATCGTCTCGGCTGAGAACCTCATTGGCAAGCTGGAAGGAGAATATCAAAGATGGAACAGCCAGGTATGTATGTTAGGCCTAACAAAAAAGATGTTGTATTGCCCTTCAGGTGCCAAAACATTGGTCGGTCGATCAGAAACCTTTTTCTTTCTTTTTTTCTTCTTTTTTTTTAATTAAAAAGCCGACACTAGATTTCAAGTTTTTTGGGTCCCTCATAAAGGGGAATACCGGTACAACATCTTTTTTTAAAGCCTTATTCCTGCCAATATGCCATAGGATGCAAGTTTTGCCCCAATGTTAATCTTGTATCCATATTTGGATTAATTAAGATGAGTTTGTCTTTTGTCATGGAATTTACACTGGGCCCTGTTTCATCAAACTTGTTATCAAGGACAAGTTACGATAACTGTTATAAGCTACTGAAATCACGCCATTTGATTGTCTGAGAGGAAATTTGTCAGAAATTTAGAATTTGATATTGATTTCTGAAACAGGGCCCCTGATTCATGACATGTAAATGATGTCGCATAAAACATGATTGTGAACTGGATGAACACAACAGTCAAGGAGAGAGAGACCCGGCCTGCCCAATAAAGTCTGTGTGCTGTCTGTTTCATCACCTATCAGACCGCATCACCAGAGAATGAATTGCAATGTTAAAAGTGTTTATCCCATAATCTGTCATTATCATCCTCCTCTCCTCTTCATCATCTAGGTATCTGAACTGAACACCGAGCTGGAGACCCTACCAAAGAAAGCCCAGTGCGCTGCTGGTTTCATCACCTACCTGACCGCATCACCGGAGGATGAACGCAAGCAGAAGCTAGCGGAGTGGAGCAAGCTGTGCGGCCTGGAGCGCTTTGACATGAGGCGCTTCCTCAGCACCGAGAGCGAGCAGCTGACGTGGAAAGGGGAGGGGTTACCTAGCGACGAACTGTCCGTGGAGAACGCTGTCATGATCCTTCAGGTGGGTTCAAGGTTCAAAGGTCATTTGTTTGGGTTCATCACTTGAAACATGTATGCATTCAGATCAATGGCAATACACATACAAAATGGATGGAACAAACACACATATTCTGATGTACCTGTATAAAGCATAATGAGATTGTAGGGGCGATCTTGAATATGCTAGAGATCTTCAGTGTATTTTAAAGTGGAACATTGTATAAATAAAGAATCATTTATTTCAATGTTGCAAGACATCAATCAAGTTTGCAAGTAGCTTTTAATAATTCATCAAATATACTTTATGAAGAGGAACAATTTAATCAGTATTTTAAATCATCCCCTCATGATCATTATGAATTCTATAGATTCATAGTGATCAAGGTAATTTTAAATTTTTCAGAATAGGCTACAGGTTTTGAATTTGATTGATTCCTATAACTAATAAAGACTATTTAAAAACTATTATAAACGATAAAATGTAGTTACACATCGTTATTTGAAGGATATATTTATTTATTCATTATATGCCAGACTGCATGCTTTCAGAGGATGTGCAAGCATCACTGCTTTTTACACTGATTGATCCCCACATGCTTGGATCCATGTGTGTTCAATATTTACATCAACGCAAGCTACCCTGTAGTTGAATGGTTTGCAAGATAGCACATAGCATGAAATTCAATGAGAATGCATTTGAGTGCATGTTTTAGATGAAGTGATATCCAGTTTATTACTCATAGATGAGAACAAATTCCATTGATTTCAAACAACATGAAGGTACAATCAGTCAATTATTACCAAAGGAACCAAAAGTAGTATTTTTTAGTCCACCCTACAAACTGCTTTGTCACCTCTGCTTTATAATGAATTCCTACTTTTTATTGCTGAGGGAGGGGCGGTAGGGTATCTCATGAATAGATAATTGATTTTTCATCACCATGCATCATTTTGAAACAGATAAAATATAGTCACAAAATGCATGATATAGCTGTAGTATTCTAACAATCATAGATATAACCCAAGTTTTCTTTGCAAACATTTTTTAACAGACCAATGATATGTCCATAAAGGTAAGATAATGCTCCAAAAGTTTTTCCTTCTTCATCATTTCTCCCATCCTCCTCTACATCTGTGACCTCATATGTGCACTTTTTTATGAAAGGGACTCATTAATTGGTGGTGGTATTTGATGTTTGCTGTGTGTGTGTATATATTCATTAACTCTCTCGCCCTCTCTCTCTCTCTCTCTCTCTCTCTCTCTCTCTTTCTTTGTCACGTTCAAGTATGGAAGCCCAGTCTTCATGTTTATTCTTACTAGAGGCTGTCCAACAAGCCATTATATCAAATTGCTATGTGATTCATAACCGGGGCCCCGTCTTACAAAGAGTTGCGAGGCCCTGGGCCCAGTATTACAAAGAGTTGATATCAAGTTGCAGTTGATATCAACTCTTTGTAATACTGGGCCCAGGGCCTGTATTCAATTCAATACTTAAGTACAAAATTTAAGCTTTTTACTTAGTATTTGGCTTACATAAAATACTTAGCCAATTTTGGTATTCAATTCACACTTTTGTGTAAGTATTTTACTTTCAATCTAAGCCAACTGCATACCAGACTTAAGCCAATTATTTGGTGGCCTTGATTGGCAGGCATATTTTCTTACGCAGTATTATATCCCGAGCAAAATTATATCAGCGCGCATTTATTGCAATGCATCAATTGCGCATTACTTTTGATTGACCGTGTGACGTCACAATGCTTATCAGTAAGTATTTTACTTAAATTTTGACTTACGTAAGTATAAGTCTATAATGCGATTTGAATACGAGATAAGTAAATTACTTAACTTAGCCATTTACTTAGTAAATTTCTTACTTATGCTAAGTATTGAATTGAATACCGGCCCTGATGTCTTCTTAATTTATGTTTCCATCTCAAATTATCTGCTCTGTGTTTCAAATTTCTACCTTTACCATTTCACAGATTGTGTATGTGTACAACATTGGTATTATATACATGTATGTGTGATACAGAATGCCCAAAGTCAGGGCAATTCATTATGTATACTGTGCAGAGCAGAAATTATTGTTCAAACTAGAGCCAATATTGAAAGTAGTAACAGTATAACGTGCAGAGCGGTTGCAATGTTCATGTCTTTAATAGTGTCATACTGTACTCGAAGCACTACCGCAAAATCCCCTCTAGAGCCATCTCTGGTTAGCTGTAGCAGTATGGCTTTATAACTTGCTGCTTCGCTAGCTAAGCTGTTGGTTCTCGCATCGAATCCTCTGTCTGTGAAGTGGAAATTATGTATTGGGTTATGCACTATTGGCAAGTTGACCATGAGATAGCGCTGTGCAATAAACAGTATATGCTAGGGCTGTATCGTTTTAATTGTGCTTTCAAATTAAGCAGAAATTAATATACAATGTGAAGTCAGTAGATGTCATGCTATATGTACGTATTTGCATTGTTGATAAAATTAGTGGTCTATTTCTTCAAAAGAAATGGTAACAAATTTCTTTCTCTGCTGATGGTATTATACTAGACAGCATTATGTACCATGTATTATTTCATATCAGCATTATAATAAAAACTATTCAATATTTTAGATAATGACCTTCTTTTAGATTATTTCACGGTATGATATGATTAAATCTTTTATAACTTGTAAAGCAGTCAGTCAATATAATGAAACTGTACGTCTAGCCTTTTTTTAAGATTATAGGCCCCATAAAACAGAGCATAGGGATTGATCGTATGATTTATTTTTGATATTGATTGCATTGATCACCATGTGCGATCAATCACAAAATCAACTGCTAAAGCTTTGCATTACGAGGTCCTGGGTCCCGTTGCATAAAACTTACCATTGATGGTAACTTTGCCATCAATGGCACCTACCAAAGTAACAGGGCTCAACAGCCAATCAAAATCAAGGTTTCCATGGTAATTACCATTGATGGCAAAGTTACCATCAATGGTGAGTTTTGTGCAACGGGCCCTGATGTTTCTCTTTATTTCAGATCTGTCTCCATTGTAAATGTATTTGTATTACTAGCATTCTTTTTCCATCTCTGTCTTACCAGTCTGCACATCAGATCCTTTTCCATGGTAGCACAAGATTCTCATTTAATCTCTATCTTTCATTTTGATGACATTTTTAAATAATATACTTTTAAATTTCATCCTGTATATATGCACACTATGAATTTGGCATTTACATCTTTATGTACATGTTGTGGATACACGTTTTAACTTGTGAAGTAAGTACTGGTATAAATTTTGCTAACTTTTGCTGTCATAAAACAAATTCTCTATCTTTATACAGAATTTAATTTGTTTGGGGGTTTAACGTTAATGAATTATGCATTGTAAATTCCTGTATAAAGCCTTTCAAATATGTTTTTCAAGAAGTGAATTACCATTCCTTAAAATTTGCTTTATGTCTAGGCAAGCACTTATTTGATACATTTTTTAAAGCCAATTATGAAAAAAAATTCACTGATGTTTACAGCAGATTTGATGCAACATTCTCTATGTCTTGTTTACACACTGACAAAACAGTGAAATGATAGAGGGGAAATACCAACTAACATGATGATAATTTTGTGTCAAAATTATGAATGAATAGTCACCACAAACACTGAACTGAAAGTAGATTTATGCATATTGCAAACTCACAAGTGTAGTTTGTTTAATTCCAAGTAGTAATTTCAAAACCTTTTTTATGTGATAATTCTTTCAGTTGGTTTTTATGCAGATCTAGTTTTATTTGTTCTGTTATTATTGCAATGAATCTTGAAAAATCAGGCAAATTTCATCATGGACTTTTCTCTAAGTGCCATGAGCACAGAAAGGTGGACCTGTGCGCTATACAAGTAGCCACTATTATTATTATTAAAGCAATCTTTGTAACATCCACAGAGTTCTCTGAGGCCATTCTTGGTTGATCCGTCTCTGAGGGCAACTGAGTGGCTTAAGACTCACCTCAAAGAAGCAAGGTTAGAGGTCGTCAATCAACAGGTCAGTAACCTTTCACCTTTTGACCATTTGTAGTTCATTCTAATGTATGCGGAGGGCCAAAGTCAGAAAAGAGGGGTTTGCTTGCCAGTACTTCACAAAATAAGCCGACCTTGTTTATTTCAAAGATTTAATACACAATATTTCAGAGATTTTTTTTAATAGCTTCTCTTTGTGGGCAGCAAGTAGATGTGAGAGCATGGACATAAATGAGTTTATATTGTGGAAGAGTTATCTTTCTTAGCATATAGTTCTCAGGAGAACTATAGCGCTTGGAGAGGATGAGTTTAAAGTGTTGTTCTAAAAGGATTACCTACAGCCCTTCATGCTAATCCCCTTAATCCTATTATAGCACCTAATCAGGATCTGACAGTTATATTCATGAGCCAAGGTCCAGGGATCAAGTACCAGCTTGAGTGATCTTCACAGTGTAGTGCACTGTATATATCTGTGATAGTGCACCATACATGGTAATCCCCAGAAAGGAAAAACAATAGAAAATCGCTGATGTTACAGGCTTTTATGACAAAATATAAGCCGACAGAACGAAAGAAATGAATGCCAATATCACCGGCGCTTGAGAAAATGAAAGACAGAAAGATTCGGGAGAGAGAGAAGGGAAAACAATAGAATATCGCCGATGTTACAGGCTTTCATGACAAAAGTAAGCTGACGGAACGAAAGAAATGAATGAAGAAAATGAATGCCAATATCACCGGCGCTTGAGAAAATGAAAGACAGAAAGATTTGGGAGAGAGAGAAGGGAAAACAATAGAATATCGCTGATGTTACAGACTTTTATGACAAAAAGTAAGCCGATGAAACGATAGATTGTTGGTCAACTTTCATAATTAAAGCCCTATTGCCCATGTCAAAGAGCACCATGTGCTTTACATCTTCCTAATGAAATTTTAAAGAAAACACACACTCTTCTTACGTGCACAGGATGCTAACTTCTCTACAGCCGTGGAGCTGGCAGTCCGATTTGGAAAGACTCTCATCATTCAGGAGATGGACAAGATTGAACCGGTCCTTTATCCTCTACTCAGGGCTGATCTCATCAGTCAAGGTCTCAACTCAAATTTTTTTCAATTTTCTTGAAAATTGCATAAATTTTTAACATGCTCTTTGTTTTTATCACACACACACACACAATTTTGTGGATAAAATTTATCATCCTACCAGGTCCCCATTTCTCTCCTGCATCCAGAGTGGCAAATGTAAATTGGTAAAATTCAGTTACATGCCAGTTAGGGCTTGACCCCATGACCTTTGCATATCCAGTGAATAAACTGCAACATTTCTTTGGTCATGCAATCACTCGCATCTGAGCATGGCACTTAGTTTACATATTTGACTTACAGGTCTGTTGTTCAAAATGGTACTTGTTGAGTGGATAAATATTTCCAGTGTAGTGTTTTAGAGCCCCCCCCCCCCCCCCCAAAAAAAAAAAAAAGGAAAGAAGAAGATACTATATCAAGCTCTCAGGAAGAATGTTTAACATAATTTTTTTCATTTTATCATCTAAAACAGGTCCCAGGTTTGTGGTCCAGATCGGTGACAAGGTGATTGACTACCATGAAGATTTCCGTCTCTTCATGACGACCAGGAATCCTAACCCTGAGATACCACCGGATGCAGCATCCATCATCTCAGAGGTTAACTTCACCACCACCAGGGCTGGCCTCACTGGCCAGGTAAGACACTAGAGCCAATATTTTAAAAAAAACTAAGGTCCAGTTATCGATAAACTACATATAAGAGTGTCAAGGGCATCTGTAGTTAGATGACAAAATAGAAAGGCTTTATAAATATGTGCCATGTTTATCACAAGTATCCATGATTTCATGTGGTTCATGTTTCAAACAAGGAAAATCAATTTGTAATGGCTTAATGAATCACCTTTGTCCCTTTAAATGGTAACACTGATATTTTTGTCCACCTTTAAATTCTCAATCCAAAATACCCTGTATGTGTTGAAAATGAAGATATGTGACAACAGACATTTTAATGTTTACATTTAATAAATATAATGTACTTTAAAAATGTGTATCACATTTTTTCCCCTTTACATACAATTTATATTAAAAGTCAAAGAAGCAAATTTGTTATTTGTTTTTCTTTCTTTCTTTTACCTTCTTCTTTTCTTTTGTAGCTGTTAGTGCATGATTAATTCGTGACTTGGGAATGGGGAAAGAAAGATCTGAAATAATCTTATCATTTATGTTCAAACTGTTGATATGTTTATGTTGTAGCTTCTAGCAGCCACCATTCAACATGAGAAGCCGGAGCTGGAAGTGAGAAAGACAGAGCTACTCAAACAGGAGGAAGATCTGAAGATCCAGCTGGCCCAGCTAGAGGAGAGCTTGTTAGAGGTAAGTTCTCTAGTTCAAGTTGCTTTCTAATGTCTTGGGACAGCTTGAATTGAATCTCATTCTGCATTTGTATTGTATCTAAAAGCAGCACAATTATGCATTTTAATCACTGAAATATGAATTTCTTTTCAATTTTATTTGCTTTTTTTTTACTTCAAAATATGAAAATGAGGAATAAATCTCAGTTTGTAAATGGATATTATGTTTCAAAGTTCCATATTCATACTGAACTTAAAATGCACACAGAGATAAATTGAAATAAAACATTATGGTTGTAATTTTGGTTGGATCTGCTTCATTCACTGAGAAATTTATATGATCTGATGCATTGTGAAATCAATTTGCTATGGTATTTTTGTAAGTGACTACAGTAATTTAATGTATTTGTTGCATCATTTTTGGTAACAACTAAAATAAATGATAGTAGATTTATGATTAATTGTGAAGCAACTTTCGGAAAAGAGTGCTACTATACAGTATCCATACACTTAGGCTTTGTGTTAACTAGGAAAAGGTGCAAGAGGGTCTTTGCCATCACCCTTCAGCTTGTGAATCTTCTAATTTTATTTGATTCTCTACAGACTCTTGCCAAGGCGGAAGGAAACATCTTGGAAAACAAGGCTCTCTTGACGTCCCTGAACAAGACCAAAGAGAGCAGTCAGACCATCACACAGTCCCTGGTGGAGTCAGTCCAGCTCCAGGAGTCATTGGATCAGGTAAGATCTTAACCTTTCGACTTTGACCTCTAACCTTGTAGCAACTGAACAGGTGAGAATATCCTGGCTAAATACTTCAGAAATGTGTACGCTATGAGATGGAACCTCATTTAACTTATTAAAGATGACTCAATCACAAATGAAGAGAAGAATATGCTGATTCAAACTCTTAAGCGCTTACAATATGGAAATTAATTAAACCTTTCAATTTTCCACCTTGGACATAAATAAGTTTACTTAGTAATAGGTTGATTTACATAAATCATTTTTGAGCATCAAATTGATTTCCTTTAAGGAAATTAACTTTATGGAATTCACTGTGTATTCCTCATTTTTTGAAGTCTCCTGTAGTTTATATGATCACTAAATGTGCTAGCAAGAATCCAGATGATGTATTAATTTAAGATATAAGTTGCTTACCTAGTATCAGATTGCTTAGAGATTGTATCTATTCATACTGTTTCTTTTTTCACCAGGAGAGAGCTGCATACCTGCCCCTGGCTGAGAATGGTAGCGCCCTCTTCTTTGTGATCTCCGACCTGGCCAAGCTCAACAACATGTATCGCTTCAGTCTGGGAGCCTTCCTCCGTCTCTTCTCAAAGGCACTGCAAGGCAGGATGGTAAGATACATAACTCAGAGTACCACTTTTCAGGCAAAAGTCAGAATTCAGGCCCTGGCGAGTTATTTTGAGGCCATAGTTTAGGCTTTTTTGTGTACAAAATAGCTCATTCTAGGTGATTTTCAAGCTCCCTGATCAATTCCCACTGTCATTCCTGATAATTTAATCTGTATTAAACATTTCCTAAACTTAACCATCGTTCGATGGCCATTTGCAGACCCCTACAATTTATTTGTGAACAGATATGTTCAACCATTACAATGAAAAACTGTATTTCTAATCCAGGCTTTTCATCCAGATTTTGAGCGAAAATGTTTGATATTATAGACAAGTTTGTGAATGAGCAAAATAATCTCTGTTTGGCAAACGGTGTTGTTTATAAGCTGAGATCTGCTTTAGGCTTCGTGATAAATAGAATATGTAAACTTAATGAAATATTTTAGTACTACTCTTTTGAATGTACATTATACCTATTGCTTTGATCTGACATATTGTTTGGTAACAATGGTAATGATATAGTCATAACAGATAGTACATTCTCTCATTTAAATTAATATATTTATATATTTCTACAAGAGTATTGCAACTCATGTTATTGAGAATCCATGATTTTGTGACTAAAGTAAATGCTCTCACTTACAAAAACTACTTGATGATAAGCCAGTGATTTGAATGAATTCGTACATTTCATTGTTGCTTTACTTGGTTTCAGGATGGTAGCAGCACTGAGATGAGGATTCAGATGCTGATCAAGAATCTTCAAATGCTGGTCTATGAGTACGTCTGTCAGTCTCTGTTCAAGGCTGATAGACTTATGTTTGCTCTGCACCTGGTTCATGGCATGCATCCTAACCATTTCAAGGAAAATGTAAGTTGAATATGTTGATAAAGTATGTGCTGTAAGGAAATAATAAAGGAGTTTAAAAGGAAACTACTGTATATCTGTAATGCACTCAATTTATTTTTCATTCTTTTATTTTTCACACTGAATATAAGTTGTGCAACTTTTCCCTCTATTAAAGTACTATCCTAAGTTTCAATAAAATTCATGATACAGCAGTGCTATAACAACACCCATGTGACTTTATTTGTTTTCTTCTCATACTCTTTTAATGCATTATTGTTTGTATTAATTTTCCAGGAATGGGAAGCGTTCCTAGGTCAGATCGTGGCTGATGTCCGTGAGTCCTCCCAGCAGGGCGGTTCAATGCCTGCTTGGGTGGATAAGGATAGACACAAGGCTCTAGCTTCATTCATGGTAAGAATAACTTTGTTGTTCTTGTTGTTGTCGATATTGTTGTAATGTAACCTTGCAAAAGGGAAAATCACAAGAATCTTAATACCTTTGTTCATAGATTGGCAAATGATTTACTCACAGATTCAAAAGAATAAACATGTTTCAATACAAATAAAGTTCTTCAGATACAAATGTCTATGTTCATAGGGTCGTTTACACATACTAATTCAATTTGAAACAACCCAAGATATATTTTTTTCTTGAACTGCACATACAGTCAAACCTGTCTATAGCGACCGTCCAAGGGAAATACAAAACATGGTCTTTGAAGACAGGTTCCTTTAGTACATGTTTCAATGAGAAACCAATTTCAAGGGAAACAAAAAACGGGGTCTTTGTAGACAGGTGGTCACTAAAGCAAGTTTGACTGTATAACATTAATTTCTCCTCAGGCTACCTTCCCATCTGTAAGCCAGAGCCTGAGCCTGACAGACAATGGTCTTTGGACTTCTTTCAACCGTAGCTCTCAGTGTGAGCACGAGTTCCCAACATCCTTGGAGAAGAAGATAACTCCATTTCAACAGGTGAGACACTATGGACATTGCAGGCCTGATAATAACCCGATTTAAATTGGTTTCCGATTATTATTGTTTTCCTGATTTTTTTTTTCCCCCAATTTTTTATCCCCCCCCCCCCCCCCCCAATTTTCCCCCCTTTTTTCCTGATTTCCCCCTTATTTTCCTAATTTTTCCCTTTTCCCCCCTATTTTTAACTCAAAAGTTAGATACCATTTGTTTTCCTGAATCCTTTTTTTTTTTTTTACCCAAGGGGAGGCATTGTTTTTAGCTTTACAAAATATGCATTTTCGGCTGGTATTAAGCAGCTAATCTTTCATAGCTTGGTGCAAGAAGCAAACTAAAATGCAATTTCAAGAATTGTATGATACAAGAGTGTACACAGCTTTGCTCTTCTCGTTATAAAAATTTTCTTTAAGCAATACATCATCCTGCATATTTGGCTTTTTTGTGATATTTCTATACCAGGTTTTCTTTCTTTGTGATGTTTCCCCTCTTGTGAACTTATTTTTATTTATTTTATATTTATTTAATATTTCTGGTTGGTCTCCTCTGTTTCAGCTTCTGCTCATCCAAGCCATTCGACCTGACAGGCTGCAAAGTTCAATGATCTTCTTTGCTCAGAGAGGTCTAGGTGAGATACATTCCCATTGATTAGTTTCATTAAAACAATTACTTACTAATTAGTTTATTGATTGATGCATGTGCATGCCCTCGATACCACAAAGTGTTCTTTTCAGGCAACTAATGTTTGTTATTTCGTTGCAAATTTTCTGTAAAACCACTCACAGGACTGGGTTTGTAGTCATTCTGAAACTTTGGTTTATAAAATATGTCTTAGCAAGAAACATTAGTAGATTAGGGTGGCAAACTATTCCTCCTTTATGTAGGCAGTGATTATAGTACCAGGGCATGAGAGGGGTATGCTGATACATAATCTAGGGTTCTACTGCATTATTACATATCCAAGGCACTAGTTTATTGTGGCCTTGTGTCTATATAATGACCAAAGGGAAGCAAATGAACTTTAAAACAAGGACCACTTAGTCAAAGACCACTGCTCTATCCACTGAACTGAACTATAATGCCATTCTGTTCACTTCACTGTTAATTGTATTACTTTGTCTTTAACCAAATGTGAAAATAGACTTGAATTGAAAACTGTCTAAAGAGTATGCTGACTCGTATGCCAAGTCTTATTATATGCTAAGTGCAGTGTATTTCACAGAGGACTTTCTACTGTTTGATGTTATTTAGGAATGAAGGAACTGACCACGCCCACAATCAACCTGAAGCGGTTGTATCAGGACACCGTGCCTAGTGAGCCGATCCTCATCATCATCTCCCCTGGAGCGGACCCCACCCAAGAATTGCAGGAGGTCGCAGCGGAGGTCGTTGGAGCAGACCACTACCATGAGGTCAGTGGAAAAAGAGCTGTTAGATTTTTTTTTTTTTTTAAGTGTCAGTCGAAATGCAGTCCGAATTTCAACTCTTTTGTTGCATGAAAACTTCTAGGTTTTGAATTCAAGCTGGTGTTACTGATACTGTGCCCAGTTTTTAATAATTGAGTAAGTCTAAAAATGATAATTTCAACTTGTTTAACCATTGACATTAGTTTATCTAGAATAGTGAATACCTTGACATCTACTTAAGATACGCAAATGTTATATCTCTTCACCCTTTAGAGTGTGATTATCATACAACTTAGGACTCCCTACATATGTATGAATGTGGCACAATGGCAAATTGTAAACTCTGTAGCTTTATTCATCCTCTGTTAAACAATAGGGACAAGTAATGCAAAATCAATGTTTTGTCGATGCAACAACAAAAAAGTGAGAGAGCAAACTAGTCTTGCAATCGGAATTTCATTTTGTACCGAGTAACATAGAAAACGGCAAGGTCTCCACAGGACCACTACTTTGCATAAAAGCTCAAAAAAATTATATTTCTGTATGTTGAACCACTTTTCTCTGCAGGTTGCTATGGGCCAGGGTCAAGCTGACATCGCCATGCAGCTCCTTCATGAGAGCTCACGCAACGGAGAGTGGCTCTGTCTTAAGAACCTCCATCTGGTCACTGCGTGGTTGCCTGTTCTAGAGAAGGTCAGTGAAATAGGCAAGACAGATTGCTAAATAGGCTATATGCTATGTAAGGAGAAAACTAGGTGTACATATGGTCAACCCATAGCCTTTGGGAACCAGGTGGTCCCTATATTAATCTTATATCAAAAGCTTCTAACTTTAGCAGAATTCAATCAAAAAGAATATAGCACACATTTTCTTTGACTTGGTTTTCGACTGTGTTTGTGATTGAAACCATTTTTACAAATTTTATGTCAAAGTCTTGCTTTTAATCCTCAACAAGGACTTGTGTAGGCTTTGTCTCATATGGAGTATTTATTTTCAAACAAACGTTGTGTATTGATCTATTCTATATGGATATAGCAACCACTGTGTTATATTTTCTGATGATTGATCTTGTCATTTTTCATAGGAAATGAATGCCCTGAGCCCACATGAGAACTTCAGACTGTGGTTGACTGCTGAGAGTCATCCCAAGTTTCCCACAATCCTTCTCCAGTCGAGTCTAAAGATAACCTATGAGGTAAGGGTCTTCATGATTTCTCACCTGTTTCTAATGATCAGGTCCTGTTATGATTGTGGGGTGTCTACATCATGAACAAGTTGTGGTTCAGAGGTATCCTTCTTTGGTAGTGCATCATCATTTTCAGCTCCTAAGTTCTCAATTATCCGTTTTATAACTTCAATAAGTATCAAATTGATATAAAAAAAAGTGCATCAGATTGTAGGAAAGTATGAATAAATATTCATAAGTGATAATTATCAACACTTTTCTTCATTTTGCTTAATTTTCTTATGGAAATGCTGAATAGTATTTAAAGTAGCTCAATGTGGTACTTATGGTTTCTTTAAAAGTTAGGTTTTATACACAGTAATGCGATACATTTCCATTACATCCTTTCATTTGAAAATTGCACTTTATGAACTGTCTGTTACAACACAATACATTTTCCACCTGCTTAAGTTTTTGCCTCAATGGAAACATTCCTTCTCCTCCTTTACCAACTCAACCTTGATCTCTCTCTCTCTCTCTCACTCCCTAGGCTCCACCAGGGATCAAGAAGAACCTCCTGCGTAGCTACGACTCCTGGACCCCAGAGTTCATCGGCAGGGAGAACAACGTCGTCCGGGCGCAGGCCCTATTCGCTCTGGCCTGGTTCCATGCCATCTGTCAGGAGAGAAGGAACTTCATCCCACAGGGCTGGACCAAGTTCTACGAGTTCTCCATGTCAGACCTCAGAGCTGGTGCAGACATCATTGATAGGCTGTGCAGTGGGAAAGGTCAGTCCAGCCTAAGTTCAATTTTAGTCCTACTATATAGTCCAAGCTCTTATCTAGAATAATTTAAAATATATTGTCTTTAAAATAGAGTTAAAGGTTTGTTTTTTTGCTTTTGAAGCCGAAATGCAGGAATCATTGATAAGCTTTGCGCAGGATAGGTCAATTTAATTTTAGTCTAACGATAGTCCAAGCTCTATACCTTTAGCAATTCAGCGATGTCTTTGAATAATGCAAAAGATATGGATTCGTTGCATGTTGTTAGGGCCAGAAAACAGGGCACTAGTAAATTGAGCTTTGAAAAGTAGTGGACAGGTTCCAGGTCTGAAGACTTATTGCACGGATTGATTGTCAGAAAAAAATTGTTGTTTATGATCCATTTTTTTTCCATACTACTTTGTCTACGTATACAGGCAAGGGAGTCCAGTTTGAGTTCATCTACGGGCTGTTTGAGAACGCCATCTATGGTGGACGCGTGGACAACCCCTTTGACTTGCGCGTACTGAGATCCTACCTAGCTCAGTACTTCAATAAGGAGATGCTCGGAGGGAGCGGTGCTCGTAGATCTAAGAAGCTGCCTGGAGGGAACAGTATACCAGTGTCTTCTTACTACAAGGTATGGATCTTATAACCCGGCCTTCTGTAGCAATGACTTTTGTTTTAAAGCCTATCTGCACTAGTTTGGCCAGGAGAGATTAGTCCTCCCTGCATGGTCACTGACAAACGGGTTCTCATCATATCAGCTGTCAATTAACATAAGAAAAAGGGGACCATGGGGGACCAATAGGCACCGCTTAGGCATTGTTTTCTATATAGAGGGAGCAAGTAGCTACAAGTAGTGCAGTAGGGCTTTAAGAAGTTGATTGAACATTATCCAGAAATATGTAGATACGTCTTGTCTGGTATACTTTTAACAAAGCAATGCCATTAAATTATATTCCATTGAAGATAATGAAATTAGGAAGTAATTGCAAAATAGAAAATGGGGACCTCAAGTTCCTTTTAACAGAGTAGAGAGGCAGGGTTGAAAAGGGGTTAATCACCCTATCTTTGGAATCAAATATAAATTTCCTGGGGAGAAAAGTTTTGGGACTTCAATTTTTCAAAGCACAAGAGGAAGGGGTAAATTCCAATACACCAGTTAAAGGGACAGTCTCTAAGATCAAAGGTTATTTTTTTTTGGATGATGGTAATAGCTTCCGGTTTTCTTCCAATTTCACGACTTAACAGGACTTCACCGAGTTGGTGTCCAAGTTCCCAGACGATGACAAGCCGTCCTTCTTCGGCCTGCCAGCCAACATTGAGCGTTCCGCACAGAGGACCATCAGCGGACAGGTCATCGTCCAACTCAAGATCCTGCGTCGGTCTGCCGAGGCGGCGGAGAAGTTTGACACGGAGAAGTGGAACACGGAGCTCGGACCCATCCTGACCCTCTGGAAGAAACTCAACCAGGTACAGTGCATTACGGTCATCTCAATCGAAAGACCACCAGTTAGTTTTTAGCGTGTCTAGTGTTTGCCCAAAGAGGAAAAATAAAGTGTGTTTTTTGTAGAATTTATTTAGCTAGGCCATAGTGGCCACTCTATCGTCCCACCAACCCGATGAAAATTGTTCATTATGCAACTTTAACCGGGTACAGTGAACCTGTTTATTGTGGTGCATGTCAATCGAAAGGCCACCGGTTAGTTTCCCAAAGAGCAAAATGTGATGTAGGATTAGTCTGGAAAATAATAGTGTTTTGTTTTTTTTAAAGAATTTATTTAGCTAGGCAATAGTGGTTGCTTCTATCGTCTCACCAACCCGATGAAAAGTGTTCATTGTGTAACTTTGATTTGTTATTGTGTGCCAATTAAAATTTGTTTAATACTCAATATGCTTTTTTTGAATACTTCTCATTTATCTTTATCATCAAGTGTATTATCAATCTTTTTAATATTTTTAACTTGAAACTTATAATTCATTATCATCCTTAATCTCAAACTTACATTCTAGATTAATCCCGAACCCAATCACACCATCTAGTTAATCCAGTTTAAACAGGACTGAGAGCTCTAATATGAATTCACAATTTTGACCCCTTTCACACCCAACAAATAATTCATAAGCACATATGGCTCCAACTTGAATACAAACATCTTTCATGTATCAACTATTAAAATTGTTTACATAGAGCTTTTGGCTGAAGCATCTGACCGCTTTAAAAAAAAAAAAATTTAAATATTCATGTGGATCTCAAACTTTCACCTTCTTTCCATCCATTCACACAGGGAGCTAATCTGATCCAGACCAAGGCCCAGCCTCCGAGCGACCGCAGCGGCACCCAGGGTCCCATCGACTCGTTCATCGAGCTAGAGAGGTACAACGCCCTTCAGCTGGTCCAGTTTGTCCACTCCACCCTGGCAGCCCTGAGCAAGGTCATCCGAGGGACATCTCTGCTGACCAGCGAGGTCCAGGCTCTGGCCATTAACCTACTCAAGCAAGAGGTCAGTTTGTATTCTCTTTAGGGTGCATTCAAGCGATTTTTTGAAGCAAGAATCACAAATCAAAACGCTGTTAAAAAACACGGTTACTGCGGGAGAGCGTTTCATCAATGCTGATTCTCGCTCATTTCAAGCCCAGCCACTGCTCATCACACTGTGCAGTTTGACCCAGCAAGTATAGGTCAACTCTGCGTGCTTTCTGAATGTGTTTACGGTCAACTGTCTGCCAAACCAGAAGCAGGCCACGATAATGACCTTAAAGAATCATGATTGAGATCTCCGTTTGTTCAAGGGATTTTTAGCGACATCACGATACAAAACTCATCTTTTTCAGCATTTCATGTTTGCGTTTTTAAACACGTTTATTTTTACGACCAACAAAAAATTGTTTGAAATTGCTTGAACGCAACCATATTTTAAACTAAACATCTTTGAAAACCGTGTGTCTAGGGTGAAAAAGTGTTGCTTGAACGCACCCTTAGAGGGAGAGATCTTTAATTGAAACAAGGCTCACTTCAATATGAAGTCCAAAACATATTGTACATTATAAGGTTGGACTACTTGGTAAGTATATATACTGCTCCTCAGTATCCAGAAATTATGTTCATTTAAATTTAGAGGACATGATATGACATATATTTTGTGCTTGTTTGTAGATATTTTGAGCAAACGTGTCAAAAAGGATATTACTGATACTAAGTCTCATATAAAGCAAGGTTATGGTTTTGTTCATGCTATTTCTTTTTTGTTGAAATAAAATTAGAGGAGGGGAAAAAAATGATTTGCATTGTGTGTCATTTTATTGTATGCATTTTAATTCTTCTTGCCATTGTCCCTCATTCCACAGACACCCCTATCCTGGCAGAACAAATGGGAGGGTCCAGAGGATCCTGTGTTATACCTGAAGACCATAGTGAGCCGTACCATGGCCATACAGGGGTGGGTGGAGAAGGCTCAGAGGAACAACCTCCTCTCAGATACCCTCAACCTGTCAGAGCTGTTCCACCCTGACACGTTCCTGAATGCACTGAGGCAACAAACGGCAAGGTAGGCAGAGAAACAATGCTCAATTCTAGAGATTATGCCCCATGAAATACTAAAGAACATCTGAAACCCTCCTTTCTTCAGGATGACAGGTTTTTGTGTTTTGTTGTTGCTGAAAGTTTGAAAAATGCTCCTGAAGGAAAATCTTGTCAATGACATTGCATGTGTAATCATGAGAAAATACAAAATATCAACTATGTGATTACCGTACACATCTCTCAGTAGAAAAAAATATATTGCTAGATGACTCTCCTTTAAATAGCGTTTTGAGTGATCTAATACAAGTATGTGCTGTTCCTTGTATCCTGTACAGGGATTCCAAGACCTCAATGGACAGTCTCAAGTTTGCTTGTCGCTGGTCTGGTAACATCTCAGGAGCCAAATACCAAGTCAAGGTAAGAAGGAGTATCTTCATCATTTCATTCCATTATTTAGATCATGAACTGGAACTTGAAATTTATGACATGGCATTATGCAAGGATAAACACAATGAAGACATGGTAACATTTGTAACATGATGAGCTTGCCTTCAAAATGCCGATCCCTCTTTTCCTGATAACAAGATCTTGGACATGAATTGTCCGAATACTCTAAGAGACTTGGCATATGATTTTCATCTTCATTATATTTTATAGATTAGCTTGTAGCAAAGACATATAAGCTTGTTCAAAACATTTCTTTGATTTTGGTTTGGTTGGATGATTTGTTTTACCTGACTGCTAAGAAAGCATTCTTATGCTTGTAAGTAAGCAACCAGGGGGCCGAAGACTTTAGGTCCTCTCTGTTGGACTTGGTAATGAGAATTAATGCCTTACCAAAGGGCAGTAGCGCATCGAGTTGATTTCAAACCCGGAACCTCTCAATTAAGAGACCACTGCTTCACCCCTGAGCCATCATGCCTCTTCAGTTTTTAGCTTGTAATAATCATAACAATCTCTTTATATTCATAATATGCCGATTTAGCAAAATATTTCTTTCTCATATTCTGTACAGATTGGAGGCTTACAGCTAGAGGGCTGTACGTTTGATGGGCAGAGACTATCAGAGAACCAGAGAGACTCACCCAGTGTCTGCTCTGTACCACCATGCAGTGTAGCCTGGGTCCTCAAGGTAAATATATCGTCTTTTATCTGCCGCTATGTATTACCTCTCATCTGAAAATAGAAATAAGTGACTCAAAAACCACCACAAAAAGGAAGAGGACCATCCTCTTGGTCTTTAGTTACGCTTCTTTTCACCTGCTTTGAATGGTCAACACACAAAGGTTGAGGGTTCAAGCCCCAGCACGGTGCCAATGTCCTTGGCAAGATATTTAGAATAGCCTCTCTCTACCCAGGTTTAGAAAATGGGTACTGCTGTTTGAAAGAAATTCCTTCAATGCTGTGAACACTGTAATCAATGATCCAGTTGAAGCAACAGTAATAAAGGAGCAGCTGGAACACTTCATACAGCTGATGCAAGCCCTATACAGTGAAACCTGTATATAATGACCGCTCTAGGGAAGCATAAAATGTGGTCGTTGTAGACAGGTGGTCTTTATGTACAGGTTCCTTTAGTACAGGTTTCAATGATAAAAAATATTCAAGGGAAACAAAATATGGTCTTTATAGACAGGTGGTCGCTAAAGTTTGTTTGACTTTACAAGAATCTAGTAATTCACAATTTGTCAGTCTTAAAGTTGTGAAAGATCAGTTTTATATCTATTTATTGACTATTGGTATAAATCCTTCTCTCACATAGGACACTCCAAACAACTATCATCCATCGGAGAGCATCTCACTACCAGTCTACTTTACAGAACAGAGGGAGAAGATTGTCACCCACCTTGTACTACCGTGTGGAGGAGAGCAGGATCACTGGATACAGACTGGTGCTGCTCTCTTCTTACAGAGCCAGTAGGCCTAGCTACTAGCTAGACTAGTGAGGGTGAGAAGGGGAATTTACCAGTCTTCTTCACAGAACAGAGAATTTTCACTACCATGCCTGGAAAGAATAGAATCACTGCATGGGTACAGACTGGTGCTGCTCTCTTCTTACAGAGCCAGTAGCCTATGATATAGTGTTATAGGCAGGGTAAGAAGGGGGGAGTCACATGTCTGTGCCAGCTACTGGTAACAGAGATATTCCTTTCTTCTTATCGAGGGTACCCCAGCATATAATAATCTGGTAAATGATCTTTATATGTCAATATTGTGCACAGTCCCTATCATGGCATTGAGAATTATTTTTTTCTTCAAACAAACAAAAACACAGAGAAAGTAATTTGATAGTGATTTCTTTCAAAGTAAGATTCAGAAACATATTTCAAAGGCCTGTTCCACATAGAAGTTACCAGATATATTCTTATTTTCACAAAGATAACATGAATATACATGTAGTAATGATGACTGTTCTCTTGTTTCATTAAAGATTAAATCTTATATTCACATTTATAGACTACTCCAAACTACATGTCAATTGTTGTGGATCTTAGTGAATAATTATGTACCATATTCACACATGTTGATGGGAGTATGAAATGTTGCCTTATAATGTTGTCAAACATCATATCGCTTGTGATCTAAATATTGGACTGGATATATCTGAATTGTCTTAGTTTGAGATGAGTCAGTGAAGTTGTAACATATTTTGCAGCATATCATACAGGGAAAGTGCTCTTTCTTTAAAATCATTGCCATTTTATTTCACGCATATGAGTTAATTGCATAATATAGAACCAGTTAAGATGATTCTCAATAAAAAGGGATAGGGTAAACTCATGAATTGTTTTTGAATCATTATCCAAGCATATTTTCAAAACATTTAGCAATTTAGAAAATTTGTAGAATCCAATTCTTGTGGAAATTGGTTTTGAGTTTTCTGTTAGCAAACATTGCACAACATGGCAAATGTTTAAAATTGCCCACATGCTTGTTTAGTCAACGGAGAGATATCAATATTGGTTCTCCAAAAACTTTGGAATGTTTTCTCTGAATCTGTGTAGTTTTCTTTACTTTCGCTAAAAATCCGTCCTAGTATGATGTCTTTATTTCAATTCATATTATATTACTTGCATGTGTATATTTGTTACATATTTCCTATCAAGTCTAGAAATGGTTATTACAAAACAAATATTTTCAACAATAACAAGAGTTGTAGATATCAGATATATATTTTGAGTGATGTGAAATTGTTTTATCCTGTTTTGTATAGGTAGACTCGAATGTATTTAGAAGTCATTACTGATTAAATGCAAGTAGACGAATCAAAAGTGCATTTGGTAAACTTTTCTTGTGTATGCATTTGTAAAATATAAAATATATTTGTGTAAAGTGTCTTATAAGCTTCAAATATTATAATTTATTTCAAATCATCTTGTCCTGTAACATGAATAATAAGAAAAGAACCAAAGTGTCATTTTGTATTTAATATCTTGTTGGATTAGATGTGCTGTGTTAAAAAATATCTTTATTTTGATAGAATTGTCTTGACATTCCATTGCTTCTGTGCAACTATTTGCAAAGTTATCAGTTCATTGTGATTATTCAGTTGTAAAGTATGTTATAAACTATCACCTTGATAACAATAATAATTCGATTTGATTTTGCCTTTTATGAGATTTTTAATATTGTATTAAGAATGACATTTTTTTGTGTGTGTGTCAAATTTGGTAATTGACTTGGAATGAGATGTGAGATGAATGACTTGTGTTTTTATTTGTTATGATATTAATTCTTTTCAAGAAAGTCCCTTTTTTTTTAAAACTTATTTCTCTGTATTCGCAACCTGTTTAATCCTTCATGTTTTCTTCGACATGTATTTTCTCATATTCCTTCTTGTCACCCATTCTCTCTCTATCCAGCTTTATTTTTCCCTATTTGTCTGTATGCATCTTCCCCCCCCCCCTCTCTCTCTCTCTCTCACACACACACATACACACACACACACCCACACACATGCTATGTGCATAGCAGTTGCATTTTATATGGAAAATTTAACCTCTATAAACCAGTCAAAAGTGAATGTGGAATTCATTTACATAACCTTGCTTTTCTTTGGCTCATTTTCAATGGCATAAACAATGGCAATATATGTAGGTCTAAGGTTAAAGATCAATGATCTTATCAAAGTGGAACAGGTTTTCACAGATTAAAAAAGTAAAAATCGATTTGAATGCATTTTACAATTATTTGCAAATCTATGAATTTATTACAGCATCATATCAGTCAAAATAGGAAATGTGCCCAAGATGTACTGGATCCACATTTGATCATGATTCAATGTTTATATAGCAACTTTTGGTGAGATATATATATGCATACATTTTTTCTTCAATCATTTGTGATCCAATTTCCCCTTTTTGAATCTAACCTACTTCATACACACTGAAATTAATTAATAGGCGCCATAATTGGCACCTAAGGTACTTTTTCTTTACCGGTTAATAGAATTTGAAAAAAAATCATTCAGCTAAATAGTAATGTCAATTGTATGAATAAATATTCTATGTCTATTGGTCAACAAGTCGGTAGAAGGTGACATAAAGTGGACCAGTATAAAATGTAGTGGTCACTGTATACTAAAGAATAGTCTAACCCCCCCCCCCCCCCCCCCGGCCCCCCCTCCCCCACACACAATTAAAAGAAATGGCAGTTGTAACAAGATGTGGAGACCTGTTCAATTCCAGGATAGATATTTTTGTAACAAGAACATTGTCACCATAATCCGGCCAAGTCTCGCTTTCTTGCAAAATGTTGACTCTGTGTAGCTGATGTTCGGGCAACAGATGTCAGCCCCTTCACTAATATTGGACCCGTCACATATGCCTATGAAACTTAAAATACCCAGTATACAGATATGCCCTTAAGTCTTCAATCGTACGCTGTATTCTCTCATCAAAGATCTAGAATAAAGATATATGAGGGAAGAGAGAGAGTGAAAGTGTAGGAGAGAGGGAGAGAGGGAGAGAGAAAGAGAGAGAGAGGGGGATGCAGAGAGGGGAAGGGGGTGTCGAATATTGAGATGGAATGAGAATAAGGGAATGAGAGAAACAATATTAAAATTAAGAAATGTGATGGAAATTTAGGGAAACTTTTCGAAAGTCTTTGCAATCATGTTAGTAATAGAAGAAAAGAAAGATATCCATCGATCATCAAGTGATGAAATTAATCAAGAAAATTCGATAAATTTGGTAGTAATTTACAAGCTAAGAGTCAGTTTAAATCATTTGGACAATATGGAAGAAATATAGACGGAGAACTTAAAAAGCATGTTTATAAGAAGTATTCTTACAGTAATTCTGCTCTCAGAGTTTTGTTGTTTTTCAGCTTCTAGGTCGTGAAGAAATGTCCCAACATGGCGATACATCATAGGAAATGATAATATACAAAGTAATCATAAAAAATAATACACCAGCAAAATTAAAAGTGAAAGATGAATACGATAGAATAAACAAATAAATGAATTGAATCACTTGCACTTACCGGGTGTATAGCAAGTAACCACGTCGGGAAAGAAACTCATTTCTTGAGAGCAGAGATTATCAAGCACATCACAAGCAGATTCGAACCTCTGATCTCTGAAAGCCTGGTTGCACAGCTTTTGCTCGTCCGCCATGCCAATGAAAGATTTGGATTGGAGACCATTGGTTAGCATACCGGTCAACTCCGGAGAGCAGGGAACGTTCTCCACCACGCTGAGATAGGCATCACACATCGAGAGAAACTCTGCGGTAAGGATACTAATCGTACGGTGATGGTGATGATGATGTGCTGAATATAAAGAGATTTCCGATATATATATATAATATTTATGATCGATAAAATAATGAAGATATGAATGAGATGGTATACATTGTTGTAATGTTAAAATGTACTTCTCCTAGCAGTTTTGATTCTAAAAAATCTATTTCAAAGCTCTAGAAAGCTTATTTTGGTAACGAACATAGAAAGAAACAGGGAGAGCCCCCCCCCCCCCCCGAATGCCATAACGATAATAAAATGATATAGAAAGGGAAAGGGGGACGGTGTGAAAAGAGGATTAAGAATATGTTGCCCCTCTTTCTCTGACCGGCCTTCGTCGCATTTTATGAACCCCAAAATACCACATCCCTCCCATCGGATATGCCGTTACATATGCCTCAATTAATTAAGGTTCATAATCAAACATGCAGCAATAAAAAAGAAAATCAAAGACATTACCTGTGACATTTGTGAACAGTGCAAATGCTGCAATAAGTGTTACCTGGAAAAAAATATAGGATAAATATGCATAACTGATAATTTTACTACATTTATTTTTCAAGGGTATAACTGGGCGGATCAAAATAAATATACTTTATTTAGGAGTTAAGAGCTAGAGCATTGATGTGGTTTCAGGAAGATACACGTACGGAGCCCAAGTTTTTGAAAAATTAACCCCAAAACTGTTACAGGGTATAGGGTGAAAACAAATACCGACAGCCCCCACATCTGGAACCTGATTATATGATTTTAAAATATATATATTACACTGAGGCGCATGAACACCTAAACTCCAAATAAGCATGAAGCAACAATAATTACTGACAATGGCTAGTAGCTTCCAATGTAAATTTAGTTTCTAGAAGAAAACTTACCAAATGAGCCATTTTGTTTGTGAAGCTAAATGTTGTTCCTAGTAAGGCTTAGAAAAGAAATCCAAGTGTTCTCTCTTTCTCATCTGTATTTTCCCACGAGATTACGTTTGATAAATTATGATCTCTATGTCAATAATAACGTAGAAGAAAATTAATTAACATTTCATTGTGCCTTAGCCTTTTGACTAAATATAAGTTAATGCCAATTTTTGTGAAACGAGAGCATTTTGTAATAAAGTATTTTATTGACCCCTTATTAACTGACTTTGAACTTTGAAGATCATCACTTGGAAATCAAGGTTTGTTCTTAATTGTCACAGGTTAATTGGCACGGTGGGCTCTATAGATATGTCTGTCAAGACTAAAGAGAAGAGTTGTAAAAAAAAAAGTGAGGTCACATGCAATGACAGCAAAGGAGACCGTTTGCCAAGATAGAGCACTTAATTGCTTGACACGCAAATGATACAGGGGAACAAGAGGGGGGGATTTTTTTATAGTGATCTAGGAAGAGGACAGTCAAAGCACTGAGTCATATCACATGTATCGAAGTTAGTATATATAGTATATATATATATATATATATATATATATATATATATCAACTTTCCGATTTTCTCTTAATCATCGATCATTGGCCTGTATAATAATTATATAAATATATATCTAAAACTTTTGCTCTCCCCCCCCCCCCCCCCACCCCCCACCCTCAGCACACACAATGGCATCACTGGCAAGCATCAAGGTCCTAGAGCATTAGGTCATTGAAAAGTCGACGTATGTTAATAAATTATATACCTTTTACTTTTACACCCCTCCCTGCCAAGGGTTCATTTTGCCGCTATCAAATATATCTATAGCTTGTATAATTAATTCCCCGGTCTCTCTCTCAAAAAAAAGAATTAATGGCCACCTCGATGCTAAAATACATATTCCTCTACATCGAACATACATGTACGATACAAAAGGTGTTAAGGGGAGGGTAATTCCCTGTTTGACGCCACTGTTATTCTCTGCTACAGGCTTTAAACATTTTGTATAGGTTACAAAATATACATAGATATCAATGAAACTAAATGATGTGCTTTAGGATTGATGATGTATATTTAAAGTATAAAAAAATACTTTTTTAAATGAAAAAATTCTGCTGTTTAAATATGAGAATGTGTACCAATCGACGACGCTTCTCAAATGAATTAGAACAAGACTAGTAACAAGTGGGTCCTGGGTCGGGTTGGTTGGTTGATTATGCATCTAAAAGCTAAGAGCTAGAGCTAGCTGTCAAGGTAAAACACAGGTACGGTGGCGGAGATGTGAATTAAATACAGTGATGTTGAAGTTCTAATTAATTCGTGAGAGTATCTGCTTGTTTTTATGTTATATGTATTGTTTGGAAAATAGAAACAGATTTATAACACGGCGTTAAACAGTGAAGTAAAGTTGACGTACTTGCATGATTGACTTTTATTGGAATTGGGCAAAGATCGCTGTCACAGCCAGCGCCAGTACAGCACCGCACAGCACAGCGCATCGCTAGATCGCTGTACCTGTGGATTGGATTGAGCACCATTTTCTGTGACTGTGTAGTGACGGATGCCGGATGTCGTGAATGGAAATATATAAATCTAAATGTTAGACTTTATTGACGAAATTAATTGTATGGTGTGCTATGTGATGATGATCAAGACGTGGTGAATTGATGGGTCTGTTTCACACCCGTACCCGTCTAGCCTGTTGTCACTATGTACTGACTACTGTATCACTATCAGGAAATGAAACCATTGCAGTGGTGTTTTTGTTGAGCTTTGTCAGTATGTAGCATGGGTGGGCATTACATTGTCTTACTTATAAAGCAGCCTGAGAAGATGGATACAGGTGAATAGAGAATACACCCAAAACATTGTTTGACAGTCTCCTTGGTACTCCATGCACTGCAGGGGCAGTGATGTAATGAGCAAACAAGTTTAGGGGCAGAAGACAAATCTGCATCACCAACAATTCAGGATCCAGTAACTAATTGGCGGAAGGGTCCAGGTTGCTGACCCCCATGGCCATGAAGCTTGGGGGTTTTAAGCATTTAATTACGGTCAGATGAGCATCCAGGAGGGGGATACTACCTAGCCTTAATAGTATCCAAATCTTGCCTGGAGTGCAATTTTTCAGGAAACCATATTATTTTACCAACATACTTGATACTTCTCATTATTATAGTTTTGGGACACCGGACGGAAACTACACCGCCACACCTGCTTCAGCTCAAGTTCTGTAACACCAAGGAAACCATTTCAATGTTAAAGATGTTTACGGTGCAAACAATCCTCTGTCAACTCATTAACCGAGCTCGACCTCATCCATCTGGTATGTCAAAAAATCAATTTCAAAGAAATTTGCACATTTGCGAGATAAATAGTATCCGGTATTAAAACACAGTGAATAGGAAAACAAAAAATTACAAGACTTTTCCAATACGGGTACTTATTTCTCCCCTGGATTGATGCAGACACTTTTCTTTTTTCTTCTCATTATACATCCTGTTGTACCCCATTTTACAGTATTTAATATTGTGTTTTTTAAAAACATGACTGTCAAATCAGGCCTGTGTTGAAATCAAAAGGTTGAAAATTGCACTGAAAAGTTGTTGATTTTGAAAGAGATGTGGGAATAACAGATGTAGATGTGTCATCAAGATGGACAATAACAAATTACACTGACTGAAAAGCCTTTTTCACAATTTGTATGGATGTTTTTAAAGTTATAGTGCACTGTCAATGTTCTGTTTAAAAAGTTGCAAATGTCACAATAATTATCTACATTTATCTTGTATTTAGAAGAATTCAGTGGAACAGACCATTGGGCATACCAAATGGCTAGATACTATAACTAAAAATTGTTAATACAGACAAATTTTAGATTATTAACCATTATGTGTATTGGATATCCCTACAGCCAAACTGTCCACAGGAGGGGACAATGTTATCACCACGCTGACCGACGGAGGTCACATGATAGAGATGGTGCGGTCCATCGTGCCTTCACTGGACTTTACCAAGCACAAAGGTCAAGATGGACGCATAGCAACGATTGGAGGTTGTCGAGAATACACAGGTGCTCCTTACTTTGCTGCAATCTCTGCATTCCGAGTCGTAAGTACGGTACAGAGATTTTCTAGCTGATTCCGTGATGATAATGACAACAATTGGCAACAACGACTCTTCATTCAACAACTCCATCGATATATTTTTCATGGTTTGAATTAATGATTTCTTTGTTTTGCAAGGAAAAGATAGTACACATTTAAATTTCAATCACTTGTGCTTTTTATCTGTAATTATAAAAAAAGAGTACCGTATTCATGATTCATATTTAAATGCACTTTTGCTCAGGTGATACATATGAACTGATGGAATGATTTTTAACCAAATTGGGTTGAAAAGATAGTACTTTAGTAGCCTCTGTTAGTTGAAGGAAAGGTTGCATTTGTGTGAAGAACATTCCAATGAGTGCAATTGGTACCAACCTGCATTGAATTCAAATATTTAATGCCTAGGCTACACCAATGCATTGAGCCCATGTATTCCATTTCGATATGAAAACTGGAGAAACAAGCCGACATCGATCTGGGAATGCATGATTTGAATTGGATCCAAAGTGACATTAGTGTAGCTACGCTGCGTTTCCCATGCGTTTTAGACGAAAGGATCAACTATGCAAAGGCCCAAGAAAATTTTGGACATTGTATGGAAGTGACATTGAAATTATAATGCATACTTCGAACCAAGAATGCATTGTAGGGTAGAAACGCATGGGAGATGCATGGATTTCAAAAACCGAGAACCGAACTGACATTGAAATGAAAAACTTTAGTGCGACCTAGGCATTACTCACAAGCAGAAATATTACTCCTTAATCTCATATCTTGCCTGTATTGTGTTCTTTATTTTGTTTGTAGGGCTGTGACCTGTCCCATGTGTTCTGTACTGATGGTGCTGGTCCTGTTATCAAGTCCTACAGTCCTGAGCTCATTGTTCATCCATGTCTGTAAGTGATTTATAATAACACATCATTGAGGGCGTCGCTGTTATGAAGTCAGCCCAAAGTTTTCCAAGAAGGAACTGCATCCCCCCCCCCCCTCAAAAAAAAAAAAAAAAAAATTGCTGACAAGGTTACAGAAAATTTATCCAATAAACTTAGAGAAATGAAATGTTCTTCAGTTCTTTGAAATGCTGATAAGTTTTTAAAACACTACAAATTTAATACAGATGACATGTTCAAAATAGATCTGTTGTATCATTTGTATGCATGTTTAAGTCTCAACTACAAAAACATATTTTCCAAGATTTGATACATGTATTAGTTTCAATTTGAACCATTTAAATGATGAAATAAAAGCAAAATGTCATGAACTGTGTTGACCTTTGACTTTTGGACTGCCTTTCAGGGATGCTGAAGACGGTGTGGAGGAGATGAAGAAGTGGTTACCCAGGATGCACTCGGTTGTCATTGGTCCTGGACTTGGTAGAGACCAGAAACTGCTAGACAAGGTCAAGGTATGCAACGAGTACAGCAGCTAAACTTCACTGTGACCCCAGCGAATTCTTGCCCCTTGAACCACTGATGTGAATGTCCCCCCTTAGGCTTCTAAATTGCCCCCAAGTTTTCCTTTGTAGGGATTTTTCGTTGTTGAAAACTCTAGTGGTATAGCATAGAAATGTTGTCCCTTGAAAAGCTCTTGGTGCTCTAATGTTAAAACTGCATGACCATCCATCGTTTCAAAGCTGGCTGCATTCAGGTTAAACGAGACATCTGCAAACTCACCAATGACAACAACAAAAAAGATGTTGTATTGCCCTTTAGGTGGCAGAACCTGGGTCGGTCGGTCGGATATCCTTTTTTTTAAATACTCCCCCCCCCCCCCCCCCTGAAACAACGACCGTCGCCCCCAAAAACTCAAAAATCGGGAATGTCGCCTAAATCTTGCCGGTTTCTAGCTGGTGCAGTGTATTAAAGAATAAATTATTATTAAAGTTATTTATTTTTATGTAACATACTTATTTTTCCATGCAAGATTGTTATAGCTGAAGCCAAAGAACTGGACTTGACACTATGTAGAATGTGCAGATTTCTTATGGATTATTCATTATTGTTATCAAAATCATTAAAATTATTAACAAATAAATTAGTAGTAGTAGTAATATTATTAAATCAATACCTTTGACTAATTTTATTTTTTTATGTTAATATCCTTATTTTTCCTTGCCAGATTGTTATAGCTGAAGCCAAAGAACTGGACTTGACACTATGTAGAATGTGCAGATTTCTTATGGATTATTCATTATTGTTATCAAAATCATTAAAATTATTAACAAATAAATTAGTAGTAGTAGTAATATTATTAAATCAATACCTTTGACTAATTTTATTTTTTTATGTTAATATCCTTATTTTTCCTTGCCAGATTGTGATAACTGAGGCCAAAGAACTGGACTTGCCACTTGTTATTGATGCAGTAAGTAACACTTTGAAATGCAGTGCTCCTATGAAGCAAAATGAATATTAACAATATTTAGATATCACATGTAGTTAAAAGTATTATGATTTTTTTTTTTTGGGGGGGGGGGGGAGGGGGAGGGGGAGGGGAGATAAGATATATGGCTTTTTATATACCACCGTTTTGATAAAAATGTAGGTTGCCCAAAATTGTAGAGATTAGGGAGCTTGGGAAAGTGAAATAGGATAACAAGAGATAAAGGGATTTAAAGCCCCTCTGAAGTGTTGGGAACTCCAAAAATTTGATGGCAAAATTTCACTTAAAATGTATCGTAACTTGAAAGCCATTAAGACACATTTCTGCAAGGATTTTCAAAACGAATGTGAAATTTTACCATCAAATTTTTGGCGAATTTAGGGCTCCCAACATTAAAAGGGGCCTTTGCAGATGTATTTTCATTGCATGATATTTGATATCAAGATCCTCCATTCATTGTTCTATCTTTCTTTCAGGATGGGGTATTTCTCCTGACCCAAGCACCAGACTTGATCCGTGACTACAGACAAGCCATCCTGACTCCTAATGTGGTGGAATTCAAACATCTCTTCAAGAGTGTGGTGAGTTTGTCAATTAATGCAGACTCCAAATGTGGTGTATTTTAAGTGCACATACACAGTGTGAGAGGTTTGTCTATGCTTAGTCTGCATGTAGAATACATTCTAAAGATAAAGACCAGTTCTGGTCATGCAATTGCATTGTGAAGAAACGATGTGGAATCGATCAGAAAAGGTTGATCATCTAGCATAAAAGTATTGGGTGTGTACTGCAAGGTTCTGGAATCATCAAAATGATAAGAAATTTGGCCCAGTCTTGGTAAAGTTACAAGCACTGTACACAGAAAGCTGTTTATGGGACTACGCGATATCTATCCAGTCCTGATAGATATAATAATTTACCAAATATATCAATTAGTAGGCGGTTTCCCGGCAAAATTTGTATCATCACGTATAAGTCAAAACGTATTCTTTCACATGATTGGTAATAAGACCTTCCATTTTATTTTTTGAGAGGGGGGAGGGGGTGTTTGCAAAACTGGTCTATACCTTTAAGATGTGATAGTATAGTATTAATGACTGCTTTGAGAGAAATATTTGTTTTTAATACGCTCAAGGGAAGGTTAGAATTGTGCTATTGCCCGAGGCGTGCCAAGGGCAATAGCCCAATTGTAACCTTCCCGAGAGCGTATAAAAACAACTATTTCTTGAATATTAAAGCAGTCATTAATACTTTTATATGCCGAAAACGAAAGAGTCAACTAATGACACCACCTTGGCCTTTCTCTAGTTTATCTGCACGGTTGTTTTTTATGAGTGTATCTTTGAGAGTAGACTAGATCTAGATTCTATTAGTCTAATTAAGCAAGATATTTTTACAATTTTGGGGGTGGGCCGGCCCTGTGGGTAATATGGAGAAGAACCTGCGCTTTCATATGACACCTCACTTATTGAGTATCACCTTCAGGATCACAACAGATAAAGGTTTGAATCTCAAATTGAAAAAAAAAACTTACTTTTTTTGCATGGTCGCGCAATGCACGCAGACTGCATAGAGACTGCATTGCGTGCAATCTCTATGGGAAGAATAACACACAACATCGGGTGCGCGATCAGATCTATTTTCGTCTACGTCTATGCTTTTTCAGCAACTAAACGAACATGTTTATGGATAATTTCACGTACCCTTTTTGTTGTTCTTGCTGTCAGCGAGTCTTGCATTTGTTAAGTTGAAATCTTGGGAGAGTTTTTTTAGCCATTTTTGTCTTGTTTGGAATTGTCGTCTTGTATGAAAATACCGACCAATTCTTCGCACACGTACGGTATCCTCGATCGCTCAAACCATTTCTAACATGTAAACCTATGGGTAACCATGGTTACTGGGATTTTAGAACTATTTTTTAAAACTATTACATGGGTTTGGAATTTTACGGGGAATTTTACAGGAATAGTTAAAGTTTATGAATGCAATTTTGACCAATCAGATGGCTGGATTTCTTAAGTGAGGTATATAATTTTTTTTAATTTGTGCTGGATGAAATTATCTTTATCTGATTTTGTCTCAAGTTCATATGCTTCCCAAAGAATGCAGTAAAATTGGCAAATTTATCAACCTATCCTCGGTACGTCTGAATATGGTGTTCTCATATTTTGAAAAGAGTGTTATTATTTGTTGATCTGGAACTAAGTAGATCTCTTTTTCATGTGACTGTGTCATGTGATTTAATCAAACCTGAAATATTGAATGTACGTGTATGCTTCATACATGTACGTTGTATTACTGGCAGGGTCAGATGTTAACCCTGCCGAACCTCACGCTGATGTCATGGAATCAAGCAGATGTCTTGGTCATGTGACTGGACCATGCGACTATCATGAGATTCAGTCATATTTCTCATAGTGATGATACGTTATGTTTTATACAACACCTAAGTAGATCCTTGTCATTTGATTAGAGGATTGTTGGTCACATGATATTAAATAGATATACTATTGCACAGGCGTGCATTTTTGGTTAAATGCAGACTGCGTACCTCTCTGCCCTGCGCGTACGTGAAGGCGATCTGAATGTAATCGGGAAGGCCCGATCTTTAGCTTTAATATAAGGAGCAAAGCATAATATATTGAATGATTAACGTTCTGACTATTAGATCTACTTCAGTGTTGTATACCGGTAAAACAAATAATGAATTTTTTTCAGTCGTTTAAAGATTCAATATTATTTGTATAATATTACAGGTTGGATCAGATGTTAACCCAGCTGAACCTCAAACTGATGTCATGGAACTAAGCAGATCTTTGGGTCATGTGACAGTGTGCATGAAAGGAGCGAATGACATCATTTCAGATGGACACAATGGTATGTTCAAGTAAATGTACGGCCTTTTGCCATTTAAGGTTGGAACAAAGCCATTGATTTCAATGCCACTCACATGCAAGTTAGCAGGCAACTGTTTCCAGGAGAACCATCAAATTGATTGTAACCAGTTTAGTCTTTAGTTTTGAGTACCGTAGTATATACTTTAGGGAGATGCGAGTTGGTCTAGTGGTACATTCACTTGGTCAAACTGGCTCAGGCAAACAGTGGTTCGAAACTTACATAAATAATCAAGTCTGATTGATACACGTCTGTAAAAACCCATTGCACACACACACACACACACACACACACTCACACTCTTCTATTCATATGTTTTCTTTAATGTACATTGTGGGAAATCATATTAAATCAAAATAGCATCTATGAGACATTCAGGTATTTACAATCCCAAATTAATACAAATTCTGAAGCAAGCTGAATAGTTTTGTCAGCCTTGCTCCGTCAAGACTGTATATATTTGTGATGTGCATAAAATGTAGATTGAAGTACAGATGAGATGATTTCAGGTGTGAAAAGATACTAAAAGGCTCATAACTGATCACAATTCTCTATCCATCTCAATAGTCCTGGTATGCTGTGGAGAAGGTAGCCCCAGGAGATGCGGTGGGCAGGGAGACATTCTAGCAGGAACCATGGGCGTGTTCACGTTCTGGGCCCATCAAGCTGTTCTGCATAGAGCCAACATCAAGAAGTAAGTTTGAACACAAACCTCCAAGATGATATTAGTTTGGGTAAGAACTTAGTTGTTAAGGTAGGGAGAAATCTTCTCAGGAACAATGGGTGCATTCACATTCTAGGCTTATCAAGCTGTCCTGCATAGAGCCAACATCAAGAAGTAAGTTGTGTGGTTGTAAGTTTGACCGTAAAAAACCTCCAAGATGTTATTAGTTTGGGTAAAAACTCAGTTGTTAAGGGACTTTTTAGCAGGAACCATGGGTGCTTTCACATTCTAGGCTTATCAAGCATGCTAACACAAAGCAAACATTAAGAAAAGAACATAGTTAGTTGAGGTCTTTATCATTTCCTCTTTTTGTCATAATTATCTCCTCTCCCTCTTTCCTTACAATATCTTCTCTCTCTGCATGCCTTGTTCCCCATCCGTCTCTCTTTCTCTATATCTCTCCCAAATTTTCCTCTCCTGACATTGCTCGTGTTCTCTCCTTGTCATCTTTCTCCAACTTATTCTTTCTGTATGTTTATAGTGTTCTTTGTCTCGTCTGTGTATATCTTGTGACTGTCATTTATTATGCATTATGCCAGTAGTCAATCTGTCATGCAAACGTACAAAAAAAATCTTGGACAATTCTATTATATTTGTCTTGCATATACTTTGCAGTTTGCAACTTTTACATTTACATTTATCTTTATATTTGTAATTTTGATCACTATCACTTGGTGTTCATTTCCTTTCAGTGAATACCTGAAGATCTTTGGCCCAACCTTGTGCGCAGCATACGGTGCTTGCCTTCTAACCAAGAGGTGTTCGAGTCGGGCCTTTGAGAAGAACGGAAGAGGGATGACCACGACCGAGATGCTACCGGAAATACAGCCAGTGTTCGCAAATCTATACGAGACCTCGGAGTGAATGGTTTATATGTCTGGAAATGGTAATTATTTTGTTTTGTTTGTAGGGATAAAGCACTCCTGCATTTGGATTGTTTTACTCCCCTCCCTCTTTTTCTCAGTCTCTCCCTTACCTGCTCTCATTCTTTCACGTTCCATCTCTTGCTCATGTATTTGCAATGAGTAATTCATTTATTGTACATTTTTTCAATATATATATCAATTCTTATATTGCTTTTACATGCCAGCATTGGTGTCAATATATGATTCACAAAAATAAAGAAATATTCTCCCTCAATGATGCATATACAAAGCTACAGTACAATTTATATGTTGCCTAAGACGTGGATACCAAATGAAAGTGAAACATAAGATCACAATCATTTTTTTTTTTTGGGGGGGGGGGGGGGCTAGTTATTGGGTTGTTCACTTAAAGTGCCTGTTCAAAGAAAAACACAAATGTGGCAAATAACGTATCACTAGAAAGTGGTAAGCTAACAGAAGGCCATCGTACAAGTTTTAGGTCAACTACAAATCGGGTGATTATCTGGGATATTAGAGATTTGCCAGGAAAATAATGATGTTTTAATGATGTCACAACGTGAACCAATATCCCATAAAGAATGAACACAAATGTGATGGAATTTTACACCATTCAAGAAGGGATATGAAACAAATATAATGGTATTTTACTTTGTGTACAAGCGACGGATTCCTTTATTTTTTTAATCGCTGCATATTTCATTAAAACAATACCATGCGTGGGGTTTAGAGTGAGGCAATTTAGCATGACGGTAGTGAAGTAAGAGAAATAACTGAAGAGAAGATGACAAAGCAGACATTGTAAATGTGTGAGATGTCATGGGACATCATCTGCTTGTGCAAATCATGTTCAGCATGTGACATCACAAATCTCAGCAGCGTTTTGTAATTAATTATAATTACTTTGAATGTTTCGAAACATCGAATTTTGATAAGTTTGTCCATTCAAAGTTTCACCTTTGCAATAATGACAATAAATTTTTTTTAATCAATGAACCTTTAGCTATAAACTATATTTAATTTTTCTGGCCATCACCTATCTCCAGATCTCTTAATGGACTTCTCCACATTCGATGAACTGCTCAAGGTTCCATCATCCTCTGTCTTGCAAATGCGTCTGGTGGTCCATTTGCTAATTGTCCTGCAGATACTTAGGAGGTCAATTGTCCAGCAGATGGTCTAGAGGCCAAATTCATCCATTGCCCAAGAGATGTAGATGGTCTGGAGGCCAATTGTTCATTGTCCAGTGGTCACCTCTTGAGAACGGAGATGAACGCATCCTTGGGTACTTCTACATTGCCAAACTTCTTCATTCTCTTCTTCCCTTCAGCCTGACGGCGTAGGAGCTTCATCTTCCTTGTGATGTCACCACCATACTGAAATAGCACAATGTCAGAAGAACTCAAGGTTATAATTGAAAAATATACAACTTTAAAAAATGAAAGGGAATAAATAGTACTCCTTTAAAATTATGATGCCCCATTTATCCCACTTTTTGTAAATGATAATTTGTTTACCGTAAATTTTGGGGGCCAAGAAAGGAAAAAAAACAAAATTGCCCGACTCCGTAGCCAGAAAGCCAGGTCCGTGTTAAAAAACCCACGCGGGAAAGGACCTTCATTTTACTGCGAGGTGTAGTTGGAGGTGCCACATATAATAGTAACAATGAAGTTAGCAGAATATGAACATTTTAATGTTCATTATTCTGATAATTAGTTTTTAAAACTCAAGATGACAGGCAAATTTTCCTATAAGTCCAAACAGAAATCCGGACATTCAGGTAGTGTTGTTCTAGTTTCCAAGTGGTATGACTGAGCTGGGGGACATTGCCAGGCACCCGTGTATAAGACGCACCCCCAACTTTCAAAAAAAAATTGACGGGGAAAAAGTGCGTCTTATACACAGAGATTCTTTATTGTATAGAGGGATTTTTATATAATTTGCAAATCTTTGTGTAACATATGATTAAACTATGTATTTTTTTTATATTACACACACAAAGGAGAAGTGTGATTATTGTGTACATACTTGTTTTATTATGTGTCATTTTTACAAAGGTTTGTTACAATCTACTACACTTAATGAAATATATTTCTTTGCATTTAAACATTTGCTTTAAATGAATGAAATAAAAACAGAAATGATTCACATTATATGAAGGAGTGGCTTTAAATACATGTATGTGTCATTGTCACAAAGGAGCTTCAACTTAATCGATGGTTTAAAAATGTGGGTTAAATTTAAACCTCCTTTGTGAATTTGGACCATAAGGTTTATCTTTTATTACTCTGATTAATATGGTATTTCTGCTTGATGCGAGTTGGCTCTTCAAGAAATAAGGCTATATGTATTCAGGAACATATTCCTTGTGTTTAGTCATCTACCTCGTGTTTGGTTGTGTCAGATCTGAATACATCAACATTTACCACTAAATGAGTCGGGAGTGGAATACAACATCCTTTTCCCTGTACAGTTGCGATGATTGCTTGATTTCTTTTATTCATATTAATCCCTCCAAAATATACAAATCATACATTGCACCTTGCCCCGACGCAATGCAAATTAATTAAATGAGATTGAAGGATTTCATTTTCATGAAAAATAAGTTTAATAAGTTATGTAATTGGTCTTTCGGAGGATAGAAAGTCATTAAATATATGAATGTTCATCATGTACCTAATTGTTCAATTGCCAATATTACACTGAAATAATGCTTGAGACTATTGAGTAGTGTTCATAAAGATTGTTTATTTGTTCACTAGTGGTGTATTTGTACAAAGCATTTATTTGCTCTCTTGCTGTTTTTGATGCAAGGAGATATAAAGTTTGAAAATTATGCTATGTTTATGGGTTTAAATGTTAATAAAATTTGAAACCAACCAATGACACCTCTTCAATATTGTATCTCTTTCAGTAATGCATAGTCCTCATATTGATGTTTGATGTGCACAACTTACATCTCAAGTTACATGAAACCATAGCGTATTGACAGAGATAGTTGTGACACACACATACTTCAAATGAACATTTATTTTCTTCCAAACAATACAATTTATAAGTAGGAACAAACCGTATTTGCCGGCGTAAAGGCGGCAGTATTTTTGGAATAGAAAATATCAAAAAGTCGGGTGCGGCCTATGCGGCGAAAGAGTTAACAAAAAATAAATTTAAAAAAAGTAAGTCAAAACCAGCACAAATTTGCACATATGGGACTATAAACGGTACAATAACTATACCACTATGGTACAGGACATTTCCACACATCTTACCGACAATTTTATCTTGCATTGTTGACAATGCAAATACGGTAAATATAATTAAAGAACTTGTATTACAAGGAAGAAGGCGCGAAACCTGAAAAGCATAGCTTGTAGTGGGTACGCCCGAATACATAAATACAATTATACATTATAAATGGGAGAAAGGAAAAATGGGAGAAAGGAAGAAAGGGATAGGCAAAGAGGAGAGGAGGATAGAGAGCTTGGAGAAAGAGAAAAGAAGAGGATCAAAGGTCAATGCATAGAGCTCCAAATAGTTCCCTCCCATATACAATCTCTATTTGGAGCTTCGTGACATCACAACTATCTCTCTCAACATGCTATGCACCAAACCCTTTTCCATGCGCAGAGAGAAGAAGTGATAGGAACTCACACATTTGGCCAGCACATTTTTCCTGAGTGCCTTGACGTTCTCCCTGGCGATGATGCGGCTCCCTAGAGCGGCCTGTATGGCCACCTCGTACAGCTGCCTTGGGATGCTTTCCTTGAGTTTGTTGCATACTGCCTTGCCTGCTTCCCTGGCCTTGTCCTGGTGGACCACCGTGGCTAGCTCCTCCACCTCCCGGCCGTTGAGGATGATGCTTAGCTTGACCAGGTCGGCCTGCTGGTAGCCACAGTCCTCGTAGTCAAAACTGATTGGGAAGAAATGTGAGCTCTGGATGGATTATTTTGTGATTGACAACTACTTTTTGTGTGTCTAATGGGGCATTGCAAGAAAGTCGCAATCAATCTTGCAATTAATTGCAAATTTGCAATGCGCCATTAGTAAGAGAGAGAGAGAGGAGGGGGAGAATAAAAGCTAGATCTAGTTAACTTAATTGTTAAAACTTTAATCCTAACAAAAATCCTAGGAAATTTAGGAGACTAGTGGGGCGTTGCAAGAAAGTTGAGTTGCAATCGATTGCAAATATCAGTTGCAAATTTGGAACTTGTGTAATAAACACTGATGGGATTTACAGCATTTGTATGAAGACAAAAATGGAAAAAGGGAGTAGTAGAGGCAAATTCGATGTACAAGAAATTAACAGTGAAATCATATAAAGGATTTAGCACAGTATAAATGTGAGATGGATTTATACATCATGCAAGTGATTATACAGTCTTTCTTTTGAAATGCACTGAGTAAAGGAAGGGAAGTATGACAATATAGGTGAAGCTATACAGGGCAGCTGAAGAGAAGGGCTGAATTGCAAAATTTTCTTTACATGTCTTTTGGCTTGCTTAAGAAGGAAACCTACAAGAAACCAGGACAATACTAGTCCAAGGCACCCTACCTGGCATATCCTGATGATATTGACTTGAGTTCATCAAAGAAATTCACCACGATCTCATTAAGAGGCAGTCGGTACTTGAGTAACACTCGCTTGGTATCTATGTAGGTGTACTCTTCCTGCTCTCCACGCTTGCTCTATGGTGATTCAGAAAGGTGGACAAGATTCAGAAAGCATCACATCACAATAAGGATAAAACACCGTTAACAAAATGAGATGCATCATTCATTCTAATGTAGGTGAAATCACATCTTCAATTCATCATGGGTGTTGCAAGACAGTATCGATTGCAACTCAACTTTCTTGCAACACCCCACTAGTCTCCTAAATTTCCTAGGATTTTGTTAGGATTCAAGTCTTAATTAAGTTAACTAGTTCTAGCTTTTATTCTCCCCTCTCTCTCTCTCTTACTAATAGGGCATTTTGTTATATGCTAGTGAAATCCTTGCTTCTGATTGGTTGTCAGCAGATTTACCACTGATTTTTGTTATTTGTCATTGAGAAAAGGCTTTGTGAAACGGGTCCCTGTACTTAAAATTTTGTTAAGGTAACTTACCAGACAGAGGCTAAGAATCTTGCTGATGTGTTCATCTGGTACAATGATGGTTCCTATGATCATAGGTTCAAGGTATTCCACAACTCTCTGTGCATCGGGAAACTGTGAGTGAATTACAGAACATTTGTACAGCTTGTATACAACATCGATAAATTTAATTATGAATATTCTGTATGTTTTTCATTTTTGCATGCTGCATATCATCACAGATCTAAATGAAAAAATAGCTTTGAACACTAAGAAGATCAAGGTTGTAATCTTGTTGAACCCTTTCTGTGCCATCAGGTTTTCCAACAATTGTAAAAAGAGAATGTTAAAGTGTCATTGTTATGAGTTTAAATTCATTATCTCATCGGATAGTATAATTTGCTTTTAAATATTTTCCAAGGAATTAACCTCCACAGTGTGTGTACATGTTTCTTTATCAGAAATGAATTGATCCAGAGTTGCCAACCTTGTGCGACCAAAAAAAGGAATCATGATGGCAAAAAAAAGGACTTCATAAAAACGAAAGTTACAACCACGCGCGACACACTTCCAATGCAGAAATGTTCATTCATCATGCTGTTTTTTCCATACAAGGAGGAATTTTTTTGGTGGTTATTTTGGTATTATCGGCATTTCATTCTTTTTGAGAATATTTTTCTTTTCAAGTATGTTTTAAATTTAGTTTTCTATTGAATTTGTGATCAAATCACCATTTTAGGGCAGTTGTTTGACATGCGGTATGTAAAAAAAAAAAAAAAAAAAAAAAAAAAAAAAAATTTAAAAATTAAAAAACGTATTTTATGAAGAAAAAACGTAATGCCGTAATTTGGAGGGAAAAACGGAGTAATTCCGGCAAAAACGGAATGGTTGGCAGCTCTGTTGATCTATTCCAAACTTACAACTGAGCAATGGCATTTGCAGGCAAGATTTACTATCCCTGACACTCAAATTCTAGGAAGTCGAGGAAGTGTGTGTCATAAAATGTTCAACTTTTTTTCCCCATCATTTATTCATTGAATATTATGTTAAAATTTTTTTTAAATGTAATTAATTTTGTGAAATTTTCAACTTACGACTGAGGGATTATAGACGGTGATCTCCGGATCATCACCGTACTCTTGTCTGATAGCCTTGGTGTCTTTGAGTATTGCCTTGAAAGGGACACTGGGAACGGTGACGATGACGTTGGCATTGTGTTCCTGTTCCAGACGCTGGTTGAAGACTTCCATGTGGAGCAGGCCTAGGAAACCTAGCCTCCAACCCTGACCTAAAGCAGGACTAAAATAATGACATCATGTGAATTGAATTGAATTGCCATTTATTGTCCTTTTCAGAAAATTCTTTTTTCACTGGTTTTACAGCCATTGTATACATCTACATAATACAAGAAGAAATACATGATACAATAATAGCACATGTACATCGTCACAAACATAATAACATTCTGAAAATGATTGTTACATTGGAAACGGAACATATACACATTGATTGCAATATAATCATAAACTGCATCTATGTTACTATTTCAAGTGAAAATTTGTGTTTATTTGAAAATGTAGAAAAGTTTAGTATTATGAGCAGGGTTTTTTGACACACGCTTCTGTAACAATTCCTGTTCGGTAATTTCCTACTCTTAATCTAATTCCTAACTTCAATCCTGGACGTAGCACTATACTTAACCTTGACCCTTACCCTTAACCAAACCAAACCTAAAACCCAACTGCAACCCTTAGCCTAAATCTATACTTCTGACAATATAAAACCTGGAGCAATTGCCACCAGAGCTCCGAAGTCAGTCTACTCATTTCTCATTTCAAGTGTCAATAGAATATACACAGAAGATACACATTTACTTTTTAATAACATGAATACATCGAACAGAAGAAGCAGAAGGTAGCAGCAAGTTCACGACAGACGGAAGTCTGAGGAAAATACATATTACATATTCACACAAGGACAGACAGAGAACAATGAGATAAAGAGGGCATAAGAGATAGAACAGGAGAGTAAAAGAGACATGCACCAAAGGGGGTATAGCCTGAGAAAGAGAACAAAACTAAGATAGAGAAATAGAAAAGGAGGAACTTACCTACTATCTCTGCTCACAGAAACGCTGCTATCATTGAGAGTTAGTTTATCTAGAGCAGACCGCAAGGCAAGATACTCGGATTGATCGATTGGATAGAGACCAGCAAATACCTGTTAAAAATCATGAAGGGAAAAAAAGGCAACAGTGTCTCGTGAATCAGATATAAAAAAGTAATAGATATCACATATAAATATTATGAATATTTAATCAAGGGATGTTATTGAAACTGACTAAGATAAAGTGTTTTCTCAAGAATGTTTGAATTCGAAGTAATAATGCTCGTTTGTTTATTTTATTTTAGCATGGTGGCATACATCAGCCAATGGCTGTTCTTCAGCATGGCCATGCATATAAAAAGCAATCACAATTTTTTTTTCTTTTTCAACTATTACAGCTGGCCTATTCAATTAACTTTCACAATAACTCATTCATATTGAAGAGAAGAAAAAAAACTTTCACAATAACTTCCAAATATTTTGCTGGCTAGTCTGATATTCTTTACCTCTTCATGTAAACCTAAATATTGTTGCATGTCATGCATATATTTTGAATGATTGACAACATTCCTTTTTGGGCATATATATTCATTGTTACCAAAGTCCGTTTTGGTCAATAGACAATCACCTGGTTTCCAGACCACATTATCTAGAGAGGATTTTCCCTAAGCTTCATTTTCTTGTACAACCTCTTCAGAGTGTCGTGTTTTTAGAAGTTAGTCACCTGTACATAAAGACCCCCTATCATAAAGATCACAAATTTTGTTCCCTTTGACTGGTCTCTATTAAATAAAAGTTTGACTGAATGATCTTAAAAGAGGTGTAGCTGACATACATACCATGGGTCGAGCTGGTTTGAATCCTGGCAGAGGTTCTACAGGGCTGTTTGGATGGTAGTACGTGTCTCCCATGTGAGCTTCTTTGATGTTGTATATCCCTGGTACTACGTACCCAACCTGCCCTGCATACCTGAAATCATAAAAGGAAAAATAGTGATATTGGTAATGACAGATTTAGTAGGGTAATAACAGTGAAAGTATGTATTGCAAGTGATGGCAGTAGTGTGTCTGTGTGTGAGGGGGGAGGGGGTTAGGACCCACCTAAAAAATTAGAAAACTTAATTTCCTTTCTGGTATTTCAACATCTTGGCACAATGGATATGGTAAACGTATTAACATCAGAATGGCAGATGGGATGAGGGAGGGAATCCTGACCTCTTTACATGAGTAACTCCATACAAGATGCTATATTCATATCTTGCAAAGATCCCCCCACCCCCAATGGCTTCTAAGGCATACTCACAGTTCATTGGTAGGGGTTGGCTCTGGGTGCATCACCCCCACCTCGTGGATCTCAAAGGTCTTCTCAGAGTGTGCTGACATGACCCTATCACCTTTCCTGATGACCCCATCCACCAGGGCAAAGTTGATGAACGCACCCCTGTACTGGTTGTACCAGGAGTCTAGTAGGAGCCCTTTCATTGCTCTGTCGGAGGAGGATGGTGGGCTGTTAAAAGGAAAAGAATTTCAGCTTTACCTCCTATTACTGGCAATATTTTTACTTTTTAAAAGAATAATATCATCTATATGGCTGGAATGTGATTTAAAAAAGTATTCATCTTTATATGTACAAATGGAAGGAAAAAAATGCATGAAATACTCAGGAAGAATATAAAAGTTGAGTATCTTCATCACAGCTTTTGAATATTGTATCTTGGTATTAAAGTTATGTGATCATGTCTAATTATGATTAGATCTGATACATTATAGAAGTTGTAATGAAGAGTTTGCTTTATTTGACAAGTTAGAAATAAACAATTAAAACTAGGTCCAAAGGAAACACAGAAGAATTCCTAAATCACAAATAATGGCAAACAAAATGTAGTCACATCTATAGAAAGAAATAAAGCATTTTTGTAATTACTAGGAGGCGCCTTAATTAAACTCCATAAAAAACATGGGAATAATGTGATGTTTGAAAAGTGAAAGTAAACTGAATTTTACAATGCAATAAGATTATCTTGAAGAAATCAACTTACGGAGGAATCCTTTCAATGACTGTAGGTAGTACATCGTCCACTCCTGTTCCGGCTTTAGCTGAAATCTTTAAGACTTCATCTTCTTTGATGTCAAAGAGTGTGTCCAGCTGCTTGGAGACTCCTTCCGGGTCAGCCAGTTTGAGGTCGATCTGCATTCACACATTGCAAGATTACATTTTTACTACGATTGCATCAAAATGCCTGACTCAAATCTTTGTAAACTCTATCCTAAATGTCAATTTTAGTGAAAACATTTCACACCATCAAGGCAAAAAGTTTTATCCAGGGGAAATGTAAGATTAAAGGGTTTCTGATAATCTCATTTCGATTTTCAACGGCTCAATCGATTCTTTTTCTCAATCATAAAAAATAAAGAAAATAGTGATATATATAGTGTAAGATTAAGTGTGATTAAGGAAAAATGTAACCTACTAAAAAGTTCGCTAAAAACTTGTATTTAACCCGTCTGCACTAGTTTGGCCAGCAGGGATTAGACCTCCCTGCAAGGTGACTGGCAGGTGGTTACCTCATCAAATCAGCTCTCAATTAACATGAGAAAAAGGGCATCATGGGGGATCAACGAGTAGCGCTTAGGAATTGTTGGCTGTATAGAGAGTGCAAGTAGTTATAAGTAGTGCTGTGGGGCTTTAAAGAAGTAGTCCCAAAAGTATACACAATACATAAAAGTCAAATACATTACAGAATAAGAACAACAATACCTTGTTGATAACAGGGATAATAGTCAGGTCAGACTCAAAGGCCAGGTAGAAGTTTGCCACAGTCTGTGCCTGGACTCCTTGGTTAGCGTCCACTAATAGTAAGACCCCTTGGCAGGCTGCTAAGGAACGTGATACCTCGTAGTTGAAGTCTACATGACCCTGTATAGAACAAACAATAATGATAATATTTAATCTGTAGTGCATCAAGATTAACCTGGTTTTAACTCCCCATCCCAGCAACCATTACACTACATCATTTTAAAGCAAGTTCTACCACATAAAGAAGATAAAGGTCTTCTCTCATTACAAGCACTGGGCAGAGATTCAAACCCTGAACATCTTCTTGAAGAGTCAAATGAATGAACCACTATGCTATGGTAATTTTACCATAGTACATAGGGCTTTGTATTTAAGAAGCGCATTAAGAGGGCCTGGGATCCTGAAATGCACTATATAAGGACAAACTATTATTATTATTAATGCAGTTTCTAAGTAAATATACTCAACTGTGTCCTAGCTTTTTAGCAGAGCTGCCAAGGTGTTGAATAATTACAGGAATTTCTCACTCCCATTCACTACACCCAAGTAAAGAGTGGCAAATGTAAATTGATGTCCTACCAAAGGCCATTTGATAATGCCCAGGTGGTACTAGAACCCTCAACCTGTTTAACTTTCCAATATGACCTCCTAAAACACCACTTGCACAGGTAAAATGAGCCATGCTGTAGAACTGTAAAAAGTGAATGGAGTGATGAAATGACTAGAGGGAACATTAAAAAAAATTGCTGTAATTTTTAAATCGATTTTGTAATCAATAGAACAAAGAGAACTTACAGGTGTATCAATAAGATTGAGCAAGTATTTCTGTCCCTTGTAATGATAAACCATGGACGCTGTCTGTGCCTTCACAGTGATACCTCTCTCACGCTCCACTTGAAGTTTGTCAAGAACTTGTTTGTTGTCCGTCTTTCTTGAAATTGTACCTGTTAAATATACAACATGATCAATCGTGGATATGGCATATAGACAATGGCTCTACATACATCTAAATCTAATACCGTTAGTAGTGTAGGAGCTATGTTTAGCTAAGTATGTAGGTTCAATCCAATATAGAACAATTAGGTAGGTGTTACTCGGTTGAAGTCTTGTGCTCATCTGCCCTGCGCTTTGCACAACCCCAATTTATTATTTATCATCTAATTTGCACATCCGCATATTCAATTTATACAACATAAATATTCAAATCAACTTTGAAATAACAATGACCGAGTATTACATATTCATAAGGAAAGGTCCACTGACATTTAAGAGTGTACAACATTAATATTCGATAGCTAAATCAACCAATGGGGTAGAAGGATCGTATGCAAATACATGTGAGGTGAAGCATAGTGAGAAGGTATTCTATAACAAAGAGAAGGATCAACATAGGAATGTAAAGTATGAAGGCGGAATGATGATAACAAAAGTAAGAGGGAGCAATGTTAATGAGAGTAATTCTGAGAGGCTATGGTACAGGTGGAACTGAGGTTACAGAGGTGAACACTGGCTTGGAGAAAAGTAAACAAATTAAAGATCATGAACCCTGATTCATGCATGCAAATAGAATCTAATTAAGTACAAAATAGTTCACCACAGTAGGATAATCAAAATGCTAATAAAACTACCTATTTCATATTTCCTGTGATGCAAATTGATGCTAAATTTTAATTAGAATCTTAACCAAATATAAAAATCTAAACTGAGCCAAGTGTTTTTTCCCCTTTTATGAGTGATATGATATTTATTAATATCATCTCTCACATATATTTCATTATACATATATTTAATAAAAGTCGTAGTCTACAAGACAACAAACGTATTGAATATTGGTAACTCACCGGTTAATTCCAAGAGTCTATCTGCTAGGGTACTCTTGCCATGATCCACATGAGCTATGATACTGAAATTCCTGATGTTCTCAACAGGGAACTGAGACATGTCTAGCTTGGTTCCATCCTGGTATCGACAGAAACACGTTGATTAAATAAATCTTTTTGAATAAGAAGGAAGAAGACGTCGCCTATTGACAGTAACAGTTTAAAATAAGGCTGCAGGAATTTCAACATGGAGTTCAATTTTGACAAAGAAAATTCAGGAAAAAGACCCTCAAACGCATCATAATACTGTCAAGCTGGTAAGTGGAACCGATGTACGGATTATAGCCTTCTAGCCTGTCTGGTTTGGGTCATTCTTAAATAAAACTGACATTTGTCACGTATAGAAGCAGTCAGAGTGCAGAGGAGCCAGATGTAAACTTAGCGGAACAACCGTTGACATCAGAGACTGAAGCTTTCGGTCTAAGCCGAGTCCTAATATTTGAGTTTAAATGCATCAGTGCATTGGAAATGCATCCGCTAAAATTATATTTTAGTCCAGTTTGGTGGCACCAAACTTCTGACAACTATGGCCAGTTTCTGTCTCTAAAGAGAGAAGCCGACCCTAACCAAATAGGAGGCTAATTAATTAATCTACTTCTAACAACTAACGGAGATCATTCATGTTTGTAAGCATTCTACTTCTACTTGAACTTCTAAACTTTTAGGAATGTTGTTACCAGATCTAGATCTACATGATCTAGGTCTAGGACTCTACCGTTTATTTTTCTTGTTTGGGGTTTTCGAGGAGAATAAATACTCAATCTTCATGTTTAAAAAGTAAATGGACTTCATTCAGTTGTATGATCATTTGCCTGTATAGTTTATAGTGGGGAAAACTACGAGACGAACCTGCGTCTTTAGCTTTGTCGGTGATTTGCCGCTGCCATCCGTCGGTTCTCCCCCGGCAGACCTGCCGGAGGTTAAGGGTAGCGAGGTGTTCAGTGACCGCCTAACAGATCGGGCGAGTCTGAGCTTATTAGGGAAATTCCTCCATGTAAAATGAGTTGTTTGACAAGTATGACACATATACTTCATAAATATGCTGGATTTATACATAGCTGTCGCCGTTTTGTCTTCGACAGGATAAAAACATCAATTCAATCACGTCGTCTGCATTTCTGTCTCTCTCATTAACGCATGTGTATAAAAGAAGTGCGCATCTCCAGCACATGATACTTCGATACAATAGCGCGAAAAAAAGAAAGATAAACAAGAGTGATAAACAAGAGTGATAACATTAATTTTAAATTCGTCTAATTTCGAATCGTATTCTGCAAAAAAAATACAAACATTTTTCACTCTCGTGAGTGATAAAAGTTTGAAGACTTAATAAATGAGTATTAAAACCCGTGTGAATAATCCTGATAGAATGTATATTTGGTAAAAATGAAGTCATATTTTGTTGCCAGTTATATGCCCATGAATATGATAATCTGCAAAAAGCATGCACTCTAGAAATGAAAGAGACTGACTATGGAAGTATTAAAGGTAAAGACCAGTATTGGAAACGCCCCCCTCTCAAAAAATGAAATGGAAACTCTCATTACCAATCATGTGAAAGAATATGTTTTGACTAATACATGATGATAAAAAATTTGCCGGGAAACCGCCTATCTCTCATGGTCTGTGAGAGATATAGGGTAGTCCCATATACATCTTTCTGCGTATAGTGCTTGTAACTTTACGAAGAATGGGCCAAATTTCTTATCATTTTGATGATTCCAGAACCTTGCAGATGCTAGATGCTAGATGATCAACCTTTATCTGATCGATTCCACAACGTTTCTTTCACAATGCAATCGCATGACCATAACTGGTCTTTACCTTTAAGGATGTGAAAGTTTTCCGTTCAAGTTCCTATTACAAGAGGACACACATGGAATAAATCCTTTATATTTATCTGTTTGAACATTTTTATGGACTTTTCTATAAACTGATGTTAATGTTTTAAATAGAAAAGATATAAGTTACCAGCTTATAATTCAGTAGAAGCTGGTATTTATTTGGTTTAAAAGAGAGAGAGCAGAAGATGAAGAGAGGGGAGGGGAGAGGAAAGAGGGGGGTGGAGGGGAAAAGAGAGGACCGAGAGAGAGAACGAGAGACAGGGAGGGGGAGAGGGAGGGAATTCTGAAAAGGGTTTGCTGGTCAGGAAGTCAGAGTGCATAAATATGTTTTGCACTTCACGAGTGTAAATATTATAGGGTTGTCTTATTTCTCTTTTATGATATTGTGATGTGGGTGTCTTTTTAATATTTTGTAGTTTCTTTAAACTTCTAGAAACTTGAAATAATTAAATTAGACTGTGATACATCATGCAGGCTAGTATTTCTCTTTCCCCCGTTATCTTTGGAAATCCAAAAGGGACTATACCCCTACAATCATTATTGACAAATGCCTTTGGACACTTGGGTGATCATCTTATGTATCATATATCATTAAGGCTTACCTATATACTTTTTTTTTTTTTTTACAGTTTTCAATAATTTTCCAACTTCTTGATGGGATTTAGAACTGAAGTGAGACCTATGGACCACCAGCTTCTACACAAACAGATCCCAGATGTGTTAAATGCATGGAACATGATTTGTGCTTGTTAAATCTATCATATATTTTATGTGGGAGTAGCCGGAAATGAGATGGAGGATGAGGAGGGGTGCAGTTGATTTCATTTCAAATGATGATAACTTTTAATCTACATTAAATCTCCTTTTTTGTGTTAATTATAAATTGAGAATACTCCTGTATATTTGGATTTGAGTCACTATATAAATCACATTTGGATTTGAATTGAATTTGAATACTTCTATCAAACTGTATTAATATTAGTATATCACCCCCTGAACACCGTTCTCCTCTTTCTATATTCCAACAACGTCATCATACAACTCTCATATTGTCTGCTGTGAGCCAGAAGGGCATTGACTCATACTTTGAAATGGACTTAATGGTCCTTCCGATGGCTCATTATAATAACATGCGCACGCACAAAAAAAAGTTTATTCCATACAAGCAAACAAAACCCCAAAATAGACACATTCCTTTGTTCAAAAGGGCTTCATTATTACTTTTATTGAGGAAAAATCTGAGTTTGGCATGAATATAATGCACATATATATTCTTTAGCTATTTACATCGTAATAAAGACAAGATTACATATAGATTAGCACAAAACTTTCAACATATACACCGCCTATGATCCATACCTACATACACATAACAACTCTCAAAATAATGTCTGTCACACTTAAAAATACAGGTGTACCAAGTTCACAATTTCTGTGAACTTGTTCCAGTTCAATCTATAATTAGGTGAGATCAACACAAAGTATTTGCATGGAGTGTAGAAACAGAGTCATTATTACCCCAAAGCTATTTAACCAATTAGCACTGAAAAATAAAACAAAACCTATAAGTGTTTATTTCACATCAATGAGAACGAATATCAATATCTACTTTCTTTAATTTGCTGTAACCCAACTATTTAAAAAAGAGTCTATATACTTCCAAAATCAAAACTATCTCAGTGTTTCAATTATGGAAATAAAATTTGCAAATCATTACGTTTCTTCATTTCCATTTGTCAATTTTCAATCAATTACAGTTACTGGGATTTTAAAATCATTTAAGTATGAATAAATCCATTCCAAAAGGTTTTTCAATGAAAGTAAATTCTAGTTGGTGAGATATGAAAAGGTAAAATTGGGGTTAACAATTGGGGGAAACAATTTAATGTGGCAAGTAACATACTTCAAGAGGTCCAATATTATTTACTAAAATAATTCTCGTTAAGATTCATAGGAAATTCGGGCTCTTTTCAATTCAGTATTAATACTTTATAAAGATGCAATTCAGATGTCAAGAGTATGTTACTAAATCCATTACTACAATCTTCTTAGTGTAATACAACTCAATGCCAATCAGTCATTGCAATTAATCAACAACAAAAATTAAAATCATTCACAATCTTTCCAGTTGGACACCAGGATATACATGTACCATTCAAACTTACAGAACTCCCCTACATCTCTTAGAGACGATACCATAGACCTATCTAGTCTTGAATTGTACAAGCTTTTTACACAGTTTGGACGGATAAGTTTTGCATCTAAGTGACCCTACAGATGAACCCCACTACTCCACACAGAAAAGAAAGCGACATGTTAATCATGGGCGGTATTCCCAAAAAGAAGTAAACTTCTATGTTAACTTCTATGTCAAGTCCCAGAGTTAACATACCCATTACATACCTCTAAATCGGTATTCTGAAAACTGTGTTGAGGGTATGTAATCTTTTTTTTCCTTCAGGTTACGTCTCCGACACACCCATTTTTCACAATGCATCTTCCTGCCGAAAAAAGTCTGACTAAAACTAGTTTAGGATTTAATTAACATAGTTTTCAGAATACCACCCCACTTGTCCATTAAGTCCAGTGTCTGAAAGTGATGTTGATCAAAACTCATCACTGCCTCAGGAAAAAAATAAAATAAAACCACGAACATCTGAATATCATTCAAATAAAGGACCTTTTGCAGAATAATTAAAATCTCTGCAAACGGGGAAAACTTGTAACTCACTTCAAAAGTCGGTATCCTAGTTTTTATAAAAAAAGAAAAAATGAATTATCATAGCGACAGGAGCTCCTAATTTTACACCTTGGCAAACTTCAGAGAACAACGATTATTGCCTCGATAGATGTAATAAACAGAACTATCTAAATGCTGTCAAAATGGTCTCCTTCCAATCTGCAAGTATCATACTACATTACAAACACATCTGAAATTCTAATGCTGTATCATAAGAAACAGAGTCCCTGAAAATGACAGTTTACCAAAAAAAAACCTAAAATGAAGATTTAGTCGCTTTGTATTCCTATAATTCAAAATACGGATTTTGATAAAGATAGCTTTTCTGTAACTCACAAAAATATCAATTATATCACAGCAGATTGGGTGAAGTTACAGCAATAATCATAGCATTGTACCACAAAACATACAAATACCTAAAAAAAAAATCTGAGACACGCATATAATAAGACAATAAACAACACACACCCACGCACTGAGACACTGTCACACAAATAATCATTTTGCAGCAATGAACGGCATATAATTATATATAATTCTGATTATGAATGATAACCATTAAAATGCAATATAAATTTTTGAGGATAGGTAAATGATTAAGTTGGCTGTTAGATGTGGGTGAATTCCAGCACCACTTAAAAAAGAATTAATCTACCAAGTAATAACTAAGTAAACAAGTCATAATTTCAATACAATATTTCACACATGAATCTCTATCAAGTATACATAGATACTGTTACATATAAAATAAATTCAACAATAAACGCAATAACAGTGACAATGATAAAGACCCTTTCCAGATATCCTGATATCCTTTGAATATTTTCATAGAGATTAAAGACTAAAAGGTAAACAACGCCAGGGCAAAAATATGGCATTGACCTTTGACCTTTCCAAGATATTCAAAGAAAGAAACAAGTTCAAAAATATTCAAAATCTATGCTCATCCATTGTGAAGAACATGTGAGTGTGTATCACGGTCGATGTTAACAATTAGAAGCTATAAATCTGCAATGAAAGTGGACACAATATGTGAACATCCACTTATAAATGACATTTCTTCAAAAACATCTCGCGTTGATTATCTTTCTTCAAATCGAGACAGATGCTAAAAATGTCGTCGTACCAGTTAACACAAATCTATTGCATTTAGAGTATCGTAATGCATGAAAGTAACTGCAAAATTTTGCTTGATATAATGGACATCTTATTCAGATGGACTTTTAAAACTTTGTATGTATGAAACATTCCATATTTTATGCAAAAAAAACCCCAGTAACAATGAACAATAAAATGTTTTCCTATTATGTGTAAGTGATTTTATCATTAGTTTGCTATCGTAGTCTTACGTAAGCAGTGCTGTTTGCAGTCATACAAAACATTTAAGAAAGTTGGCGCAAATCAACATTAATATGCACATTTTCAAATAATGAGAGATTCTCATTACTGCTAAAAGTCCTAGATTATGGAATAAATTGGATTGGCGATATATCAATAAATTGGAAGAAATGGAAAAGATAAATTATTCTCATTTTAATTCTTTTAGAAGACTAGAAAGGAGAAATTTCACAGAATGGCATTTCATATTTGACAATAAATGTATACAAACCCAAATGTAGGAAAGAAATATCATTTTCATTGTAATTATTTTAGAAGACAAAATAGGAGGATTTTGACAGAATAGAGTTCATAGTTGAATAATGAAAGCACACAAGCCCATTGTATAATCTTGATGTCAAAGTTGCGACTACACAAAAAATAACAAACCAAATACTACAGTACATGACTTGAATTGACAGTTTGGGCAAGTCCATTTCGAACTTTTTGCATACATGTAACTTTGGTATTGTGCATTACTTGGTATTTACTTACTTGCTTTTGTTAATGGTATATAGTAAGAGGTTGTACCCAAATCTTTTGATAAAGATGATACCATATTTTATCATGTATAGATGAACTAGGCATATAACTATGGATAATCATGCATAAATGTGTGTCAAGAATGACATTCTTAATACCTGAGATCTTCTACAGGCATTTATCCTGCCTTTTTTTCAATTTTACATTTAGACTAGGGCCTTTTTCCTTTTCCGCTCCAAGGAGCTGAAACAAACCGATCATCACGCAAAGAGACATGGAAAGACTCCTAAGTGACCAATGAACTTGATGTGTGCAGTCCCAATCACAAAAATTGGACCACACTGGTTCATCAAGGACCTTTGATCCCAAAAAGGATAACATTCATCCAACTCAACAAATAGAAGACAGCGTAGGACAAAAAGCAAAGACCCGAGCTGTGAAAAGTTCACCCAATCGTCTTTCAATTATCCAGAAGAATTCTGCCTATTTTCTAGGGAGCATATGCCCCTCAATGTCTGATGTTGGGTAATCCCTCTGCAAATCTTGAAGATCTCGCTACCTGACACAAAATAATGAAACAAGTCTAGCTGGGCATGCCTCTATTTCAGACTTTATGTTGCTCCTTGGCTTTGGTAATCTTTCTACCAGGTGCTCTAGGAAGCATCATGGTTGGATAGTCACCAGTTGTTCCTCTGCAAGACTCCTCTAAAGCTCTCCTGGTATAAAGCAACACATCAAGTCTGCTGCCCTCTACCATCGCAGTACGACGACAACATCAAAATAAAACACGCACATCCATCCACATGGCTGGCTCGGTTTGAAGTCATTCAGTGTCTTTTCATGTGGAGCGAGAGATGGTCCGATCTTGAGAACGCCCTGTCACAGTGAGTACATTTGAATGGCTTGTCACCCGTATGCTTGCGATAGTGTCTGGTGAGTTCGTCAGAGCGGGCGAAGCTCCAGCCGCAACCGTCCCATTGGCATTTGTACGGCTTTTCACCTGAAGAGAGAGAGAGAAGTGTGGGAAGAAAGGGGATGAGCAATCACAAAAAGAATACCAGCACAGTAAGAGCAAGAAATGCCTATGAATTATTATGTTATTGAATATTCAATGTTTTTCCTTTAAAGGCATTGTTTAACAATGCCAAAGCTGAGATGCATGGTCTATCAGCATCTGTGATATATTGAAACCCTAAAAAAATTGCGCTTCAAAATGATCATGAAGCACCTCTAAAAGTAACAATCTTACTATACTCACTTTTCCTAATAGACTGTAGTCTTAAAAAAAACGTTGAATTTTGAATTCCAATCATTAATATCTTGATAATCAGATGGGCGATCAGCTTTTAAATGTCATGGGATTCCTGAATGACCTAAAGGTTTATAATTATGATTGCAGCATGAGCTAAATCCAGGATTTTGTTAAGAATCTGAGACAACGATACCCAGTCCCTTTAATGGAAAGCTCCGGCATGACACTAGCAGTTGCTACTCGTTACCAGAGTGTGGTAAATGGGTACTTGGTAGAAAAGCACTTCTTGAATGCTACCAAAATCGAAATCAGTAGCCTTGCTAAAGTTGAGGTAATACTGGACAGCCTCTAGCACCTTACATGATGGATATTACTGATATACAGAAAGTTTATAATAATAATAATAATAATTGCTCCCATTTATAATGCCCCTAATACATCAGATTCAGGCTTGCCTCAACACAATGTATGCACATTTTCCACTCCCTGGGGAGCATTCCAGCCAGTCGCCATTTTACAAGCGCCACTTGCTAATCCAACCGCATTAACTTATTTCATTTTTTGTAGGTTTTCCAGAAAGTCAATGTCACACTAACCTGTGTGTGTCCTTCTGTGCGCCTTGAGGTGAGAGCTCTTCGTGTAGACCTTATTGCACCCAGCAAAGTCACACTGGTGCACCCGTCTCCGCTTGCCATGGTCCATCACGACGGTCTGCAGGCTGAGGGGTAGGTTAGGATCCCCTGCGGTGGGTACTACCATCCTAGGCCCCCTTCTGCTCCCTGAGGATTGGTGGCTGATGGCGTGGTGAGGTGGTTGCCATGTCCTCGCTAGGTTTTCTGAGATGAGATCACTGGTGCGAGGGAGAAGAGAAAGGATTCTATAAGAATTATGTCAATGATAATATGTTCAGGATTTGTAAAGAATCTGTGTACTTGTAGTAGTGATGGTTTTGGAAAATAAAAAAAAGTTCACACTCATTCTTACCCAGTCCCTAGGATATGATTTCAAGTTAAATGTTGTCTAAGAGTGTACCAATAAAAGCATACCGTATACTTCATTTCATTATTAGCACACAAGTATATAACCTATCATACATGAGTGTTGTGGTCTAGTGGTTTGAATCTGAAGCCAAGCACCAAAGGTCGCTATAAACAGGTTTTTACTGTTTTAGCATTAAGCTGCACATGAATGAGACTATTACTGGTATATATTCTTTATTAATGCATGAAAAACTGCTAAAGTCTTTAAATGGGGTATAACAAAAAAGGAATTGTCTTTGGTACTTACTCAGCTGCTCTCGTAATTTTGATAAGGGCGCCAGCGCCTGTTCTTGTGATACTCTCTAGGCTCACGTTGGGTTGGTCATCGTCGTCCTCGTGGTCATCCTCCTCATCGACCATGTCGTCTGCCGTTAACATGTCATCCATGTCGTGCCGCCGATCATTGTGTCTTAGGACTGGCGATGGGATATTGAGTGTGGCTGCCGAGTGTTTCTTCAAGTCTAAAGCACCATTACCTACCAAAGACGAAGGGGGAGGGTTGGGTGTGCATTCAGTAAACTACTTGTTTATGGAGGAAAAAAAATCTGGATTTGCAATATTAAACATAAAGGAATTGTCCTGTTTTTCCCCTTTTGTTTTTATTTCTTATTCTTTTTATCAGAGCTCTCACATAAGAGAATTAAACACCATGATACGTTGTATATGTATGGATTATTGGGTTCAACATCGTATTGTATTCTAGTGCTTTATGATCGAGTTTCTCTTTATTTCTATCTCAAGGCAACCATAAAGCACTTTTCATCATCATACTGATAAAAACAAACTCAGCATTTAAAAACTGAATGATCTAATCTTTCATTGCCTTACATTTTCTTAATACAAATATTATCAAATCCACCTAGCATGCAAAGTGAGATTAATCATAAATCATCCGTTACTGCTGGTAAAAACTAAACATTTTAATATTAAAGACGCATAGTAGTGGGCTCTCATGGGGAACTTGACACCATTCAGGTTTTTACCCAATAACAGGTATTGTCAATCACCAGGATTAGCCTTCAGTTTCCTGGCCTACAGGCCTTATGTAATGCTTTTCATTTTCCACCCATTCCCCCATATGATAAAATCTTTATCTTACAATCCTCTCACCCAAAGACTCTCGCAGAGACTAGAGGGTATTTCTTGATCGGACTTTGGGTTTGCTGTGTGCAGACTTGTACACCCATTAAATGATATTTCCACCAAGTCTGGTGTCAGCGAAACTATGGCCTTACGCACAGAGTAACTGACGACCCTCTCGGATCTCCCTTTAAACATTCAATGCTTCTTCCTTGAAACTTTAAATTTTGTCCTACATTCTTCCATAGCTCATATCACAAAATATTCTCCTTTAAATAGACCAGTTCATGTTCTTTATCGTTTGCTTACAACCCCCCCCCCCCCCCCCTATTAAATCTTTTACAATAAAGCAGTCAAATCAAGTAAATTGCACTGCCGGAGGTGTGCCAATCTCTGATGACAAGCTATTTCAGGGACAACATTGGGGGTTTCCCCTTTACGTAGGAACATCAAGTGTAACATGCTTGAGAGCTCTAGGAACAATAATAAATTTGAGAAAAATTCTCAGGGCTATTTCTAAAGGAAAAATGTATTATACTTCATCACACTTGCTGATTTTGCACTTCAATACATTGAAAGAAAACAGTATTTTGGCAATTCACTGGCAGCATAAGATACCATATACAATTTTCTTTTCAATGCACCACCCCCTCTCACTGAGTCATATACGTACAACATGTATATGGTTGAAAAGTTAGAAACTGTAGTTTTAGAGTGAATACATGTTATCTGAGTGGTCTGAGTATATTCATACTGAAGTAACAAGATCTCAGTTGTCTGAACAAAGTGATTTGATTTAGTTTAATTTGTCAAGAACAAAATGAATTTAAATCACATGAAAAATGTGTTACAAATACATGCAATGAAAGGGAATATTTACCTTCACAAGGTAACATGTGAAGGAAGAAATGTACCCTTTTTTCAATGGGGTCCAAATAATTTCTTTTGATAAGAGGGCTAGGTATCCCTCCTCTCTGCCTATCCCAAATGCTCTCATAAATTGCCATTGTTATTTTTTATCACTGTCTTGTTTTTTATCATTCCATTCTGTATTTGTATGTTTTAAATGTTTTTATGAAGAGTGTTGAATAAACTTTGAATTGAATTTGAATAGGTAGGAATATGAAGAGTACTTACTGTCTACTTTGTGGTATGTCTTGAAGGATTTGGCTGGATAGATTGTTTTATTGCTTTCTGACTGTGAGTTGGACCTCTTCCTGGGTACAGACAGGTCGACCGGTTCTGTTTGGTAGGGTTCTTCTTCTTGGTCTTGGTCCTGGTCTTGGTCCTCGACTAAGCTGGGAGGAGAGGGTGAACTGTACATCTGCAAGAGGAAGAGAGAAGGAAAAGGTTACATTGTAAGGCATGGAAACATTCACGATGTCTGAAAAGACAACAACTTTATACTCAGTATCATGTATTACTCCCCCCCCCCCCTTCCTCCCCCTCTCCTTCCCCCTCCTCTACCCCCTCGACTCAACCTCTCAAGTTCACATCCACTCCCTTTCGCCTTCCCCTCTCCCCCTTTAACTTACATAGAAGTTAGCCTAGTTTTTCAGGAGCCTGCCCTGTTTACAATATATTTTTACTTTTTTTTTTTCTTGGTGAATTTCTATTGAGTAAGTACCTATAAAAGGTGAACGGCCCTACATTAAAAAAAATAGATTAATAAGTCTCATTTCAAAGGAAACTGTCAAAGGAAGAATCGTGACTAAAACATAATTTCCTGTACTTTATGAGGTCACCTTGTATAATTACTTTTTTTTTTCCACAAGCTAGCCTGTCTTTTTTATTTCAAAGATAAGGAAGAAGAATTAAAGGTAAATGTGTTGGTAGAAATTAAAACAGGATGATAAATTCAAACTTGTTCCTGTCATTTTGCTCCTGATTGATTTGAAAGGATGTCCAAACAGTCAAGACATGGGCAGAAAAATTGAAAAGTTGCTTTGGAAATGTCTGACAAAATCGTATCTGACATGAATGACATAACAGGCACCTTAGCCAGTATTGCCCCCCCCCCCCCCCAAGGAAAAACTATTTGGGGGTTCATGGGTGCTCTTATATGTTCTATTTGTAGTACCGGTAAAAAGAAATTTTCTAGAGGCAATTATTTATATTACCCCCCCCCCCTTGAGTCTGCTCTAACTTCCTTTTAGGTTTTATAGGGCTCTTGAAAGCTAAAGCGCTCACAGGGCTGTTAGGTTCATTTTTGCTACCCCCCCCCCCCCCCCAATATCTAGAAGTCATGTGGGCTTGGCCTCAAACACCTTTACAAAAGTCTACCTGTATCCTGCAAGCACGGGAAATTGGTACAAGCCCTCTTTCCTCCCTTTTAGGCCTGAGTAAACAAGTAGCAATCAGGTCGAACGGGGATGCGTCCCATTACCCAGTAATGACAGCAATTTAATTCTCCTCTTACGATTAAAAACAACTTATATTGACTTTGAGGAAAATATTGCCATGTTGTGGTTTGTTAGTGTAAATGAAGCTGTACCATAGACAACAGCCTGTAGAGAGTGTGCATGGGCCTACATGATAAATGTCCTAATTCACTGGTAGGATGTCTGGGAATGATGGTTGTGTTCATATTCAGAACAAGAATACAGTTCAAAAGAAAATCATGATTATATTTTCAAAAGTAGGATGCCTATCAGCTTTGAGCACTACAAAAAAGCTTATGTAAATCCTCCCAACAATTTTTTCTTCCAATTTTAATTTTTATGTCACTTCCATAATTTAAGAAAACTTTACTTGAAGTCAAATATTTACAGAGGGAAGAAACTCTTTTCAAGAGTACCACAGTTCCAGTTGAACTGTACAAGTGTCCAGACATGAATATCAGTAGACTATAAATAGACAATACTCCATACCAAGAAATGACGGACATACTGCATGAACCATTAAACACGTAGGATCAAACATGAATAATAAACAATGGGAGCTTCCTCATTCTAGCTTCAGCCGGCTAAAAAGAAACTGTGTCGTTAATCTGTGCACATTAGCATAGTAGGAAACATGAGTACCGGTATTAGGATAGGTGTTATCACGATGTATAGCTTCACATTCCCTAACTTGCAAAATGCAGTGTTATTGTCAGGCCTGGTTATTGTCATTAATGAATTCTTCATTTCTTTTTTCAAGGAATAATAATGTATTTTGCAACATTTCACTTTAAAAATTGAACCCATATTCAGGTGTACTGCACAGTCCATGATTACATAATCAATTACAAATAGGGAATTATTTGAAAGGGGCATAAACAGGCTTTTTAATAATACCAACGTCCAATATGATAAAACAGTGTATAACAAAAAGAGAGATATCAATGCTCCCAACTTAAATTGCAGAACTTTTTGTAGGAGTATATTATATTGGTACTCCCTGTGTATCTACTATCTTACCTTTTTTGTTTATGCTAAAAAAAAATTAATTCTTTGTAAAAAAATAATAATAAAAATGCATTTCCTCAGGCAATTCTGAAATTTATATCCAAGGTTCTACACAAAAAATTATAAAACCAAAGCTCTTTTAGATCTGTTTTTAGAGCAAAATCCCTCACTGCTTCTATTTTCTCCCATTGGAAGATAAATTGTCTGCGAGTCATAAAAAAATTGTTTTTTTAACCCATATTTACATGTTTAACGCCCGTCTGTCTTTAAAATGATGGTATACAAAATATAGAATAATAGACAATAAAGAGAAATACAGAGGAGATGGATAAAAAGATTAAGGTTATAAAACAATCATAAAGAGAAAGAAAAGACTGGCATTAATAATAAAAAATATATGGGGGAGAGGTGGGGGAGGGGAGGGATTACAGGAGGATTAAACTGATACCGCTCGCTTATTATAACTCCTGAAACACGGCTTCTAAAGCTCACCCACACCGTTTGAATGCTGTTGTCAACATCAGGTAGGTTAAGGTTTTCGGGTTCGGTAGTGGGCGTGGTAGTGGGCATGTGACTGCTGTATGCTTTGAGTAAAGCAATGAGACGTGTTTATTAGTTGGAATTAGTGGGAGGAATACAGGAGAAGAATGTCTCGAATAAGTAAATTCTGAGGTGGTGGTGGTCTAGAGTAGCTGGATAATTAATGTACAGACATAGCTCCGAGATCTAGTTCAGATCTTCTTATTTTGTGATAGATATGAAATTGAAACATAGGATTTCATCAAGATAGCAGATCGCCTCAAAATAACCCGGCTGTATTAGATAGATATTTGGTTTTATTCAAGTACTGATTAAAAAGTCCGAAGACTAAACAAGTCAGTTTACAATGTAAAATGCATAACAAAAAAAATAACAAGGTTAAAAAACACATGGATAAATTAAATCATTAATAAGTGAAAAAATATAATACCGGTAAGTATATAAGTATATAATAATAAGTAAACAAAAAAATAATTATATACAATTACCATAAATAATTATATATAATACGATCATTGCTAGTGAAAGGACTTGGAATTACATCATAAACGCATCACATTTTTTAGGGCATACATCTAAAGGCAATTTTCCTTTATTTTGGGGAGGGATGAGGGAGAGGGGGTAGGGGAGCTCGAGCCTTTGAAGCCTCCCCCCCCCCCTCTCTCTTTCTCCCATCCCCTTGAACTCAGTATGCGTGGTTTCACAGGCCAACTATTCTAAGGCAAGCCTCTGGTTCCTACGCTCTATTCTGAAATCCATATTTCCTTGTTAGTATGCTGCACCCCTCAGTAACACACCTCCCTTTGATATGGATCTGCCAATCTAAAGGAAACAATCAAATACTTGATATGCAAGACATCTTCCCGCCTCCAGTATGCTGTCGAAATTTTCAATGAAATTCATGAATGAACTATGCATCTGACAGTACGTAATATACCTTCCCGCCTCAATTTCGTCAAATTTTCACTAAAATTTCATTTAAATTTATGAATGAACTATCCATCTGGCCATTACAGTACGGGATCTGTGACATTGGCAGTATATGTAGTCTGTTTGGAGCCAGAAGGGTGTTAACTCTGTGTAAAATAACTATAAATGATACAAATTAACATCCTTCTGGCTCCAAACAGAAGATATCAGTACTTTCCTGTCTTTTATTTACACAAAAGTGGCGTGAAAGCTGCTATTTCTAGATATTTTGTTTCCTTCTTCCTCTTTGGTTGGAATTTTATATTATGGCATTTGGCAAATAGTCAGCGTTGATTAATTTTGCTACAACTTGCTTGGAATTTTGTTCTTTTGTTTCATATTAGTTTCATTTTCAGGCATTTCCACACCTAATTCGTCATAATCACACATTTTTTGAAATATTCAGTACGCTTGATTTGGTAATTGGTATCAATTCACTTTCCAATCACTTGCGATCAAGCTTTCCTAAAGAAATTCACTTGTAAGGCTTACAAATAAACCATGGGGAGAATTAATGAATATTTGTATATTTCACAAATTCACAAAAAGTAGGTGCAATCTCTCAAACGGCTGGAGCATCAAAACTAGCCAGAGTTGAGGTAAGGTGTGCTTTTGACAGCCAAGCCTAGGCAAGCCCAGCCCTAGAGGTTGGGGGGCAACAGGGGCGGCCGAATTCTCTGGCAGTGGGTCGGAAAGCAGGGCTTTGGTGCGTTTCCTGTTTTTCAATAGGCACATGACTGTTAGAAGTGAAGACTTCCTCCTGCCCTCAGAGGCTGATTCATACCCAGTGTCGACTGAAAAGGTGGGCTTTGCAGAAAAAAAACAGACGGATCGACTGTCAAACGCAATGCCTACCCTCCTGAATGTCTGTCCGTCCGAGGGCCCAATTCATTGTCTCTAGCTCTGGATCTGTTACCCCAGAAACATATCATATCCGGGACTAAGCATTTATGGACTTGCTCACTTCCAAGCATAAACCGTTGACATCGTACAAGATATGAAAGTGATTTTTTTTTGCTAGAATCGAAAGTAGGAGTGAAACTTGAAGCATCTGGTACATGAGGATACCATATTTTCAATTCGCTTGCACTATCAGAAACATAATCATATCCGGGACTAAACATTTATCGACTTGCTCACGTCCAAGCAGAAAACCCTAGCCATTGTTCGAGATATGAGAGTGATTTTTTGCTAGAACTGAAAGTAGGAGTGAAACTTGAAGCATCTGGTACATCAGGGTACCACATCATAAATTCTCTCGCACTACTAAGATCATTTTTCTAGAGGGAGGTGACAGATTTTTCTGAAGACAATACTTTTATTACATTCCCTTTCAATTAAAAACCAACCACAACAGGCTCTACATCATAGAATCGAGGAGGACTTTATTCCAAACTATCAAACACAGAAGTGAAAGTACACATAC